TGGTTATTTCCAGTTGCTCGACAATCGACAAAGCAGCCTTGGTGCAGTCGGTCTCGGTGGTATCCACATTAGGACCCATGCTCACCATATTACACGGTGACGGCGAGATTTCTGCAGGTTGTAGCTGATTGTCCTGGTGATGTTTTATCATACGTGTGCTGGGAAACCAGCCATTATCGCAGCTCATCTCGCTGTCAGTTTGGCCAGAAATCCCGGTCGGCTCTACCAAGTAGCTGTTGAGAGCATTTGTCTCTGGAGTCCCGAAGCATTGCTGGGAGGTCTTGGTTTGACTCTGGTTCTGGCTATGGCTCTGGCTCTGACTTGACTTCCGCCGTACGCGATGCGGTCGGCCACCACGACGAGCTGGGCTGTATGTGCATGGGCGGTTTAGATTTGCGCAACGCGAGCAAGTCGGCTTTTGCTTGTCACATCTCAACTTGGATGCAGAACAGACATCACAGGAGTCTTTCAGCTTTCGAGCTGGGAGTTGGGTGTTGTAGGTCTCCATTGGGCTAGGTACGGCGGTTTTTCGGGGTCCAAGTGAGGTTCGGGGCTTGAAAACTATGCTATCTTATCTATCTCTATGGGTCTATCTATAGTGACAGGGATGCTAGTTACACGGCAACTAGCCAAGGCTTTATGATCCGTGTTCCAGAAATGCATTGCAACGTGGTTGCTGTCACCGACAAAAGCCAGCCTCGTGGTTGTTGGAACCCTACAAAACGATGGATTACGCCAACGCCCTTGCCTCGTAATACGAGTAATCCCAGAACAGATGTTGGGACAGATCATCATTCCATGCATAGTTGCACGACTTAATCGTATTATGTAAAGGAAAACACAACTAACTATTAGGTAACTCTTGGCCGCTTCCCATCCAGGAAGGATAGGGCCTCCTGTTTATTAAGCTTTAGGGCTTGTTAGGAGGCTGTGTCTCATCCAATCCCGAGGACTTTTCACGGCCCTGGTTCCTTTGCTTCAGACTCCTTTAGTCTTAGATCAGCTAGAAGGGGACTTAGGTCCACTCTTCGGCCCCCATAATGAGCGCGACCAGAGTTCTGGAAGATAACGGATCTGTTTCTGCTTGGAATGTGGGTGGTTCAATGCCTGTCGATTGAGAATGTTTTGTTTGTGGTCTCCCTTGCATGAAACACAATCGTTATCGGCCCGGGTTTCCACGAGGTTTCTCTCAGATAAGGTCTACCAATCCCTTGACAGAACGATAAACTCTACAGACATTATAGTAGTGATTTCAGAATTTCAGAAAGTGTGGATATGATAGTAGGGAGTATTTGGATTTGAGGCAGTGACTGGATCAGAAATTAGTGGCACTATTACTAGTTCGAAAACAGTACAAAGCTTCGCCATCCACGATCCTTGGCGGTCATCTGACTCTTCAACCTTTAGCCACGATGTCGGTGGGATTGGCTTTCACAAAACTCCATGGGATTAAGACCGTATTCGGTTAAGAACCTTAATCAAAGATTCTCTTGTCCGTGTTCTGCTCCTTATAATTAGTAGTGAGATCTAATTTTAAAGTCCTGGTATGTTGTCATTCTAAGTAGAAACCATAAATATATATTGTAACATTGGGTCAGTCAATCAGCTAGAATCTTGAATAGGCATTGTAATAGCCAATGATATATATCTTCGTGAAGGAGTTAAGAGTGGTACTAACTAGCTAAAACCTTGACCTGGGTTTAGATAGTGTCCACTAGAATATATGGCAATTCATAGGTCTAAGAGTACAATAGAGGGGATTCACTGCTCATCACTTAAAACATGATTTACGAGTAGAAGTGGGGTGGTTGCCGCCTGGGTGAGCTAGTGGGGGAGCCGCTTTAAAGTTGACGGTCGCGTGAGCTCATCAAGACTCACCCCAAAGTGTTGAACACGATTTGCGGTACCGTTTCGGGCGGTTCGGGATCGAAACCCTAACGACGCATTAGCTGACTCAGATCTGAAAATATCTGGAGCCAGGTTTGGGTCGATCATTGCGACCTAGTCGAGGTCGAGGAGACCTACAATACGAAAGACTAACGGGGCACTGGAAATTAACAGGGAATGTGCTCTGATTAGTTAAAGCCCTTACCGTCTCTCGGCAGCATAGGATTATTGTTCTAGAAACGGTAGATCTGTGGTAATCATGTACATTTCTTAATATAGATAGGTAGAAATGATATTACACTAAGATTTCCAGTATCCTTCTATTTATAGGTCTATGTTAGGTAACGCCATTAACAGATCTGAAGATGGTGTTAATGGATGGTGGTAATATATGGGTCCCTCAGAGCGGTTCTATTCAGGGAGATTAATATTCCTAGGGAGTTGCTAACTTTTACTTTCGATATGGCGGATTCTTTTAGTTATTGAAGAGCGTAGTTCTAATACCGCTGTACAACAGACCTACATTGGAATTTTGTAACCACCAGGAACCTGTTTCTGAAACACGCCCTTGGGATCATATCTCTTGCTGACAGCCCGCAGCTTGGCAATCTTATCCGCCCCCCAGCTCTGAAGCACCTTCTGTGAGATATCGGCGTAATTAAGGTAGATAAAGTCGATCAGATATCCATGAGCCTTCAAGACGGCACGTTGTTGGTTCACAATGTCCGTGATGACGGACTTGACCAGCGCATCGTCTGCCTTCTTGGCGTAGGTAGCAGTCATATCGACCATAACGTCGTCAGTCTTTCCAGGTGTCAGCCCGAACATGTTGGTGCCGTTGGTAACAGGATGAGGCTGAGTCAAGAACTCGACGAAGATGCCTTCCACATTTGCGATCTTGCTCAAGCCCTTCTCCCAGATCTTGAAGAGTTGCATGTAGACCATAGGATCCGGGTTATGGAACGAAAAGGTGAGTTGGAAGCCGCTAGAAAAGTGGTTAGATTTGTGGAGTATGGATAAGGTAGACGTGTGCATTATCCGTTGCTTACCGTTCCACTTTGGATGGGATATTCTCACCAAATTTCTCCACGACGTTGTCAGTAGTGTTGAGCTCTGCCACGCCCCCCAAGTTTGGGATCTCGGTGAAGGCGTCATAAACAGTGGGTTTCTCAACCTCCTTTGTGTACCACATGGCATCAGAAAGTAGGAGTCTGCCGTCTACATAGTCCAGGAACATTGCCATCATGGCTGCGCTGTCATGACTTTCAGGCTTCATGAAGTTGCTGAAGGCTTTGGCGTGAGCCCACAACGTGGCGTTTGTATAGTTGTAATTAAGCATGCTATACCACATTTTCCCCTGAGGGATTGTAGCAACATCAAAGCGTGTGACGATGCCAAAGTTGTTGGAGCCGCCTTTCAACGCAAGCCAAAGGTCAGGGTGCGAGATTTGATCGGCATAGATGACTTTACCACTTCCGAGCACAACTTCGTAACCGTGGATATTATCGCAACTGAAACCGTGCTCGCGCGATGCGAAGGTAATTCCACCTGATGACGAAAGTTAGCTATTGTTGTCTGGTACAGCCCTTCAATGCGAGTACGGACCTCCAGTGGCGAAGCCTCCGACTCCGATCCCGGGAATACGGCCTCCCATAACAGTCAAGTTATGTGGTACGAGATGCGAGTAAGCGATGTCCCATACTGCGCCCCCTCCAATGCGAGCAATCTTTTGATCCTTGCTCAACTCTACTTGGTTCATGAGGCGCATGTCGACGGTTATGCCAGGCTCAATGTTTGCCGCGCCTGTCCAGAAGGTGTGTCCACCACCCCGAACGGCAAACTTGCTTGTGGAGTTGTTGAAAGTCATCAACTTCACGAACTTGGATACTTCAGCAGTTGTGGTAGGCCTGAAGATACAATTTGGACTCAAAACGCGCTCATGGTCGCCGTAGTAGGATGAGATGGACGAATTGTATGTTGTTGAACCGGGATATGAGATGCGCCCTGGAATCTTGGACTCCACGAGTGTGCATGAATTATTCGTAGCCAAAACAGCAGCAGGCAGCACTGCTGCGAGAAAATGCAGAATAGACCAATACATGGGAACGCTTGGGCAGATGTGCTTGAGGGAATCTCTACCGAATCTCGTTGAATGGTTCGCCGGTGTGCAACCGGCAGATAAAAAGGAGAAAAGAATACCAGATATTTGTTTTATAGCGAGACTGAATCAACTGATAGAGACAAGGGGAGAGGCGCTTGATAATTTCACAATATACCTTGGCACACTGAATGAAAGTCGATGATCGGCGGCTGGTAGATTAAATAAAGTGGTTAATTATAGTCTACAAATACGACCTCGAATTTCTTGAGAATCTTTCTATAAATATGTACCTGCGTCCCCAAGCCCCGAAATTGCATGTTGGTGCCAGATACCACGAGGCGGTTCTAAACGAACTACTGCAGGTGTGTGCATAGAGTTTTCATGGTTCGTTAACTGACTCAGTCGATAGAACAGCTAAGCCCCACGCTGAAAATAGTACGCTCGGAAACGTAAAATCGTCTACAAGTATGTAGAGTAAGCCAGTGCCTGTCTCTTCAGCAACAGGCACTCTCGGGTTCCGACATTGTGGAGAGCGGTACAAGACGGCTCGTATGCAGTCAGCAACATATACGGCATAGATATAATTGGTTCTATCAAGCGAACACTGCAGGAGGGATCACCACGTGTCATGTGGAGTTTGTTTAATCTTCTGCAGCACCAATCCCATTTCAGTCATACGTCAGGCTGTAGTACGAAGAGTAGTAGTGATGGTAGTGTTGTCCAGGCTGTTTGGGGTCAAGGGCAGCAGCTAGCCCCACTAGCAACTCTTTACAGTGTAAGTTAGTAACTATACCTTTATCTCCCTTACCATTCTACCTTTATGTGGCGTCTCCAAGCCGTTGTAAGTTTGCACTTGTTCAGGTATTCTATTTCTATTGCATTTGTAATGCCCAATCCGAAAAGATAGGAAGAAGGAGCCTTATACTCTATGTCGTAAGCGTCCCATACGGCCATACATGTACTAGTTCATGATAGATTCGTAGCTCAGGCGCCAGCGCCATTTCTGTATACATCAATTGTGCGAAATAGGCCGTACCACTGCCCCCAAGTCGTTGTCTGAGTTGTTCAGCGCGGAGGTGAGCGCGCGTAACTGCGTGTGAAGAAAGGCAACCATTCTGGCTCGCACGTCACTCTGCATGAAGTCGCTGCGTGGCTCGTTGAATGCCTGTGATTGTCCTGCGTGGCAAGCCATGTCTCCAACGACGACTTGTAGTTCCCGAAGCATCCCCGAAAGGACTTGACGAATGAGGACTGCCTCTACATCCTTGCCCAAACGGTGATTGCCAATGAAGAAATCCCGTCTTCGAGTCTCGACTTGGCCCGCACTGCTGGGTGGGATGGCGCTGTCCGCAATCGAGTTGCGGCGATGGCTGTATATATCAACAATATGCCAATACCAAGCAGTAATTTCAGAACAAATGACGGTGACGATGAGCAGCAGCTGCGGGCTTCCGTAACACGAACATTTGAGTATGGAGCGGACCGCCCCCAAAGCCGACTGGTTCATGGACAAGATGTCGTCCGCTGCACGCGATAGTTGAGGTTGGCGACCACCACCCTGGCCACTCATGCTTAGGACGCAGGAGCTCGAGCCGGCATGCATGGAGCTGAGGACCCGTGTGGCGAGGCTGATGCAACATCCATGTGGGTTCTGGCAAATCCGATCCTCTTGGGAGCAACTGGTCTCAGGGACCGATGAGATGCTGTTATCTTCGGTAGTCAGGCTCGGGGCGCAATCGTCGGACAGATTGTCTGTGGATGAGGACGTATCCATTTGCCACTTTAGCGACAATTCTCTGCTCTCAAGATTCGAAAAGTCAAATGAGAGGAAATCAAGCTGCGAGTTACCCAGGAGGTTGTGAGCCGATGAAAGAGGGATTTCGGCATCCAGAAAGCCACCGGTTAGGAGAAGAGGATCTCCGACATATTGAATTTCTGGTTCATCTGCGACCTCCATCGCGTGGCGACTGTTTTGGCGGTAGTGCTATAATAGTGTCCCCAGGTAAGGTCTTGTGGCTAAGGGTATGGATAAATTGAGACGGTAGCGATACACGTTATGAAATATGTCCAGCACTGAATACTCTGTAGAGTATTCGGCCGGCCCAGATTGGGTTATAGTTTGCTCGGTCAGCCTCACTCGGGGGCCGCCTTTTAGATCCACCTCGTATCACAAACAAGAATGCTTGTTTTCTAATTAGGGATCCTCCTCACAGCCCCTTGCTGATCACACCAAGTTGGGGTCCAATCAACACCACCGAGCACCTCCCCAGGATGAAACGAGGGGAGAGCGAAGGAAGCCGTGTGCATGTACGAACCTCATGCAGGAGCATTCTGGTTAGCGCTGACGGGAGTAGATCTAGATGCAACTCATGCCATCTCAAGTACCCATATACTTTGCAACAAGGGCCTCTCGAAGTTTCCCGAACAGTTTGGCTTGCATGGTCATGTATGACACAGCCACATCAGGTCCTTTTCGGAAATGCCCAGAGTATCAATAATCAATTAACCAATTGCATTATACGAATCATTCCAAATGCCCCCCCCCCGATCCAACAGTCACAATAGATAGATAGTATGTCTCGTATACCCCTTCCCCCACCAAAACCAACTAACAATCTGAGTAAGCCACGGCAGAGCGTGGCAATTGTGTTCTCCGGGTGCGCCTAGATGAGTTAGACCGTTTGGGGAGGAAAGGGAATGGCGTATCCATGTAGCTGTAACCATAGTTTGACCCCATCCTAGAATTGGTGTTCCCGCTGTGGTAAACGAGGTATTGCAGGCAAATATTTCACCACCCGGCACGGAGATTGCAACGAGGAAAGCCAATCCAAGAGACTAAATCTGCCGAAGAAGAACAACGTACAAGCCGTCTCTGCCTGGCCCTGTCCCTCGACGCCGTCTATCGGTGGAGGCCACGGAGCTAGCTGGGTTTGACGATCGGTAGTCTGGGCGGCTGTTATCCGCCGCCGCAGCAGCAACATCTCCATCGCCACTAGCCGCATGGAGCTAAGCAGCTGGAGATGTCATGCTCAGGACAGGCAGTCTTCTGTTGTCTGCAGAGGATACGCCGCCCTCATACCCGACTGAACTGGATGCCCGATTAGACGGTTTGTTCTCGTCTTTCGTGGCGTCCTCAATGCTCAACTCACCCTCCAGCTACTACGGGCATCAGAATAAGCTCAATACCCTTCTGCGGATGGCGAATCTGATGGCCATCGCTCCGGCCCTCGAGAATGCATGTGCCACCGTCAAGGATATCACGCTGTAGCTCTCCGATGTACCCTCCATCTACGACACCGGATGCTCGACACCCATCGACCCACAGTCCCTTTCGGACTTCATCACTAAGTCTCTTTTGGGTATCTCTGAATGTTTCCTGCCAGCCCCCATGCCCCCTGCACCGTAGCTTGCACGCACGGGCCCACGGGTGTTGTCATTCGCCAACTATGCACCTTCTAGTCCGTCATATAACGCTAATGTAATTCAGACGATCATGCGGATCCTGCGGTGACCTTGGCCTTCCACGATACAAATAAGAATGGTTAATAAGAAAGCATCTGGAGTCTCCGCTCCAAGATCCATGAATATCCCATGGAAAGCGAAGCAATGAGTATAATATGTTTAGTGTTAAAAGCAAAAACACAAGAAAAGAAAAGAAAAATAGGAAGAGGGAGAGGACGAAAAAGATAGAAAGGTGATTCCACAACAATTGGTAGGGTTTGGGTAGGAACCTGCTCTACTGTATAATGTGGCAAGTGGCGTTCTTGAAGTCAGCCTCTATAATTAGATATAGTGACCCTTCCAAATCATATGCAATTAAAATATTAATGTTCAAGCATCTCAGCACGCGTTCAGCTTACCCTGGTGCAACTTGATAGGCTGCATACGCTGGGTGTAACGAAAGGCAAGCTAGACCAGCGACCGGGGTCGCTTACTGAGAGCCTCGTGATGGCTTCCCCACTATTGCTGATTAAATTGTGCGGGAAGCCAGCTGCTCGTCGCCAGTTTTGATCTCTGCGATAATCCCCTCACTCAGCTGTAGGGCCAGAGTTTTGATATTCATCTTGAGGTTGGAGCTGCGGTGACAACGAAGAGGGGAAACATATAGGAGTTCTAGCCAAGGAAATATCACCTAAAATAAAGGTAAAGAGAGATCAGAAACACGAATACAAAACAAAAGTAACGGTGGCTTACTTTGTGAATGCCATATGCTATCGTACCACTGATAATATACCGACCGAGGCGAGTCGCTATATTGTTCGGCACCTGCTAGACCTCTGTTCCACAGTCAGTAGTGATGAAGGGCATTTGACGGCCATCCGCCTTGGGGGCAGCATTGGGGACGTCGAAGTAACCCTAAGCCTGAATCCCCATACCCTTATCCAGACACATCGGCATGATATCGCGCTGCAAGTTGCGGACATGCGCACTGAATTGGCCCTGGTCGACGGAGAACTGACGGAGGCCGTGCTAACGGGCGTAGGCATTGAATCTAATGACCGCTCAGGCCGGGGCGTCACGGATATCCGAGCAGAGTGCTTTCTTCTGATGGACGAACGTGCTGAGCGACTACATCAGTTCAGGGATACCGGTGGCGTAGTCCCAGCTATGAGCGAGACACTGTACGTTTCCAGCTAGCAGGACACCATGGAAAGGAATTAGGCTTGGGAAGATGGACCGGGTCGGTGTAGCTGCGTTCGCAGTTTCTTCACTCACATTGTAGAAAAAGACGCACACAATTGCTGCTAGTGCCGTCAAAGCTTTCTCCGGTGGACTTGGCGACCGGCCATGTATCTGAGGTGTACTTGTGGACCAGACAATATTATCGCGACAGCCAGATTACTCCAGCCACTCGTCAATCTAACCCTCATTCTGGCAGCGTTGATCGATATTGACCGCGTCAATAAAGCTCACGATGGGCTCATAGTAGTTATTAAGGAGCTCAAAAGTGCTCTCCTCGTTAAATTCACCGAACTGAGCACTCAAGGCGTTCGCGAGACCTGTTCCCTGTCTTGGAAAGTCTCTTTGAATGCAGGAATGATGGGATTATGGAGAAGTACAAGAAAGAAAAGGAAAAGAAAAATGACAAGAAAAGAAAGTCGGACGTGCTCATTCCGTACTGTTAGATTAATTCAAGGGAATAGATCGGATAGCATAGTGACAAACTCTATACTCTTGATACATAGAAGCCATAGATAAATTACTCGTCGTACTACTCCGTAGGTTCAGCGGCTATCCGCTTATAGCAGCGAGGCCAGCAGTCAATCAAATCTAGGCCCCGCGAAAACCCATGGATTTTGACCTGACCCATCTCTTGGTGCGTTTGGGTCCCTGGTCTAAGCCCATGGGTTGGATATAGGTTTAGAGTATGAACCCGTGGCGAGGCCTATCAAGTCTCGGTTTTACAGAGGTAGAGTCATTCAATCCCAATGGCATGCTAGAGACAAAATTATTGGGATATGAGTCTTTTCAATATAGCCGTCTCTTAGGTCAGCAGACCCACCACGCACTTCGGCATGTTGGTCTGCCTCACCTCAACGATAATTTCCACCTCAACGATAAATTTGAAGCTATTCAAACTCCTATACAACATCGCCTTGAGTATCTATCCAAAAGGGTAATCTAGGACCTTCCTCATCCGCCTGACTAGTCTTTTTACTAGACAGATCCCCTATATCTCCCTGTTATAGTAGTTTATTGTGCTCTAAACTCCCCGCTTTTCCAACCTACCTAAGACTCTGTAGTCTTTCCACCTCTGTACAATCTATAATTCGGCATTTTATATCAAGTACAGTTAATAGCCTATTGTACCAGACTCTCCTTTTTGATTTCTGTCTATTTTAAGACTTCAGAAGTTGAAGATACTGTTGTAGATTATCTTTAAGCTGAGCAACTAGTTCAGTAGTTTCTAGTGAGCTCTGGAATATATAATTAAGATATTATATAAAGCTCTAATCAAGCTCTGGATTATTATTAATAAAGCTCTATACTTTACTAATACTTCGACGAAGACCTTGTATTGTAGATAGCAGCGATAAGCTTAACAGTAGTAGTAATAGTGTTATAATTATCTCAAGTTCTAGAGCAGTCTCTAAAATCTTATATAGAGATTTTATTATCTTCTTTAAATTTAAAGAATATATATCTTACTTTTTAAAGGTATACTGTATTGTATATTATTTAAAAGTTATTGTATAAATAGAATAAATATATTTTAAGAAATCACTTTTATTGTCTATCTCAGTATCTCTTGAAGTAAGCTTATTATTTTACTTGTAATAAAAATATTTATAGACTTAAAAAGATTGTCTATCAAGAGACTATATAAGATATATTATATAAGAAGAGAAACATTAAGATATAATATAGTATTGTCCACAGAACTACAGAAATTTGTAGATAAGTGTTACAGATCCGATGATGACTCTGTATAATAACTGTATTGTATACCCTGCCCGTTGTGTATATACAGCTCGGAGGCCGAACAGCGACAACGGATCACATATCCGTTGACTTTTCAATAGCGTATAGTAGCTCCTTGTCAGTCTTATCCTGTTAGGAGAATAAGGGGCTTCTTCTGGATATAAAGTTAGCCTAGTGTTAATAAAAGAAGAAGGTAAGAATCAGTCTTCTGTCTGTCTAATATCTACTGCTTAGCTTTCAGCCTACGTACTCTTACCTAGTTGACAGGTCTTCTATCCTGAATAGTAGATATTTCCTTGACAATAAGATAGAACTTGTAGCTATAATAAGTAATAATTGGATCTCTTTTTTTGAGATACAATACTTTGTATAATAATAGAAATATTAAATCTAGCTAAGACTAATTTTATCTGAAGTATAATTTTTAGAAGATAGAGCTATTCAATATTTGTCGGGAATATCTGTATTATACTATCTCTCCAGATAGTGTATACCTTTGAATATAAAGTATAGAGAAAGAATAAAACTATCTACTATAACATTCTCTATTATAAGATCAGTTCTTCTATTTCTTTAGATAGATTTCCTCTTGCAGCTTATATAGATATAGTAGTTATAAGTTTTTAAGACTTTCCCTGTCCCAGTTAGAAGTCGGTTTTATCAAAGTTATATATATTTTTGGGAGGAATCTGCTTGACCAAGGGTTCTAGGTAGTTAAACCAGTACTGAAAAATACCTATATTCTCTGTATCGAGACAATTCCTATCTTTTGGCTTCTATTAAATAAGCTTAAAATTGTTTGGGAGATAGTCTGTCGATTGTATTCTATTACAGTATTTGATTGGCACTCTGCTCAATTATTCCGGCTGTAGATAGACAATATAGATTATCAAGCTGATAAATCTAACGAATCAGTATCTTCTCTTGTAAATTATTAAGGGTTCTGATTAAGATAGGACATAAACTTCGAGTAGCTCAGCCCTGAATACACGCTCTGAGTTGTTGATAGGGAACATCGGATTTATACAATAGCACAGATATATTTGGTGTTTTTTGGCCTTGAGCGGTCCTACAGGCCTGAGGGATTCGCATCTCTATATTAGAATAAGAATTAGACATAGTAGTAGTAAATAAAAGCTCTGAATAGCTTCAAATTTATCGTTGAGATGGGAATTACTGTTGAGGTGAGGCAGACCAACACGCCGAAGTGCGTGGTGGATCTGCTGACCTAAGAGACGGCTAATAACGTATTTCACTAGCGAGCGCCGCATACCAACGAGCGCCGCACCTCCACTCCGATTTCTGCCTGCGGGCTAATTACTAGAGCCTTTTTCACCAAAACAACTGTATTTCTATATATAAATTAATTATTAAGTGGTTTAGGATATCTAACTCTAGTATATCCTCGAACATAACAATTAGAATACTGCGGTGATACTTGTATATACGGCCTAACTGCAGAAAATACTGAATCTATAGAAATAGTATTCTGAGTTTTCTGAATCTTATTCTCACGCTGGAATCTGTCTAAGCTTTTCTGGAGAGATAAGTCTTCTTCTATAGCTATCTGTCTAGCAGATTTCTTCTGCTTTTGGCTTTTCTATTTATTATTAGTATAATGTTTATGTATTTCTTTCTTTGTAAGAATAAGCTTATTAAGAGTCAATTTATAACTTTTAATAATCTTATCTAATTGTGCTTCTAGTAAAGGGAAAGAACTTTAAGTATATTCTTTAAATAGCTTCCTTGCTATAGATACCTGTTTCTCTAGCTGCCTAGTAGTATAGGGTGTCTTAGGTGTAGAATTAGTTGACCGACTGTCTGGTGGTGTAGGGGTCTTCAGTTAGATATTCAACTTACTTAGTACCCTATCTGGATTAAATAGAACTAGGTCAGTACCTACAAAGCTATTCTGAATATTTTCTATTATAAAAGTACTTTTGCGAGTCTCAGGAAAGATCTATAGAAAATCAAATTTATTAATATAGCTAACTCCTAAACTTATTTTCTGCTTTATTAAATTGCTGTACACAGCTTTTAAAGACTGAAAACAGCCTATATCTAAAAGCTATAGCTTATTGGAAGAGTATGCAGATATACAAATAGAAATAATATTATTTTTACTGTATATCTAATCAAACTGAGGTGTAAGATAGCTGCTATATCTGTCTATAACTAAAAGACAATATTTCCCAGTCGTATAACTAGTAGTAGCAGGAATAAAGAGATTTTTAAGCTAGCAAAGACCTATCTTATTAGTAATCTATTTATTAGAACTCACTTCAATCCTACTACTAGATAAAAGCTTTGAATCTTGGTATTAGCCCTCTATATGGATCTTCCCTTTGAAGATAATACAGGGAGGAAATATCTAATCAGTAAAGTTAATATACTTAATAGAAATAATCTATCCCCAATTATCTAGCTGTACAAGAAGTACTTTTCTATAGTAATCAGTTTTAGTAACTACTCGAGTATTAGTTACTAGACCTATAGCAAAGTCAGTTTTGTCAAAATTGTAGATATCTTCCTGTACAATTCTATATTGTATTATAGTGATTTGTACACGGTTAAACTATTTTTAAATTGTTTTAGGATCTTTATATTTAGTATATTAATAATTATATTATTGAGAAAAGTAGGATTTTACTTTATCGCGGTGTTTAGTAAATTTAGTAGCCCAGTTTACTCTAATTAATTAAATAGATATAGTACCGCGGCTAGTAAGAAGAAGATTAGCTATTTCTTGTATATCTGATAGTTTAGGAGATGCTCTATATTGATTTAGTAATAGAATCTATTGTATAAGTGAATTCTCTTTATTTTGAGTTAATTTATGATTATTGGTGTGTGTTTCTGAGCGGGAAGGTATTCTATTAAGTTGTCGCCGCAGAGTTCTTTTATGGATATTATAAATACAAACTACTTCACAAATACTGCGAATTTCTTGATTTTTTAAAAGCAGAAACTGCTAGTAGAATTCTATCTTTCTGCTCAATTGATTCTCTTCGATTTTGACGCGGTTTTGGAGGCATGGTGGGTGGTTGAATTAATGAAGGCAAAACGACGCGTAGATTTTTGAAGAGGTGCGGCGCTCGTTGGTGTGCGGCGCTCGCTAGTGAAATACGTTATTGTTTTGAGCATCATTGCCTTCTCAAGGTTTCTAATTTTGCTATTAGTAGGCAGTATTAGGATCGCTGATTTACTGGCTACAACAGGCAGTAAACTAGGTGGAGGACCGACTACTAAACGAAGCGCCCCATAGGGATCAACACGATCTATTGAACTCTAATCGTGGGCTCTTTGACTAGAGTCGCTTAAGTGTACATAGGCAAATATATAAATTAGAAGATTTCTGACGGTCATATCTGCTCTCCTCCGTAGATTACTCCAAGATCTTGAACCACTCCAAGGTCTCACTCGCTACTTACAGACCCTCTCTTCCATTATCAAATCATCATTCCATTAATATGAAGACCTTCCTTGTACTTGGTGCTCTGGCAGCCCTTTTCCAGTCTACCTCATGCCTCGAAGCGGGAACTTATAAGATCAGGCCTGCTGGTGGGGTCAGTACTAGGGTTCTGACTGACACAGGTGAACCTAACGCCCCTGTGAAATTTGATATCGCCCGCTGGGAAGTTTTGGACCTTCTGGGTATTTCTACGCAAACCAATACCAAGTTTGAAATATCGGGTCAGAGATGGCACTTTCTGGGTAATGGCAAATATGACAATTATGGAAGCACTACCGATTTCGATCAATTCGTCATCACGAGCGGCATCGGCTACAACATCACTTGTGGCAACCAGGTGGGCTCTCCTTGCGTTAGCGGTGACAAACCTCAATTCTACTCCGTCAGAAAAACTAGTTTCGGTACATATCAGATCGTTGACAATGAATCCGGTTATTTCCTACGCGCCTCTGGGGAAGATGAAGTGCACCTTGCCGCAGAGGACAATAGCATCCAAGAGGAGTTTTTCCTTGACAAGCTGCCAATTGGCGAGTATGTCCCCCGCGACGATACTACTTGAGAAATCCATCCTGTGTAACGAGCTAATCAATCTATTCAGGGCATAGCCTATCATTTACCAACCCCCTATTGCTATAGGCAGTTTCGTATGGTGGAGTGTGCAGTGAACGTGGACTTATTTAAAGCGTCAGTTCTGTATTTAAGGCCTTTGGTGGACTCCCACCAATAATAATAGCTGCTTGATATTATCTGCATCAACATCATTGATTTAGTCTCTCTAATATATAATGAACTAGTACACTTGATGACCTTGCAAAGGCTGAGTATAGATATATGAAAGGGATGAACTGCTCCATAAAGTTTTCGTAGGAACACTGGTGAAAGCCCGGGGCTTACACAACTAACAACTCCTGCTTTGCAAATTCCTATTTTTTCCTATGCCATAACTACTACAGTATTATTTACTGTGAAAAGCAATACAGGACAAGACTATTTTAAAAAAAAATCTTTTACTATTAATTGGTAATGCGTCCTCGTTGCTCCCTCCAGTCATGCCCTATTAGATCCCCGAATATACAAAACAAAAGAAAAACTATAAATACTATGTAGGTATAGATCTGCGGGAATCCTCTATATTTTAGCTCGTATGCTCCGTACGTGCTCAGAATATTGCAAGCGAACATCCCAATGGTATCAGCGCCGCATGGCTCAGCTGAAGATGTCGATCAGTGGAGTCGCATTGACACTCCATATGGATACATCGGGATTTTGAGAACCCTGAGATTCAACTACAGTTCAAATTCCGGTTAATACAATTTATCTTTCTTCCAGCTTCTGGTAATTCGCGACTTTATCAACTATATCTTATATATTTTTTGCCCCGTGGATCAGTTCAGCTGAAGTGTGGGTCGGCGTGGAGAACATTACCAATAGATCGACCCACTGAATCATCGAAAAGTACTCTCGGCATCTTGGCCGAGGGTGCGGGTGCCTGAAGAGGTTTTAGGGGGACTGAGTACCATGGATTGCATACTATCTACAGAGCAATTGGCCTCGTAGTACTATTTGATTATCCTCACCTTCCCTAGATGGTGTGATCTCATAGGGTGTATCTAGGGTATATAGTAATCTTTAGAATGGCTAAGCTACTAAAGTAGTTGTGGATGTCTAGTTTATCTACCCCTCAGCCTTATCCTAGTCAATTGGAATGCAAGAACCACGGTCAGCAGATATCTATACATCCACTCTGGCCCGTTTAGTTCCCCCCCAGGTCTTGACCAGACACTGGGCGATCACATCGCGTATCCTTTCACCTTCATAGGCCACGACCATGCACACCCCAACGATGAACAACGTGAGAGGACCCGCAATTGCCCAGAACAGCCACTGATCCCGGTCCATATCCCGTATGTCACGGGTATTCATACCGAGGTAGCTCGTCATGAATGATAATGGGAGGAATACAACAGTCACAATAGTAAAGACAAGGATCGCCTTACTATTATTATCTTGTTGGAGGTCGACTTGACGTACTACCTGATATATTATATATTGAGTAAGCTTGGGTCAGAACTCAACATAGAATACCTGGAGCGAAGAAAAACCCCAGTAGGTGACATCTGTACATACCCTTCTCCTTAGCTTCTCAATGCCAGAGTTCATTTCACTATACAGATCTGCCTTGTCATTTAGTTCCCGGATGGAGTTTTGGATTACGTCTTTTGAGCCCCTTCGGGACTTGGAGATGTTGTCTGCGACGAAATCCATGAACTTTTCCAGCACCGTCTTTTGTTTCTGGATTGCTGAGAGAATGCACTCTAACTCCTCCTCAAGAAGGTCCAAGTCATCGAGCAAGGCTCGAGAAGGCTTATCTCTCACTTTGATTCTCTATGAACGTATATTTGTTAGAAGATTGGACACAAAGAACAAAAGGGGGGACCGACTTTAACATACCAACTGGGAAGAATAATCTCTGTAGATTTCCTCAAGACGAAATGACCCCGCGCCATCCAGGTCACTCAAACCAAGGGAGACGTGTTCCAAAATTGAGGATGCAATTCGGGACGGTCCCACGGCGATATAATCATCAATATCTAGAGGGTTTGTCTCTATTAACGTGCAGATAATTGAATACTTAGATTCAATTAGTAGATCCTCCGCCTCTTTGAGCGCCTGGGATCCGTCCATCCAGGAAATTTTGTCGATATCAGGCTCCGTCTTATCACACTCTCTGTCACCCCAGGCTCTGGCTCGATGGTCCGTTTTTTGCTTTCGAGGAATGCTTCGATCTTTGATGCTGTGATCGCTAGCTGTAGAAGCAATGGGACGCGACACTCTATGAGATGGGATAGCAGGGTAATCCGACCAGGAGCCCTCTGTAGCTTTGGACTGCGGCGATATACTCCGAGTGACTTCTCGGTCCTTGATTATGGAACCTTCCATGGTGAATGCTTCGGAAGGCGATGTTATGTCAAACTTCGAATATCCTGCCATGTGGATATCTTCTCCGGGGTCATCCAAGCCTAAGCCTTTGTCCAGGGTGGTTGGATCTGGCTGACCTTTTCCGGGGTGGGTTCCCGTGGATTGGTGTTCATCCGATAGTGCATGTTGGATAAAGTAACAAAGATGGCTAATAGCCCTACATAACTCCATAAAACAGTCCATATGAGCTGTAAGGAGAGGCAGGCGGCTCATATCACTCCGAATGCCGGCACGGATCTCGCTGGACAGCTTCAATAGCCTTGTAGACCGGTCGGCGAAGTCCTTCAGCTGAGGCAGCCTAGTGAGCTTTGTATGGTGAGGAGTCTTAAGACACTCCTATTCCTAAATGTCAGTCTATTCAACGGCTGTAACGTATCCATACATGCAGGACAAACTTTGAAGATCGTATAAAGCCCTCCGTATATCTTGTCTTTGAGCAGGCATTCCGTACCATCCGGGAGGAAGTGATCAACCAAATAGCATAAACGGTTACATATTTCAATTTCTGGATAGTAAGTCTCTGTTGGCATCTCATCAAAGAAAGAGTCTTGCAATTCAATTAGATGCGATTTCTTGACGCTCGGGAGTTTCGCAAAGGCTGCTTCTCTTTGAAGTATCGCGTACAGATATTTAGGAGCGACCAAAAAGGGATCACGTTTCCGACTATGTGCTATTTGTGATTCGGGTACTCGGGTTATCGTTTTCTGCTCTTGGCCGCGAGACAGAGCAGGGATTTCAGAAGCTAGTGGCCACGATAGGTACGGCAAGATGGCCTTTTCAGCGCGGCTATTGTTCGAGTGCCTAGAGGGTCTTTTTGAAGTATCCGAAGGATCATGGGTTGACAGAGGAGTCTGGTAGCCCTCATCCTCTAGGTCTAAACCATCCAGGGCGGATGACCTTGGGGTCCAAAACATTTCCCCTTCGGCTCTCCTCAGCTCATCTGCAGGGTCCTTTTCTGAGCAGCCAGGCCAATGCCAAGCAAGTCTAGTATGGTGCCTATTTTTGTCACCGCTCACAGATTTGCGATCCTCAGCTTCACTGTCTGATAACTCACAAACTTCATCTTCTCCCCTCATCCTTCGGGATCTCCGGGTATGCTCGAATAAAACCTCCGTGAAATCGACATCCAAGTAGGTCTTGATAATAACCATTGTTGAATCCTAGCATGCGATTAGAGCGCAGGATGCAATTAATCGAACAGAGGAGCTTACCTCTTTGTCCTCCTCCCATGGTAAATTGAAGGCATCTAGGGTCTCCACGTCTATAAATCTTTTTGACATTCTGACCCATGTCCTCGTATCGGTATCGGGCTCGATAAAGTATGCCTCATTTTCGCGGTCCACTTCATGATGAGGTAATTTGCGTGTATTCAGAACGACAAGAACAGTTATGCAAAAGCCATATGTCCTTGCCTTATGTAAAACAGAAGGCCAGGAGTCAGCGTCGAGGGCTTCATCTGTGTCTGCATTATAAAACTCGCACTTTTCAGCATCAATGTGTCTTTTTAGCCAGCATGAGTAAATGTGATGAATCCGGATCAAGAAGTCCTAATTACGGTCAGTACATACGATAAAGCTTTTAATGCTGCTCTTCTTGCAGTTCAGTCCCACTCACAAACCACGTAGGACATTCCATCACGTTAATATAAAAGATGCTGTCATCTTCCCGTATTAAACGGAGGGTTGGCGGGACTTCCTTCATGGTGAGAGGGAAGATTGAACTCTGCCGATGAGTATGAACCTGACTTGGAGCGCAGGTAACCAAGTAATCTAGAAATATATCAGGTCCACTGAGTTCCAAGATGTGAGATCCAACACAGGACCAAAAAAAAAAAAAAAAAACAAAAAAAGACAGAGAGAGAGAACAGGAAGAAGCAGGACAAAAAGTAAATGAATAGATGAAACATTTAAACCAACAACATAGTGAAAGGAAAACAAGGCGAGGATGGGAAAGGGGGAAATACAATCTCCGATTATCAAGCCCCATAGCTGTGGGACATACACCAGCGAATCTCCTTCTAAATCCAGCACTTTCCGGACTGCCTGGGCCTTTTCACGGGTAAATGAAGAGTCGGTCCGGTACGCCGACTGGACCAATCCTCTGATGGGATGCATATCCGTATTGGCCCTTTTATCCGCTACAGGTTGACAGTTGTCACTGAGGAGCAGGTATGGAACGGCGAAGAAGACACAAACAAAAGACTGTCCGCTTACGGAAGACACCCTTTGTTTCTGGAAACATGAGTCCAGAGCTTTTCCACCAAATATCCTTTGCGCTTCGAGCGAGTAAATATCTGAAATCCAGCTCTTTATCATATTTTTTGCATTAACTGGAATATTTATCCCGTCTAATGCAGTAGACTTTCAATAAACATACACAATCAGTGTCGCTCATTCGAGATAAAGGAATATTTGACCTCCTACCTTGAATGTATCAAAGTCGATTCCTGCATGATGTTGCATGTGTCTGAGTGGCCCTATTAGTTTAGTTTACACATGCTAGGCCCGCATATCCTTACATCCAATGCATGGTTTGGCCTCCTGGGCCGGCATTTTCAATTTGCGACTTTTCGTCCGTGGCCAGGAAAAGGGTTTCCTTTTCACCACCAATGGGAATGCGACTCCATGCAATTGGTATTCGCATCCGATGTACGCGTAGGTCGGAATTCTTCAGAGACCATCAGCTTCCTGTGGCTGGGTCTGGCCAACACTTATTAGGAGTAAACTAACCACATCAAGCTGTTTCCTTAAACTATCTCTCAAGCGTTCTTCGTCGTCCTTGGTACGGCGAAACCACGAGTTCCACGACAGGTATTTTTGCTCATGGTGGGGTTTGGCAACGCTGTCTTCCTCATTGATAAGTGGAGCCTTACTCGTCCGTGCCTCGTTCCGACGTCGGGTTGCTTCGCGAGCGAATGCATCTCGAAAGTCTCCGGTTTTAACCCTGTTGGTTGGATCCAAAAACTTGGGATTGGCACCAGTGATATTATAAGCCATGTGAAAACTTCCCTCAGCCGTCGATCATCACTATCCTAAGGTCAAAATTCAAGATCGATGTGTGACTTGGTAATCGGTAAGCTGTGGTGGGGGACAAAACGCCTTCTCCACACAAAGATCACCATCAATCACGTGCAGGAAGGAGCTAGTGCAAATTGTAAATCGTAATAGTCCTACTCTTCATTGACTTGATTGCTTATAGTCCTTAATTAGTTTACTGCTTCCGACTCTTTGGCCGTTGAAGGGGTTGGCAGGCTGGCCATCCCTGCTCGAGTATGAGATAGCTTATATAGGTAAGCGATATATTTTGATGGCAGAACGTGGGACTCATCCAACCCCCAAGAGGATTACAAAAGGAATACCAATCAGAGCCCAGGTCCAATGACATACCTGGGTCGTATAATACTAATGCACAATTTAGAGATCCTGCTTAGGAAATATTAGGTGTTTGTGCCATTATTTACACCTTTTGAAAACCACAGGGATGCGTAACAAGTCGTCAATGCAGTGTTCCTGGCAAGAGTATTGCAACTGGAGCAAATATAGCAACTTGAAGATATATGCATGATGGTGCCAGATTACGCCATGGGGACTTCCCAGAAAAAGCAAGGTTTCTTAGGGCACTATTTCCATTGTCTGAAATAGACGATGTGGTCATTCGACGCTATCTAACAAGACAGTCATACCCGGATACAGAATGAAAATTCCTGTCACTGAAACTCGCCCTGACGTTCCTTTGTATTTTAGCGTCGAATCGAGAACAATCTAAAGCAAAGCAGCACAGCTTGCTAAAGCATCCGACAAGGATATTAGATAATAATTGCGCCCGTGGAAGCGATGGCTATATAAGCTGTTGTCTTGACGCATATAGCTGTGAGGCTCTAAATAAGACCGGCCAGGACTGTAGGACAGTCGGAACGACAGAGCGTAATACTGGTATTCTCTTAAATAATGGTGCTTATGCTTGTCTCACCTCTTTCGCCCCTGCCACGATTTTGTCTCAAGACTTCTCGCCAATTTCTAAAAGTCGAATAAAGCTTGATTTCCTTCTTGGTCTTCGTAACCCCTTCCTATTAAATGAATATGGTTAACCTACGACGCGCACTGCTACTCCGTGTGGTATCTCAATCCTGAATCCTTCTGCCTCGTGGGACTGAGCTGGGACCCTACAAACAGTTGGCTTTGAAAGGTTACACAAGGTGATGGTTGAATTCCATCACTTTGTAACAAATAGTCGGGGTAAGCCAGCTCTATCTTACGTTTACCTGGCCCTGATATGCACTGAGATTCCATATCGGCTGATTGGTTCTTTAGTCGGGCTCTCAGAGGCATGAGTTGGTGGTACATTAATCATAAGGAACTACAAAAGGAAATCTACAAAGGCATCAGGTGAGAACATCGCATCCCCGATGGTCTTTAACCTCGAGTGGGAGGACGTAGCACTAGAAACACGGAGATACCGTTGTGGGGGAATACGGTCCAAAACCTGCCTAGTATCTGAACCCCGTCCATAACCAGGAGATCTTCGTATGTCTTTAACCGTAGCACAAGCAGAAGACGAAGTATGAAAATTAAAGTCTGGAAGTGTCCCCTATAATATAAATGGTGAAATTAGTTTGCCTGTTCTCTCGACTATCGTTGGCTTTGATCAATATCTCTTGCGCCTTTAATCATCTTGCCGGACAAAATCATAAGTTGAACTGAGTATCGATATCGAGGAGCAGTGGAATCCCCGAGTTACCCTCCTGCGCAGAATAGCGAAACATAGATATTTTTAGAAGCAGACAACAGAAGATTCTTCATCACGGGCTGATGCTGATCTTCTTTGCTTCGGTTAATCCCGTTGGTCTCTCCATGCAAAGGGTGGGTCGGCCCTTTCGTATTTGCCTCTTCGCGAGGCGCACGGCACTACCTAGCGTGGCTGCCAAGGAAATGTCTTGTTTAAACCAAGCTAATCTTGGCGGAAACCCTGATGCTTAATCCTCATTCGTGGGTTCATGGTCTGATGTTGTACTCCGGGACATTTAGTAAGGCAAGGGCTCTGCCGATCTACCTTGGAAATCCCGCTGGCTGTTCCTCACAACGGAATTTATCCGAGCAATACGACTTATATGGAGGGATTGGCAATCTTGGCAGACGACACGCATAGTATGTATTGACGTTGATCTGCAGGATACCGCTACACGTATGATGATCTCACACATCTTCCCTTCGACGGCGAGTAAAAAATCTTTTATAATTATGCATGAGGAGAGATTCAGTCACATGGCCAGAGGGCAAGAGGTGTGGTAGAATAGTAAATCTAATAAGGGGTAGAGTACGGACGATAGCAAATAATTCCTATGATGACTGCACAGAATAATCAAAGCTAGCTCGAGTATAACTCCACCCAAACACGAGATGTTACCTTGTCGTCTGGCGAAAGATGCTAGGCTTGGGCATGGTCAGCTCGAAGTATACTGACGGATACGAGCTGTGTTTCGGTGCATTGGAGACGCATATTCGATGGCCATCCTCATTGTAGCCCTAGTCTACATAATCAGCTCATCCTCGCGAAGTCTAACTCCATTGGGCAAAATTCCCCAAGCTGATGATGCAGGTAGACACCGTATTGATGAAGATCTCTCGTGTAGTAGCATGACTCTTGTATCTCTATACATGATGATTCTCGGAATAGAAGCAGATTGGAGAGGGAAGTATGCGATCACCATTGAGAGTCACATAGGGTATCATTTCAATACGAGTTGGTGTCGGTCACACTCGGGATCTCACCAGCCCAGGACCAAACTCCGTCTATATAAAGACCTCACTGACTCTCCCTTAGTCTCTTGTCTCATCAACACACAGAGAACAAAAAGTCCACCGGTTGAACAATACAATCGAACAAATCTTTTCAAGTTCAAATCCACCATGCGTTTCTTCCTTGCTATCTCGACTCTTCTGGCTGTTGCCACTGCAGCCCCTGCCTCGACTGCACAGAACCTTCAGGACGTTCACAATAACGCCGCTGCTTTCACCGAGGCAAAGAAGGCCGCCGGATGTGACTGGCTCGGTAGGTGTCTGTCGACAAAATCTGGCTTTTGCAACCTACTGATATTTTCCAAAAAAGCCTGTGTTTCCTCTCTTGCTGGGGAGAGCGCTGCATGTGCAGCCGCCGCCGCCGAGCTCGGTGCTAGTATGTTTTCCTTTTTCCTATGTGAATATTATAAACCTTTTACTGACTTGATCTTCGAGACCCCATTGCCGATGCCGCTTGTATCGCGTCTGTCGGTACCTCTACTGTGAGTCACGCTATATGCCATCATATTATATAAGTTAATTTTGACTCTTGAAACAGGCTTCCTGCAAGAAGTGTGGCTAAGTAGCTACGGTGAAAACGGTTGCCAATACAATGGACGCGTAGGGACGACGGCATGGAAGGTGGAGTGAAAGGACTTACTGGGAGCGTGTATCCAAGTCCCTGTATATATGGTTGGTGATCAGATGCGAGGAGTGAATTGTCTTTGTGATTTAGTGACGAATGCATACATACATGATTTCCATTCCTACGTACGAGTAACTGTTAACCCTTGTCTCCAGTGGCGATCCCAAATCATTTTGTCAAATCAGAAGTGTAAAGCACAGGATAAAAACCCCAAGCCGATAGGGATTCAAACCTCCCATACATTGAAAGCCCGTAAACCCCTGTCCTAACCGGGTAATTGAATCGAGAAGCATATGTGAACGCACAGGAGCACTCGCTTATGGGTCCTGGCTGCGTACTCGGTATTTCTATCTAAGTTCATACTCCATTATAGATCCTTGACTGATCGCTTCTGTTGCTTCGGTTACTCCTAGGATTATGGTTCAAAAGAGACCCTGCACTATCCAGGGACCTCGCCAAACAGCCGATTTCAGGAATATTAATTCTGTGATGCATAACATCCTACAGCTAGCAGCCATTGAACGTCTCCGGAGAAGAATTGGGGACGTGGAGTCGGGAAACAAATTTAGGTATATAGCCATAAATAGCTTGAAAAGTCCATCGCTTTCTGCATGGTCTGCTCGGTCGCAGAGAAAGAGCCAAACCCACCAAAAGCATATAAGCCCAACCCATGGCTTTACCATATCTATAGCTGATACGTATGAAATTGGACTTTACACGTCAAGACACCCCACACACCTACATACCTACACAGCATATGCTGGCATATATGGATCAACCCTCCCACCCACAACATCCCGCGAGCACTACTACGCTGCCTAGGGTATAGTAGGGACGATTTTGCTATTCTTGATACCCAATGACATGCATTCATTAGACCCTAAGCCCAATTTGTGTTGGGGCCTTTCCTGGCATCACATGATCGGGCGATGTCAACCAGCGTGCGGAGGATGTAACATAGTTAGTTGTTGTAGTGCATAACAGACAGTATCTGTACGCGGCAGAAAACATTGTGAATAAACACATCTTCAGACAACTTCCCCTTCACTGTTTAGTTCGTTAGTGTCTTTGATGCTTGCCATAGACATAGTTTCCCGTTCAGAACCAGGCGCCCATCATTTCCCACCCCAATTGCCCCGCCAATTCAGCTAAGGCTCAACGACGACTTGTCGACGTTGACGCTGTATTTTATAGTGATGATCCAATTATAGCACCAATGGATCCGCTGGATTTGGCACAGGCCTCCATTTTACGAGTGGCACATATTGCATCCGAACTGGGTGCGCAGTTCAAGCGCCCGGTATGTGGTCGCCTCGGGGCGCAGTTGCTCCTGGTCGCGGACTACCTCGACACAGCTGGGTTGGACCAAGAGGAGAGGCTACGTTTGCGTATCTCGAAGCTATTGAGGGATGTTGAGATGATTTGCAGCGTGAGTATCCGAAACAAATACTCTGCTAATTTCTCTTGGTGCTTCGACATTATGCTAAATTAATGGCCAGTGGCCGCACCGGATATCGGGAACTAATTATCCGCTCCTCGAGACCATTTGCCAGCCATCTTCAGGTACACAATATGTAAAGACACGGGCAAGAATTCAACAGGGGCTCGACAATATTACAGTAAATACAAACACGGCGGAGGACGCCATTCGGCACATTCAGAAATTTACGGCCCGCAACAAGAGAACATATCGAGAAGCCAAGGAGGACACAACGACCAGGAAGTCCAGACCAACTGAACATCCAACTGATGTCAATGTACGGGCGCATAGTGTACTGCAGGAGCATATGTGTTGCACATGTCAGGACGGAATTATACATGAAGCACGAGGTAGCCACCTGGTGCGCCTACTGCTCCGACCGCCAAGTAGAAACCCCGATAATGCCTGCTTAGCACAGTTCGATATGTTATTTTCGTCTTCGCCGTGGTGGAACGGTTCTCGGTTCAGCCGTTGGCAAGATGTCCAAGTGGTCGTGCCGTGGTAGGTGCTTTTGGGAATTCGAATACGAGATGCTAGATTGATGCCTAATAAATCTTTTAGGGCTCGAAAAACATCTAGAAAATATGCTCGATTCGTTGGTGAGCCTCACGAGAGAACAGGAACACCAATGCGACTCACGCGAATTGATCAAGGTCAATTCTGTAGACTGATTAGTTTGGAAGCCAATTCACGGCTGTGCCTTACAATTCAAGACAGGGAGTTACAAAAATCTGGATTTGAGCCCTTAAAGCAACTGGTTGAGCATGCTCCGGGAATGTCGCTGGCTGAAATTCTCAGCATCTACCACTTGACGCCAAAAATGAAGCTTGCGTTGGCTTATATCCTTGCTTATAGTGTCTGGCAGTATTACGACTCAGACTGGATGAAGACTGGATGGACTAGCCAAACGATACAGTTTATGAAGGAGCATGGAGGCATACCCGTGAGGAACGAGGGAAGCTGTTTGCCTGGAAGCCTTATCTCTCCGTTCGCTTTGGTGACGAAGACGCTGACTCGGCCGAGTTCAGTAGTCTCGATGGACAGATACACCCTTACCCCAGGATTCGATCACTAGGCATTATGTTGGTTGAAATAGGAATAGGGTTTCCGCTACCCCGGACTAAGCCAGGGATCAATGAGGATTACCTGCTAGCCCTTGAGTATTCCAAGGATGAAAGGTTATGGAGGGATTGTGACTATCCTGACTATATCAGCGCGGTAAATCATTGCCTCGACCCGGGAACATTTAATCTTGCCCATTCGACTCTTGGGCAGGGCAGGAAAGAGCTAATGGAGGGTCTGAAACAGCGGAGAAACATCTTGTATGACAAGGTTGTATTTCCAATTGAGGATTTGCTACAAGGCACAAAGTGGCTGGAACAACTGACTGCGATTGCGCCTCTGGAAGCCCCTGCAAAAGCCGCTGCCACACAGTTCTTCCCGGCGGATATTGAAGAGGCTGCCCAACCGTCGGCAGTGCGGAAGGCGACTAAGTCCCCTCTGAGAAAGCCTCAAAAGGAAGCCAAATACTGGCTTGCGCGAATGAGGCATTTTAATCACGAGCTTTCAAGGTCTGCTTTGCCTGTCGCGCCTGTTCGGGTTCGGCTTGCAGTGCTAGATACGGGGTGCAATGACAACGCGCCATTCTTTCTATCCCCAGAAAACGACTTTCGTCTCAGAAAATGGAAGGACTTTGTGGATGATGTCAATCATTTCGAAGATTGTCATGGGCATGGTACCCATCTAACATCTCTTATAATGAAGATTGCGCCTCAAGCGGAGATATACGTAGCACGGGTTGCCAAAGACCCCAAGGATATTCTAGGGGCAAGTGAGAATGTCGCGCAGGTATTGTATCTAGTCTCCTTCGCACATGGATCTACGCGCAATTAACGGAACTTAGGCAATTGATTGGGCTACCACGGAATGGAAGGCCGACATAGTTTCTATGTCATTTGGATACACAGATGATCAGCCGAATATAAGCAGAGCTATCCGCAAGGCCATGTATGAGCGCGACGGCTCCATCCTCTTTTTTGCAGCCGCCTCAAACTCAGGTGCAAATGATAAGGAAATGTTCCCCGCCAGACACGAGTCTGTCATCTCAATACGCGCAACGAATGCAAATGGCGACTTTACGGATTTCAATCCCCCACGGAGCCCTACTGAGGACATAGTTTTTGGCACTCTAGGAGTCGATGTTCCGTCTGCAGGACTCAGTGATTCCGGTGAAGAGGTATACAAATCGGGCACTTCAGTTGCAACAGCTGTTGCAGTGGGCATCGCAGGGGCTCTACTAGGATATATTAATGCAAAAAAAGATATCAGCGAGAAAGTACGAACTCGGCAAGGAATGCAGGCTGTCTTTAGGGCCCTTGCGTCCAAGACACTCAACGACCATTGTTTGTATTTGACTCCATGGCCACTCATGGGTCAAGTAGATCAAACTCGGTTAGCTATTCTTCTAGCAGCGCTCGCTAATATGTGAAGAAGCTTTTGGCACAGCAGCATGACCTCACTCAGTCGACCAATCCACACATACCCCTGATTAATTGTACCCAGATCTGGCTCAACTGGCAGAGAAAATGAACATAGTTATAGATTCTAAACATCAGGTAGAAAGATACAAGTTATGCTAGACTGACCTTCCCCCAATTGAACTGTCTTGAGTCCACCAGTATTTTGCAAAGTCTGGAGATTGTCCGGACTCGTCAGAGTGGCTGTCACTTCTCCCAGATCCTCCTCGTCTTCGTCATCATATTCCTCTCCTTCCTCGTGGCTTAAATATGCTGCCTTATGCCTCACCTCATCGTATTCAATCCTCGTTCCCTTCCATCCTTTTGCTTCAAGCTTCAACAATTGATACGCAAAAACAATGTCATCACGTGCTTTCCATTCCTCACTTTGCTCTATAGAGCTCGATCGAGCCATATTAATGCCAGCTCCAGCCTGACCTGCAGGGGTGGGAGCAGACCCTTCAACCCCAATCTCGCCTCCTCTAGTTTTGCCTGTCTCGTGGGTCACGGCGAATCCCTTGGCTATCATTAACCCGGTCACCATATACACTGGGTGCCTAAAGCCTGGTATACTGCTTGTCCTAAGCACAGCTTGTACACGGGGCGCCTTCAGCCGAGCCTCAAGCTCCTCAAGCTCAGGATCACCGACAAAATATCTCGTCTCCAGAGCATCCATTGTGTATGTGTTATGTAGGCTCGACCCATGTTCACCCGAGACTTTCGCACCAATAGTTTGTACGAATTGTCCCCAAACGCTCAGTGAATTATTACGACTCGTACCCCGCGATGTACTATAGTCATAATGGGTAAATATTTCGATTTGTGGGTATCTGGCTTTTAGAACCGCGGCATCCACAGTAGTTAGCGCGCGGTGTGGCCGTAATGGGTCGGCAATGATATTGCCCAGTGCGATGGGCCCTGTTCCGGGCTTGAAATGAAAGTTCGGAGCGAGAATGTATGTTGGCTGTTGTGCCATGGTTCCTCTTTGTTCGAGTCTTGTCTTATAGGACAAAGTGCGGGGATTGTTGTAGGGTCGCCGCGGGGTACCTGAGACCTAGTCCGGCTATGCCTGAGTACTGGGGTGTCGACGCCAGTGACGCGAGCTAGACCCAATGCACACTAGCGGGTATGACGGTTTAGGGGAGACAAATAGTTCCCTCCATAAGTATGAGATAAACAGCACGTGACCCCACTAGATGCATGCCCCTCCTGGATTACCATTGATTTATGAAGCCCCTGTACATATCCCACAATGACAGTAGTCAAGCAAACAGAACGAGGCATTTAGCTGCGTACTCTTACGTCAGGATGGCCATTTCCAAGGCCACTGCCTCATGCCTCCAGAGCTTCACAGAATGCCTGGCAGTCGAGGCGTTGATGACGGACGAATGGGCCGAGAACCGCCTGGCCGACTTCAACCTGTGGGTCTCTGGGGTCGGTGCTTCAGCCCGGGGACGAGCATCTCTTAACTCAAGGCTGATAGCGAGGCCAGAAACACGCAAGGTGATAGAAAATCTATTGCAACTCCTCGCGGGAGTTGTTAACGACCTGAAAGGACAAGCAGTCTCCGGACCTAACGACTCCGTACCGGATTCTAGCAATGTTCATGGAGCTCTCGCACCACAGGAGCCTCCGGCGCGGCCATTCTCCCCCTGGTCGACTGACTCTGAGTCTGACTCGCAGGAGGATAATGAATCCCGACTAGGCTCTACGGGTAATCCGCTGCACGAGGGAATGCAGAACATAGAGATGATGCTGGATCAGCTTGCAAGAATTGGGGTGTCAATACGCCAATCGGGCAGACGGTCGCGTTTGCAAAAGGCAGACCAGCGCTTTAGGCCAGGTGACCACAAAGAATTAGAACAGCACCTTAGCACCATCTTGCTTGCCCGCCCAGGATTCTCAAAAGAGGGAATCGAGCTTTCGAAGCTGAGTGAAGTTCAACAACGATTGATTTATTGTAATCTGAAACGGCGTAATCGCTTTCTGTATGCGCAGCAGCACTCGAAGGGTTTGGATCCATTGTCTCCAATGGATCAGTTCACAACACCAGTTATTGATATGAAGCCGACCGATCCACAACCAGGACTGAAAGATCACAGACCTGGCGGAATCAATGCGAAGAGGTCGGGTGGACAGGGAGATGGAAAAACAGGAACGAGCGCATCTGCAGTCAGTGAATCCTTCCTCTTAGATGGGATCCCAGTGCCAGCACCGGCAGCGTCGACAATGATGTCGTCAACCGTGATTGATCTCGAATACCCACGCCCCCCAATAGTTAGCAAGGATGCACAACTTTTTCGATGTCCTTGCTGTTGCGTCGCACTCCCAGTGTTCTTTTTGGAAACAAATAGGTGGAAGTGAGTAGCCTAATCTTAGCCGAATACAGATACTAAATCAAGAACTAGGAAACACGTCGCAGAGGATCTTAGCTCCTATAGCTGTATCCTGCCAAGATGCAGCAAGCCTTATATTCTCTATAGCACAAAAGAGAATTGGAGAAAGCATCTTCTGACAAAGCATTCGAGTTTCGAATATTTCATCTGCTTTGCTTGCACTGATAAAAAACAACTGTACTCGGAGAATGAATTTAATATGCACATCAGAATACAACATGCATCGACAATACCACCGGATCGGATTCCACTTCTGACACCTCTCTGCAAACGATCAGCCCCAATCAAGATTACCTCGTGTCCATTATGCAACTGGCCCGAAGGCGAACAAGGAGAAGTTGATAAGGACATGCTTTTAGACCATATTGCCAAGGAGATACACGCGTTCTCACTGCGAGCATTGCCCTGGGCTGATAATAATGGGCAAGAGACTGATGAGCGAATAGAGTACAGCACTAAGAAAGTCCTTGATTGGCTCGTTGAGAACAAATTGTCAGTTAACCTAAGTCAAGAGAGGCCAGTTCGTGAAACAAGAAGCTACCTTTCTGAATACTTCGAACAGAATGCGTACTTTGGAGGCAGTTCGGCAGCCTCCAATTCTAGTGACGTTGACACAGTTCTTTCTTGGGAAGTTGAACTTGACACCCTGAAAAAGGTAGACGGTCCACTTTCTTTTGGAAGTGGTGAATACCATGTGTCCTCTGGAAAGGACTCTGATGATTACGAAGCATATTCTGAGGTTGATTCAGTCGGGCCTGTCAGTTGGGGGACCGATATACCCAATAAAATGGGCTCTGATGATGACGAACCAAATTCCAATATCGACTCAGTTAGGCCTGGAGGTTGGGGAGGTGATATACCCCATGCAAAGGCTTCTGATGATGACGAAGTATATTCGAAGGTTGATGCGGAGAACATACTCGTCACGACCGTAGGCAATCTCGAGCAACTTCAGAGACAGGAGGAGTCTATCCAGTGGGCTCGAAGGGCTTCGAGCCAGACTGCCGTCTCGCCAACTTCCGCCGCACCGCCGGCACCGTTTGTGACACCACAGCAACCTGCACAGTTGGAGACGCACATACAGAGGCAACAGAGCCAGGATCAAACGCGCGCTCCGATTTCGAGAACTATTGCGGAAGATCAATGGAACAACGTCCCGGACAACATCAGACAAATGTACGACGAAATCTTGGCGCAAGCCCCACCTGCTGAATCTATCTCTGTTCAACCGGAGCAAAAAGCTCAAATGTCCCAGCAACTACAAGAGTGTACAGATATTCTAGGTAGGATGGATACACTGGTTCAATGGTATTCCAAGATCCCTAAACAGGAAAAGAATACAAAAAGCCTATTAGCTATAGTATGTCTATATTGTGTTTTCCTCTGTTTGATCAAGGGACAAATACACTGACCCCGTGCCATTTAGCGTATACAATTAATGAGGCAATTTAAACCAGGACCTGACTGGACAATCAATGACTATTTTACTGTCACACCAGAGTATCTAACAATGGCTGCTAACTATATTAAGAAGCTTTTCCAGGTCATGGTCACACGCGTCCGCCAATATGAAAATCAACCATCTGGACAACAACCGAGTGTCTCTCCTCAGGGAGTACCGCATGTTTATGGAACCGGTAGCATGCCCCCTCAAGAGCTAAACCTCCCTCCGCCAAAGAAGATGAAGCAGTCTCAGGCCGGGCATATTACCGGAACAACTGGCACCACATCACCGGCAGCCAAACACACTGCAGCAGATGCCAGAAGTGAGGCTCTTTCTGACAAGCGGTCTGGAACACCCAATATGGTTCCGGACCAGCAGCATCCAGCTTCCGGTTCTCCTGCAGCACAGCCTTTGAGTGGTGCTTTACTCACATCAGCCGACAATGTAGAAGATGTTGCGGCTGGCCTTCGCATATTCCGCGAGCCTCTCCCAGAGCATGCAACAGAGATTACTAGTATCATTGCTGATCTTTATTCTATATCCCACTCACTAAGAGTTTCTAGTACCATATTAGAAAAAGGAATACACCAACAACATATCGCATCTGCAGAGTCTGACCTAGAACTAGTTTGTACGAGTTTGAAACAAACGCTTGATGATATTTTCGATTTCTTTGGCGACATCGACCTTCGCCAAGGATCGGATAGGGACAAATACAAGCGAACGTGGACCGTGATGTGTAAATACTTCTACGACGAGTCTCAGACGTCACTTGCAAATCGTATGGCTATGTACAAAGCCTTTCTAGGTGAACTAGCGGATATAAGCAAAGAGTATGCCTCCATGCCATCCCAATTTTAATTCAATGCTACGTCGCTAACTAAGCTCTGCAATGACAGAGGGTTTATGGATGCAACGCTGATGGCCAAACTCCGGAGATATATCGAACCTCTACAAGGCCGCCGGACTTCCCGCTCTGCGCTAGGGTTGGCTCCTACATCCCCTACGGCTTCCAACCCATATGCCCCTGACTCTGTTGATGGCGATTCGAATACAGATCAACCAGGTTCCGTCAGTAATCACTGGGTAAAAACAGTTTTTGAAACGAATATCTCATCTACCCCAATTGCCGAGATTGGAGAAAGGTTAGAAATGTCTGGTCTGTTTATGAGAGAATACAGGCGCTAAAATTAACGACTTAGCTCTAATTGCTTCGGTGAGCCACAAGATGGCGTGAAGACATGGCTTCATGACGAGGGTTTTGAAGAGGCTCTTCAATTGTATGTTATAATACACCTAACCCGCAGGCCTTGGCTGTTCTCTGCCCTTATGCACACCGATGTTTTCTGTCTCTTATTGTTTGTGTCTTTTAACAACTTATGCAGGCCTTTCCCTGGCGAATGGGATACCCTTGTTTCATTTTACGTCCGAGAAATTGACCACCGTGTACGAATCGTATGCGACAGGGTTTCCGTGAATGAAACTCACGATTATCACTGCCTACCGTTGAATTTGCTTGAAATTGTTCGCGTTGGCTCCTGTCTTCAGTTGTGTCGGCGCAGGCGTCAAGGGCAGGAACTTGTGCTCTGGCTGAATCTTAAGTTCACGACAATTGAAAGTGCGTGCTTGACTTATAGCTCCAGCGATACCTTCTAGATACACTAACCCCTAAATGGTACAGGCATGGTTTGTTTTTTCGGCACATTTTTAGCTCTCCGTAGCCAAGATCGTGGTCGACCGGTTGAGCACATCAGAGATTATGAGCTGGATATGGAGGATGAGCTATATGGAGGGTAAGTGCAGCTCAAGAAAGTGAAAGAGTCTAGTATACTAATAAAATACCATCCCTTCAGCCTAATATTTGCCGGAAAAGATTTACACGCTCTGCGAATATTCCAGGACGGCTCTTCTCGGGCTGTACGACTCCAGGCCTCAGTGTATCATGGGGAGATGAAAAAGTACGTGGGCACTGTATCACATTCGGGCTTACCTACTAAATTGGATGTATAGTGTTCCAGTCTGGACAGCCTTTATCACCCAACATATGAAGTCGGAAGGATGGATGCGCTTGATGCCTCCAACTCTCGTTTCATTGCGCGAATTACAGAGAGTAATATTCACCTTCTCTGACTATAGTCAGCCACGCACACGGGATGGGGAGAATGTAATACAATTTACAACAGAAGCTGGTAAGTAATTCGTTCACTTGACCCAATGGGTGACTGACTGCAGAACGATGTAGATGCGCAGGGATTTGTGGATGTCATTATAGAACTCTCAAAAGCTTAGACCAGGCATATTTATAGAATTTACAACGCCACACCTGGAATATTCGTTGGAGTTTTACTTGGATAACAAAACGGAGCTCCTTGACTATAAGGATACGCGATATTTTTTAATTTCTCATGGTATAGCCTTTTGCCCTTTCCTGCGCATATTGTAGCTAGCTATATAATTAGTTACCCCCCACCACTTCTCAAACATCCATATTATCTCACCACTTAAAGTCTACCTTACACCAAGTCTACAGATTAGATTTAATCCTGCTTATGCTGTGTAATTTAGCTTCGCACTATTTTGTAATCTCTATAGAGTACTTCATTAGACGCGTGTTTATCGTTGAGTCGTGCCCTGTCGACGATCAAGACAGGGCTCGCTTCCAAAAGGCACTTCAAGGGGGGTGTATTAGTTTGGTACATAAACTGCAGGGTATCTTGTACACTATATGGGCGAAAGCGACTCCGCCATTAGTACTACGGTCCCTGTAGGCTGCAGGAAGCATTGTTAACCGAGAGACTAAGACTGTATCTTTTGTAATTTTATAAGGTTTTCATATTCCTGAGAAATACTGGACATTTGCAAAACTAGCCCATCTGGCTTAATCCATATTCCTCATGCTAGCTTTATATTAATGACCTGATTGAGTATACGTTGGATAGAATGAATCGGATTGAAATGCTTGTCGAACTGTGTGAAAGTTTCAATCCCTAGCCAGGAGCCTGGGGAAATGAATACCAAGAGCTACAGAGATACTGTACCAAGAGTATCATAAGACAAACATAGAGTTTCTAGGGTAGGTCTGGAAATGTAAAAGGTCTGGGTCCTTTGCGGGGTGGTGCAGACAGCGCGATATCGACGTGGCTAACAAACATACTGGCCCTATCTCCTACCAATAGTGAGAAAGTAAATCATGGGCGATGTAACAGGAATCAATCATCTACCCCAAGATTCGGCCCCCTTGGACCCATGAAAGACATCTCTCTCTATTGCATTATCCTTTAACACTCAGCGAGCAGTGTAGGTATAACCGAGGCCTATTCCTAAATCAAAGCCATTCCTCCAGCCAGTTTCTGCCATCTTCTCAAACTTCCACCTTTTGATTACCCGTGACTTGATATTTATCACCATTTCTGTCCATCATGGAGCCATCATCAGCTCTTGATCATTCTCCTTACCGCGGCCGTGCTGTCGTGAACATAGAATACAAATCAAAGCATTTGATTACAACGCCGGAGGAGAACTCTGTTCAAATAGTCAACCAAGACGCTCCATTTAGTTTTCTCGGCGCACTGGATATGAATTTTACTATCACCGCCGCCCCAATCTCTATCGGCTCCTTTCTTGCCTTGACCATCGGGCTAGGTGGGCCGCCCTTCTTCTTTTATGGCTTTCTGTTTACTGGACTGGGACAGCTCGTCCTATGTCTGGCTGCGGCAGAGATTGCTTCCTCCATGCCACATCCACTAGGTTTGTCCAGATCAGATGTTGTTACATAGCCAAAGTCCTTGGTGCTGATATGAATTAACCTAGGCCAAGCATATTGGGTAATGCGGCTGGGGCCACAGAAGTACAGCCGTCTTGCGAGCTACATTCTCGGTTGGCTGACCAACGGTGCCTGGCTTCTCATATACACCACTACCGTCCTCTATACTTCTGAATTGGTTATGGCAGTTGTAGAGGCGTCGATACCTCAACACGCTTCTCATTCAGAGCCTTGGCATCACTTCTTGGTTTATGTGGGTGTTTGCGTGAATGCTCTGGTAGTGAATCTTCCCAAATGCCGTAAGATCATGGACTGGTCTCTATCCGCCTCGTTGGTCTTCGTTAACGGCTCTGCACTTTTCATCCTTATCGCACTACTAGTCCGCGCCAACCCCAAGCAAAGTGCAGCTGCTGTATTTGTGAATATTGCTAACGATTCAGGCTGGGGTTCAACTGCGGTGGTTTTCTTCCTAAACGTGATGCCCGGGCTGGCCGGCTTAGGTACCTGCGACGCAACAACACATATGGCAGAGGAACTTAAACTGCCCACTCGCGATATGCCTCGGGTAATGGTTGGGTCAGCACTGTTGAACTATTTGGTGGCCATTCCAACAATGATAATATACCTCTTTTGTATCGTCAATCCGCAGGCTATGCTCTCTCCGGTAGGGGGCCAACCATTGATCCAGCTGTTGTCCGATGGTTACGCATCTAGAGCGCTTACGGCGATTGCGGGCGCCTTGATCGTGGTGAGCTTCACTAATCGGCTGCTGGGCAGCCTTGGTAAGCTGGAGTCGGTTGTATTGGTCCTTCTCACGGACTAACGGTTTCCCATTTTCTAATTTCACCGAAAAAACATCCCAGAGCATCCCTGTCAACGCTCTGATCTTAGGCACTGCTTTGACTATCGTAATTGGAGCCATACAACTTGGGTCAACTACTGCTCTAAACGCAGTGCTAGGAGGGGCAAGTCTGTGCTGTGGCTTTCTTGGATTATCGTATTCACCTTTCGTGTGTGGCGGGGCAACGACTTCCTTAATCCACAGCGCTGGCTTAACCTGGGGAAGTGGGGTCGTCCGTTGTCTGTAATCGCAATTATCTGGTGTATGTGGACGATCACTTGGGCGTCATTTCCACTGTTTCTTCACGTGACTCTGTCATCTATGAATTGGTCGGCATTGGTTGCGGCCGGTGTTGTCGTGGTCAGCATTATTTACTACATTCTGTTCTATCGACACAACAGGGACGAGAGGGGATAAGGCATCATGGATATGCAAGGATGGCCCCTACTTTGTCATGGCGCTGCCTAGCCTTTGAAAGAATCCAGCTTCGCTAGTATCCGGATTACCCATGTACTATTCAAACTCTCGTAGCTCCGTAATGTAAGATCTGCCTAGCATTGTGAAACTCCTGAGACAGTCCTCTTTCTCTAGCTAGATCCCTCCATTTACCGCTCCTCAACTGAAAGTAATGATGGTCTGTGAGCACGTATTGTCTTAGCCCATAAGCCTGAGCCTAGTTTTGTCGCTAACCTTTGTGGTAAGGCATATTACATACCTTACGCTGTTGCCTGCGTCTTTTTATTTATCCTGGATTGAACCTCGACCACACGGGTTAACTCAGACACGTATGCCCCCTATTGAGGGAGTGGGTCTCCAAAGTAATGCTTATAATCTCTGGCGCTTAGATACCCGAGGTGAAGCTACCAATCGGAAACGTGGTAGAAATCATACATCCCTCTAAAAACCTTATCGACCGAGGTAAAGGTGGTTGAACCATCTGTCAGAGCTTATCTAGCCGCTAAAGTCTAATTGGTTAGTATGAACTTAGTTATACGGAAACTTTAAGAGACCGAGGCAAGTGGAAATGGACTTCATTTACTCCGGACTGAGTAGAAACATAAGCAAATCTGGGGACAATGACTCCCATCCTGCGCAACTCCGGCCTCAATTTTAATATAGTAGGCTTACTTGTCAATGTTGAGCACTAGTCTGTTCACGGGAAACCTTATGCCGTGGTGGATTTTACTCTGTCAATCAGCTCTCCATGTACATGATCTGAGTTCGATAAATCTTATTGCGGGCGGGGGGGGCAAAGGCCAATCTGAAAGCCTTTATCCTATGTCATTCCAATTTACGAAGTGATCTTTTACTTTACATCAACCTTATCCTGATTTGAAGTTTAACGTGCCATAGCACTAAAAGCATTCGTAAAAGGTCCAATTCTGAAAAATGTTAATTTACGGTAATCCTACCATGCACTACACCTTAGGAGGCTAGTAATTCATCTGGTTATACAGGATATTTCATTGCATAGATACCAACACCTTGCAGTGGCGAAAGGTTAATACCGACATTCTCGACTCTTCTGATTTCAAAGCCGGCTCACACGAGTCCGTTCCTATGCGAGAGCTCGCCCACCAGTATACCTATTAGCCAAGAGAATAAAAGTCCATGGAGTTTCTTTTTTTTTTTTTCCCGTGGTGGGCACCGAATTGACGCAACGTTATTTCCGGCGCGAAATATCCCTGTTCTGGAAGAAAACATATCGAATCTACAGAATGAGACTTTCAGGAAAACAACTTCGTGGCTCTAGATTGTACCCACGTTATTAAGATAGAGATTTGTGTGGAGCCGCGGCTAACCCCAGTGTAGGCCTAATAAGTATGTATAGGTACAGCAAAGATTGCAGGATAGTGTAGATAGTAGCTGGACATTTAACTTGCTCCCTCCCAGATTTCAAACAGGTGTTTCACTATTACGAAGTGTCTCACTATTTCGAACAATCTCCCACTTGCTCTATACCAGAGCATTTGTTAATCTATCTGAAACGGCGTCGCTACTGTGCCTATTAAAGAAAATCTATCTTGTGTCGAGATGTCTTTCAACACCGCGTTGACCCGGAAGTTGGGGATTGCAGGTAATCTATCCTCCCCTGTCCATCAAAAAGATTGCTCACCATTCCTCAGTCCCAATCATTCAAGGGGGCATGCAATTGGTTGCTTATGCGGAGCTCGCTTCTGCTGTCAGCAACGCTGGTGGATTGGGTATAGTATGTGCTACTTACTTCTGAATACCTTTCCTCATATTGATCCATATTCTAACGGTTCCTTGGGCTATGCTTAATCCAGCTCAGTGCACTAACACAAAGTACCCCTGATGATTTACGAAAAGAAATTAGAAAATGCCAGTCCATGACCAACAAGCCGTTCGGGGTAAATCTTACCCTACTTCCCTCTCTCAATCCACCAGATTACGCTGCCTACGCACGCGTCATTACAGAAGAAGGTGTGAAAATCGTGGAAACAGCAGGTCACAATCCAGGGCCTATTATTGCACAACTCAAGAAGGCAAACATAATCATCCTACACAAATGTACTACGATTAGACAAGCCAAGTCAGCCATTAAATTGGGTGTGGATTTTCTTTCCATCGATGGCTTCGAATGTGCCGGCCACGTCGGCGAGCATGATTTGACAAACTTTATCCTCCTTGGTCGCGCTCGCCAAGAGCTGAAGGTGCCATTTATTGCCTCAGGTGGGTTTGCGGAGGGGCGGGGACTGGCTGCCGCTCTGGCGCTTGGGGCAGAGGGTATAAATATGGGTACTCGGTTTTTGTGCACGGTCGAAGCTCCTATCCATCAGAAAATTAAGGAGGCCATTGTCCATGCACAGGAAACCGATACTACCTTAGTTATGCGGCGATGGAGGAATACCAGTCGTTACTTTGCGAACACTGTCACTGAGGCTGTTCTCAGAATTGAGAAAGAATCGTCGTCAGGCGAATTCTCTGAAGTTGCGCCATTTGTTAATGGTCAGCGTGGTCGGCAGGTGTTTTTGGATGGAGATATTAATCATGGGGTGAGTTATTGGACCATCCAGTCCATTATTAAACCAATCGGAACTTACAATTTGAAATTCCAGGTATGGATGGTCGGTCAAGCTGTCGGATTGATTCAGGACATTCCCACGTGTGAAGAACTAGTTCGTCGTGTCGAACAGGAGTCATTGCTGACAATTGAGGGGATTCACAAGCTTTACCATGATCGCCCCTTGCAGACCAGGTTATGAGTTATCTCAATACCACTGGACCAAAACAACCATAATGTGTCAAGGTCATGCCTCGAACACCTGATCCTTACATTATTCCCAAAATTTTCATCTCGCTTTGTTGTTCGTATACTTTTTGAAAACGCCGATCTCACGCCTATCTTATGCTATCCTACTATACCAGAGGATTTATTAGAGTTCTCGACAATGTACTAGTCTCCAACCACATAGTAAAAGCTTCAACTAGACCTAGGGAAATGCTAAGCTCAGCTTCTCTTCCTAGGCCAACACAAAGAGGCAGCTGCTCAAGTTTGAAAAGACTTTTTGTGATGTTAAGTTAGTGCTGCTGCGATACTCACTATACCAAATTCGAACAGGCCTTGGCTGGAACCAGACGGGATTTCTGAGGCTACGCCGAAAAAGGATAATCGAGTTTATCTATGGATACGCTAACCGTTTACAGAGGAATTCAATTACTATTCTTCGCAAGCAATACCAAACTTAGTTTCGGGTTAGTCCGAACAAGGAAACCCTTACCTCGGTACCCGCGGGCTGCGAATACAGGAACTTACCATTAGCCTATCCATGGACTGCAACGAGTATCTTCAGATAGGGTTTATTGGCAGACTATATAGTAATTCCTGGAAAGTTATAATCTTAAAGCACCGATAGTGCTAAATCCCTCCTGCATCTGCTCTAGCTTCTAAAACCCGCGGTTCCGTCGTGTCTTACAAACCTTGGCGCGAAATTGGGAGTTAATCTTGAAAGGCTGTGTCCACTTTGTAATCTAAATTCTCGACGCAGCCGAGCAGGCTCTGTAATCGAAATTAGCTTTCAAAGCTAACCACAGTGATCGCACCCTTGGAATTCCCCCGGACTTTATCCTCCACATTGCACGTCCTCGGAAACGGAGTAGATACGGGGGAGCTCCACCAGCGACTCCGAGGAACTATCGGCTGTTTTATCTGTCCGTGTTGACAAATCAATACCCCTGCCTGACAACGGGGAATGTCTAGGATGGACGGAGTAGTGATCGCTATATTTCCGTAAACTTTTTTTGCAGTATATTCCTCAAACAAGTCAACCATATCGCTCACACAGCTTTAGACGGAATAAATATGGTGGCAATCCATCTACCCTCAATGGGTTTGCGGATATAAAGTGAGACTATTAAGTATCTCTCAGTTTCAGGACCTGCTACAAATACTTCAGCTCATAAGCTGCTGTATCCGCCCTTTCAATCGCTCAAACTTCGGCCGTCGACAATGGAGATACTACTCGATTATCTAGAAGAGGATTCCAGGAACGTGTTCATCGATTTGACTCCTCGGACATTATCGTCTTCGCCAGAGGAATGCTCGGCAAGCTATTTACCAGGATTTGTGAAGCCAATCTGTACGACGATAGGTGATGAGAAATATGAACATCTTCTACTTCAAGGGGCGTTGACCCTGCCCAGCTTTCCGCTTCAACAAGCCCTGTTACAGACATTCTTTGAGTGTGTGTTGCCAAGTATGCCGATCATAAATTGGCAGACTTTTATCAACATTGTGAGCAACAAAGAAGGTGGCCAAGGCCAGATTAGCTTGCTTCTATTCCAAACAATCATGTTCTCAGCAACTGCCTTTGTCAACCTTGACCACCTTCAAAAGGCTGGCTACTCGAGCCGAGAGGAGGCTCATGAAGCGTTCTTCCAAAAAGCACATGTTTGTGACTCTCAACGTAGTCCACAAGGCTTTGTCTGAGCTAACCACATCATAGCTTCTATACCAGTCGCATTACGAACCCGATCCACTTGCCAATCTTCAAGCTCTACTTCTCATGACATACCGTGCCAAAGCCGCAGACGGTAAAGATAGTCGATACTGGATTGAGGTTGCCATTTCACTGGCATTAATAATGGGGCTTTTTCGAAACCTTCCCAGCGGTTATGCTGGACACCACAATCAAAAGCTTCACAGAAGAATCGCTTGGACATGTTACATGGCGGACTCCTTTATCGCGCTCAGACTAAGATGCTTGCCGCTAATTAGAAGTGTCGATTTCAACCTTTCCATGCTAACTGAAGATGACTTTGACTTTGGACACATACCCATGGAGAGCCAACTCTTGCTTCCCGGGTGCACTTTTATTCGGCGTCGAGAGGTTCAAAGGTACCTGGCCGATATCTGTGTTTCCCAGGCTCAGTTATCTTTATGCATCAGGAGAGTGTTAAATGTTCAGGCCAGGTGCAACTCAGCGGAATTATCTTCCGAGACTACCGCCAAAACACCAGATACTCAGAACAAACACCACTCAGATTATCTCACCAGTATTTGGATGTCTCAGAAGGCATTGGCAGACTGGGAGTATTGCTTGCCACCCATATGTCAGCGTCCACCAACAGTGTTTGGGATCGGCAGCAATGAAAGCGCTATAGTTACCCTCCACCGCAACGTCTTGCACATGGTCTACCACGGAGTGGTTTGCGTTCTGTATCAGTCTCGAATATTCCAATCGTCAAGCTCCCGCATGCAACATGCTGCTACACAGATCACCGAGATTGCCACCGAATTGGATCAGATGAATGTACTACATTCGCTCCCGATTATTTGTTCTACAACTATTCTGATTGCGATGATAATCCACCTGGCGGAAGTGCAGACCTCTTCCCCCGTGAAACAAGGGGTGACTATGAGAGACATTCAATCATGTATTGAATTAATGAAGAGGCTGCAAGATGTTCACTCATCTATGGATATTGTCAGTCATCTTATACTAACTGCCCTCCAAAAGTGTTCGCCATCATAGTATAGAACTATGAGGACTTGGCCTAAATTATCATATGCCAATACGGTCACAGAGATAGGGTGGACCGGCTGCCAAGGCATGTGCAGATCTTGAACACTAGGCTCTCCAACATCAACTACATATTGCGCCATCCCGAAGGCCATTGCGCACAAGACTGAGGGTAGAACGTTCCATGAAGAGTCCCTCCAACTTCGAATAAACAATCATCGTCAACGCCGAGAATCCAGCCTATTACCATCTTCTGGGAAGCCAGTCCGCAAAATGAAGCTTGTGACTAAAGGCAGACCCATCCATGACCGTTTAGTGTGAAGACAGCACTTTACTAATCCCGTCTATACGATTTTGTGATATTTCATAGAGTTATTCCGGAGACATTCTCCATCTCCGCCGCAACTTGCCCGACATAATAGGCTACCTTGCATCAAAGGTTGTATCACGCATTCTCTCAAGCGGTGCTTAGAGCGTTTGGAGCCAGATAGTGATGGTTCTGAAGAAGCCAGCGAACTCATCAACCAAGCTACCTCTCATCAAAAAGGTCGGTCTGAGCAATGACTCGGTTCAGATGGGAAGCTATTGAAGCGACATATAAAGCCTACTCAAGCGCTTATATGGTCCGTATCCTGAAAGCCGAACCTTCAGAGGAAAGGTCGCTACTCCCTATAAGCTGGAAGTGTCGCGGTGATAATACGAAATGTTGGAATATAGTGCACTTACGTACTCTTTGGAGCCAAAATAATGTCTTAGTTCATTCAAAACAATTGTCATCTACCAACATCCCAGAGGAAACTTTAATCAACTCACCTGTTTATGTTTGCTTTCCTGTGATTAGTGCTAATTTATGTGTCCGGAGTTATTATAAGTATAGGTTGTCTTGATTTATCATGTATTGATATTCATTAAGATGGGCAACAGTTCATCTAGACATACCATTTTAACGGATTAGAAACCGCTGAACCATATGTTTAGAGTCACTATCTCTCCTCATTATATCGACCTCGGCCCAGAGCCCTATTTCCAGTATACAGATTCTCATTCATAGTCCTCAAAATGCACTGCTCAGCACTTTCTCCATAATATTCTGCAGAAATTTCCACCAACGCCTGACATCTAACAACCTCATGCAGCTGGGTATCTCCAAGATTGCAACCTATCCAGGAATTATCTATAGAGACCCCCCTGCATAGAGTATCATGCGGGAGGTCGCGAAGCTCATGCCACGACATTCGGAAAAGCCCATGCTTAACGTGGCTGTGTATGGACCTCAACCGTGTATCCCAGTTCTTGTAATAGGGGTTGAAGCGAACGGTGATATAGATCAGTACCATAGTGTTGATTTTGGAGTCTGGTTAACCGGGTTGGTAAAAAGGTTATAAGGCTAGGTCCTTCGTAGTGGTGTCGAATTCTTGAGGGTTATATGGAAAGATATCGAGGCGTTGTGTGATCGACTCAGAAGGCGTTCGATGGGATACTTATACATCATAAATGGACTCTGTGTGCAATCTCCTTCTTCGTGGATAGTGCAACTCTCCATACGCTAAGGCACTTCCACGACGTATATTGGCTCTACATGGCTGAAAAATCCGATTAAGGAGGGGCGTTACTATTGTTATAACATCCACCAAGGTAAAGGACTATGAAACCTTGTAAAACAATAGACGTTGTTACTGGGGTCGCGATGGAACTTTCCAAGTCATAAGCGTAGACTCGAGAGAAAAATAAAATGTCGTATGTCTCCAAGTTCATATCACAGGTATTAGTGTTGATAAGAGCACTCTTTAAGGTCTTCTTCCGCGGCATCTTTGTTCATTATTTGGAATTATGGTTTTGTTCACAAGTCTCATTGAAGGAAGTTAACCAGAACTAGTACGGGATGCATCTATCATTGAGCAAAAGAAAACTATCCGCAAAGTGGCGGACATTCATCGCGCAAATATGGTCCTGCCATGGAGGGGTCTATATAACTATATATTTTCTAGAGTTGGAGACAATGAAGCGATCAATGACTCCAGTCTTCACGGAATGTCTCTTACCATAGTTTCACCCCATGAACTCAGGTAAGTATACAGAGTTATTTTAGAACCATATAAAACTAAGGTTGAGTCGTACGGAAATATCAACAGTGAGGAAGAGATACACCTTCATTTCCTTCAGGCACCCACAAATCACGTGATTTAAAGCGGAATCATTACTGCGACTTGGCTATAGAAGGATCCTAGACACAATTAGTTATAGTAGAGGTCACTAATTGTTTGATCAACACTTAGCATAGCATTAGCCAGGAACCGAGTGTATAATAAGTCGTGTTTCGGCCGAAGTGGCAACCGTTTTGTAGGGGCGATGTGGGGGAGTAACAGTATAAATCGCGGGAGAATCGACGTCATCGAACCCGCAAGCGAGAGCAACGTATGTCAGGTGATTGGGTGGCTTTCCAGCCCGGCACGTTTTTCTTGTTTCCATGTTTCCAGACGAGTCTAGACCCAAAGCTAACCAATCAGGCCATGGGAAAACCTGGACTACACCTCAGGACCCTACACTCCGGCCTCAGGCAGTCAGGTTTCCCAAGAGTTTCAACTTCTTTTCCCGGGCTTTCTCTTTCTTTCCTCCACAATCACAACAACACACTCCGCTTGGAAGATATGTGAGGATGGCAGCTTCCTTTCCGCGGCCTCCCCCCACGGATGCCGAACGTGAAAGGATCAGAGAGTTATCCAGGTGAGTAACGACAAGGAACGAATATAGGACTGGGCCATAGTTATTCTGTCGGGTGTTGATCCGCTGATCATTTCCGTCGTCGGTAACACAGGTATTACTGCACCCTCGATCGCATCCCCTCTCTGTCGCAGCCCGACAAAGGGGAACAGACAACAGCAGGAGAAGATGCCGACAAGGATTCACCTCGTTTGTCCTCAGATATCACCCTTACCGCCCTGAGCCAATTGGCCGTGTTGCGCTTCGGATGCAATCGAGCCTTTATCTCCATCATCGACGATGGGAATCAACATATTATCGCAGAGGCTACGGGCTCCATCTCGCTACGTGACAAGGATCGACATCTCCCAGATGATGCAATCTACCTTGGTGTGCGAACGATCGATCTGGCCTGGGGGGTGTGTCCGCATACCATCTCCCTGTTCACCGGCCAGGATATGTCCAAGGCGGTCGAGACGCCGAATATGATCGCCAACAGCTCCCGTTTCATTGTCCATGACTTTACCCAAGAGGACTTTTTCAAAGATCGCCCATATGTAGTAGGGTGGCCCTACTTCCGCTTCTACGCCGAGGTGCCACTCCTTAGCCCATCCGGTGTCGTGTTGGGGTCCTTCTGTGTCGTTGACAACAAACCACGAGGGCACTTTGCGGAAGAAGAGGTGGACGCCCTGAAAGAGATTGCAGATGCGGTAGCGTTGCATCTTGACAAAGTCCGCATCTCCATTGATCATCACCGCGCTGAGAAACTCATTAAAGGACTCACGAATTTCGTCAAGGACCATGGGGAGTTCGACCCGGCCGAGGTGCCTCTCCCTATCAGCAGACAGTCAACGCTCAACACACTCAACTCTTCTCGCGATCAGTCGTCACTGAGCCTCCCCACCACGGGTGCTGGGGGCTTTGGAAAAACGGAGGGTCCGATTATGAGCGGGTCGACTGCATCCGAGGTTGAGTTGTCGTCGTTGTTTTCGGGTGTGACGTCCGAACAAACCAAGACGTCATCCTTCCTTTACAACTCATCGCAGTCCGCAGCACCAACACCAGCAGAGGACACTATTAGCCTCCGGGAGGCTGCCTCAGAACGCAACGAACCGCCCACTGTGTCGGTGAAACGCTGCTTCAGAAATGCGGACCAAATCTCTCATGTCTTTACTCGAGCCAGTGTCTCCCTGCGGGACTCACTGGACCTAGATGGAGTACTCTTCCTTGATGCGAGTCGATGTAACTCGGGCGTGTTAGTGTATTTATTGTATGCCACACTAGATCCATGACTAACAAAGGAGTTAGGGTGCTATCGGATGACGAGACTCGAAGTTGGGAACCGCTCCCCACCACAGCAAATCCAGAATTCCTTGCCGACCCTCTCCCTAGTCCTCTTGATCTACCGGGGGTGGGAGCGCTATCCAAAATCGCGGAAAAGCCATGTGAAGTGCTTGGCTGGGCTCAAAAGACACCGTCACCCACTGGTTCCGACATTTTATCAATCACTGAGAGACTTCTCAGCCAGTTGATTGCGGCTTTCCCCAAGGGTCAGTTCTTTAACCTCTATGAACGGATGGATGAGAGCGAATGTGAATTTGTAGGAGGAATACGACGGGATGTCAGCGCGGAGGAGAACTCCAAATCCCTGCGTGACATTGTCCGACAGCTCCAGAACCACCTTCCGGATGCGTACAGTGTTCTTTGGTCACCCCTATGGTGCTGGAGGCAATCACGGTGGGTCGCCGGCACCTTGGTGTGGTCTCGCGGTAGCGACCGTGCGTTGGGAGTTTACGACTTACCGTACTTGAGAGTACTCGGAGATTCCATTATCTCCGAATTGGCTCGGATCGATTGGTCCACTACGCAACAGTCAAAATCCGATTTTATCTCATCAGTTAGCCATGAGCTCCGCTCGCCACTGCATGGTATCCTAGCTAGCGCGGAAGTGCTCGAAGGGACCGCTCTTCAACCGACCCAGGTTCACTGGATGAACATGTTAAAAACATGTGGCTTGGCCTTGTTTGATACATTGAATCATTTGTGAGTGTGATTATATTTATCTCTTCCAACACCTCTCTTCAACTTGCTTATTGTTCCCGCAGGCTAGACTTTTCCAAGATCAACAATCTAACTATAGAGGACGCCGCACGAGAGAACCGCACCCAAGCCTCCGACGGCAGTCTGGCGACGACGTTTGATTTGGCTCATTTGATCGAGGAGGTCACAAGGGTTCAATATGTTGGCCAGTGGGCACCTAAGGCGACTGAGCCTTTTGGGGACCCTTTAGCCACTCCCATGAACAACGGCCCCCCCGGCGAAACCACGGTTGTTGTTCGCATTGAGGAACGACACGCGTGGAAAGTGCAATCCCTGGCGGGGGCTTGGAAACGAATTGTTATGAACCTCCTTGGCAACTCGTTGAAATTCACCAGTGCTGGGTTCGTAGAGGTCTCTCTTTCGAAAGTCGTGAAGCAGTCTGACCCCGAATCAATTTATGCTCATCTCTGTGTGACAGACACAGGTAAAGGCATTGATAGGGTGTTTCTCAGAAACAAGCTCTTTTCCCCATTCGCACAAGAGAATACCCTGTCGGAAGGTCTAGGACTAGGCTTTAGCATCGTACGCCAGTTAGTTGACACCATGGACGGGCATGTCAATGTTCGAAGTGAGGTTGGAGTTGGTACACAGGTGGACATCTACATCCCTGTTCGACGATTTGTCAGTGATTATCCCTCTTCAACTTCCACGTCGAGCGCTCCGGTGAAGGCCTGTCTGGTTGGATTCGAAGGATATCCAGACATAAAGGATACCCCCACTGGAATCTTGCCTGCCGAAGCCAAGAGAAAGCTCGCCATTCGGAGCTCATTGGCGCCTGTGCTGATGGCGCAATCGGGTTGGAGTTTATCGATAGCGGAGTCCATAGAAAATGCTCGCGGTGATGTGGCTATTATCGAAGAGGAGGAGTTCGCTAAGGCAACATGCAACGGTCAATCACCGCGTGAACTTTCTGAGAGAACCGGAATCCACTTTTTCATCATTCTTAGTGGTACAAGACCTCGCCTAAATGACCTACCACCGAACGCGATCCGGGTATCGCAGCCATTCGGGCCAGCAAAGTTCCAAGACGTCCTTCAAAGGACTCAGGAACTCTACTTGAAATCATTAGGAAATCCCGGTCCTCCCCCTCTCACTTCTGAGGAGCCAGTTATATCAAAGCGTTCCTCGTCGGAGCCTATATTACCAGCCAGCCCTAACGCTCCACAAGATGTGGGAGTAGCACTACCACTGCGTCCTCCTCCCCAGACCCCTCAGAACACCGATGCGATACATTGTCTCGTCGTCGATGATAATGACATCAATCTGAAGGTGAGCTGCCTTGGATACCATGTATATAACGACCATTGTTCGTTTACTGACTGTTCGCTCGATAGATCCTGTCTACCTTTCTCCGCAAATTAGGCTGCAGCTATGAGACTGCCTCAGACGGATTAATCGCACTCAATAAATACAAAGATACTCGTCGACGGTATGATTATGTTCTTATGGGTATGTCATCATTCCTGTGCTACGAACGGTCCTGGCTGACAAACCTAGATATATCAATGCCCGTAATGGATGGTATTCAATCGACAAGCCATATTCGACGGTATGAGAAGGAACGAAACCTTACGCCGTCACGCATCATGGCCGTCACCGGGTTGGGCTCAGCAGAGACCCTGCAAGAGGCGATGGCCGCCGGCGTAAATGACTACATGGTCAAACCTATTTCGTTGAAAGCTTTGAAGAAGGTTATGAACCTTGCATGATGTGGTCTCATCCTCGCTTTACGGCATGTAAGTGATTCCGGTCAACGATTTGCTACTGTAAATAAGGCACTGTGATTCATTGTATATATTTCCCTGGTTTGTAGCGATCACTAAATATTGAGCGGGCGGACTCTCCGTATGGGAACAGTCTGCTCGATATGTTATGATATATCCTATTACGATCAGTCATTTTCTTCCAGCTTATTGTATATGCATAGCTAGTAGTTAGTATTGACTGTTCATCCATAACCATGTCAGCCATGCATTAAATCAAGTCGTGATTAAATTAGTCCTACATTGTCAATCATCATTCTACTCGATTACCCCCTCCGTACTCAGGACTCCAATGAGGACCTGGTTGAGACGTAAGGTAATATTATATATTTCTATGTATGTGTCTATGTATGTCTATCTCCTCTATGCATTTAGCTTTTCGCTATGAGCTCTCATCATGTCATCCACGTACCTCGCCGGCCTGTCAACGTCCAGGTGTGCTACAGCACGCCACAATCAGCCAGCAGCATACGTACTCATCTTCCTCAGCTTCTCACCATATAACCACAGGAAGATAGGAGCCGGCACACCAAGCCCAATGGAAACAAACGCCAAAAGACTATTCCCCCAACCATAATCCAGTGCTTGATACATATACGGCGCAAAAAGCGGAAACCCGAAACCAGCGAGCGAACGTAAACAAGCTGCCGCAGCCAACGCACTGGCCGCATACCTCGTGTAAGCATCGACGATGTAGGTCTGCATACATTGAAAAGCAGTGATGATACCAATGGAAAAGATGCAAGCGCCAATATCCGGACCAATCCAGTGTGTGTGTGCCTGAGCTGTCCAGCCGTATATGAACAGTCCGATGGGTGTGAAGAAAACAGCGACCACGAGAAGAGGAATCCGGAATTCGGGCTTCCCCTGCCCATTTTTCTTCTTGAGTCTGCGGTAAATGCGGTCGTTTAGCATGGCGCAGATTTGGGAGCCGCCCCAGTAGCCCAGACCTAGGGCGATATAGTTTAAGGACCCAATTCCGATGCTCTCGTTGTAGGGGCCTGTCCAGAGAGTTGGGAATGTGGACATCACGAGATACATTAGACCGTACATGAAGGCCATGTAGACGGCAATGAATTGGACGATCGGTTGCGTGGTTAGTAGTTTGAAGGGGCGCACAAGTGAGGCACCTAGAATTTGGAGGACTGTTTGGTTGTTGAACATCTCGGCCTCTGTTTGGTAGCCGGGGTCCCCGGTTTCCTTGCGAAGCTTTTTTGCTTTGCGCTTGAGTAGCACGGGGGTGTAAGTCTCGCGAAGGAAAAAGAGGCCGACAAGCTGAATCACGCCGTCTGCAATTGACGTGGCGTAGAAAATCCAACTCCAAGAGGTATTCTCTGTTATGAATCCACCTGCTATGGGTCCTATGGCTGGGCCAAGAAGAGGTGCAAGACTGTAGATAGCGATGGCCCTTCCACGTTCATCTGATGTAAAGAGATCGCTCAATACGCCACCTCCGATCTAAGTAACGATCGAGAGTCAATTTGCCATGTCTTTGTATGGGGAAGAAGAATAACTTACAGCTAGAGGAGCACTGCCCCCAAGTCCTGCAAGGAACCGGAAGGCGATCATCTCGCCTTTGGACTTTGCTACTCCCCCTACGACGTTGAATACAAGGTACACCAGGTTAGCCAGCTGGAGGACAGGCACTCTCCCGTAAATCTCTGAGAGAGGGCCAAGGAAAAGTGGCCCGACAGCATATGCAAGGACGAAGACTGATAACATAAGTTGAGATTCGATCTCGTCGGTTACGTGAAAATCCTTCGCCATGGTACCGAGGGCAGGTGCTACCATGGAGGATGAGGCTGGGGATATGAATGTAAAACACGACACGGTAATCACTGCCATCCATTTCTTGCTCGTCTTCCAGTTTTTTGGATCATCTGGATCGTCAGGTCCTTCCCATTTGACCTGAACTTGTCAGTACACCATCTTGCAAATGGATCGTTGGGATCTGGTATTGTACAAGTTTCGATGCCGCCTCTGGCTCCTCCTTCTCGTGTTCGGGTTGTGCTTGCTCAAGATCTCGGTCTTCCCATTTCCCGGGAGCATTTTGATGAGAGTATTCATTCATCGCATGAAAAGGCAGGTAGGTCCCTGTAAAGAACTTTTATGATCATATAGTTAGTCAAAGTTTATCGATATGCTTTCTTCCATGGCGATATATTTACTTAGTCAACAGTTGGAATGGCTTACTAACCTAAGGGTAAAAAATAAGAAAACAACGAACCAGGGACATTGATTAGAATGCCCCAACCTGGATTTGCTATGAGTAGCATAGTTATATACCACGTTCAAGGAGACCACACGTTTTTCAAAGCCTACAAGCGGAGTGGAGGTTTTCGATGTCCGCCCGGAGCATGAGTATTGAAATGCAATTCCGGATTAGGCAATTTTAGTCCGGGACCCACCGGCCGGACTTCCGCCAGTCTGATTCTTCCGCCCAACTGCTATTCATTCCTTACTATACCAACCAACATGGAACAAGGTCAAGCATAATTTTTTTGCCTTCTTATACAGTATAATTTATATGTATAAACCCCTTTTATGGACTCCACTTCGCAAAGCTTATTTCGTCGTAATGGTAGTCGACGTTCATGCGAAGCGTGTCGGAAATTGAAAACCAAATGTGACCACGCATTGCCTAAATGTGGTCGATGTGCTCAAAAGACTGTTCCATGCGTCTATGACCCGGCACCGATGACAAGAACATTTCGGCCCTTATCAGTGACGAAGAGCAGAGGGCAGCGGAAACCAAGAAATTCCGGATCACCCGCATCGTGGGCCTTCCCGCTTTCCTTCTAGATGACTGAGAGTTTGGTGCTCATTAGGCTAATTTTTTGATAGTCACGATGCACACCAAGGTGGATCATCAGAGCTGATATCATCGCATGGCCAGGCGGTCGTGGTGAGTACGCCGCCACTGGAGAGTGCTGGCTTTCTCGGCCCAACCAGCTATCGCTCCTTGATGAGGGAGGGGGTTAGTGATAGTGATCCTGGCGTTGCAGACACTGACCGTACCACGTATACTATTGATCCGCGGCAACTAGATCTGGGACTTAAAATCCTGGATTTCCTGGCCGATAATGCAATCCTGGTGAGAGGCTTAGTGAGACAGGTGTATCAGATTGGGCGGACACCTATTATACCCGAAGTGCTTATGCTCCCCGCGCTGGAGATGCTATGGGATATTTTTGGGGACTATATTGCCCAAGAGGAACCAGCAAGGCTACGCACTGTTGTTCGCGTTTTCGAAAACTCATACCAACAAGTCCCTGGCAAATTGGCCATGCATGCTGGTGAGCTGTGCCAATGGATCAGTGGTAAGAACGTCAGGTGGGAAACCATTGGTAGTGTGATGCAGATTGCCACTATGGGCTTGATCCACACCCCCGAGCGTGATGCTACCCGTATTGACCCCCAACAGAGGTGCAAAGACGTGGTGCTCGCCCAAATGCTCGAGGTCACTGATCAATTGCTACCGCTTAGCAATGCCCTGCCGATTGTCAATCAACTCATGGTCTGCCTGAAATATTATCAGATGATGCTTGCCTCTCAAAGATTTGGTGATTCAAGTATGGAGCTGTCATACGTCCTATTGCTGGCTAGAACAGTACTGATATTTCGCGTAGGTCGCTGGTTATACTCGTCGCTTGGGGAACTTTCTTCATGTATTTACGCTACGGGAATCCATCAGTACGACATACCTACGGGTCGGTACCCGGGGTTTATTGACTTGTGGCGGAGGAGATGCTTCGCTGTAGTGTATTCTATGGATAAAACCATTGCCACAATCCTAGGTCGACCACCCTCACTGACTCGACATTATTGTGTTTTGAAGCCGCCACTGGACATTGATGATGACATAGATATCTCGAATTATGAGCAGAGCCTCCAAATGCTAGACAGCAATGGGTGGAATACTGACGGAAAACGACGGCCCTCTACTATATTACGTCTTCGGTTCCTTCTGGCGACAATACGAGAGGAGATTCTTGAGCTACATTTGGGGGTGAATTATGTCGACATCGAGGGAAAGACAAGGTATGAGGTACATAGAAGAACCGTTAACAACATGTGAGTTAATATGCCCATAGCAACATCTTGCAAAGCCTTCATGCAATTTGGGATATGTGCCCGAACCATATGAAATATTCACCAGACATGTGGAATGAACAGATGCCCTGCCAGGACATTATTGCTCTTTTGTCCATCTATCTGGATTATCTTCACTCAATCTTCTTGTTGCATCGGTTCGCGGCCCAGGGATGCCAACGCGAAAAGCCCAAGGAGCTTCTTCTTGTGGCAAAGACCATCCTTTCCACCGTCCTAGTGATCAATGAACATCGGGAAAGATCAAGAGAAGTCAGAAGCGACTTTTCCAGCATTGTATGCAGCAATGACAACATAGGGAAAATATTAGTCATTGATGGATAAGCTAACGCATGTCGCAGTTCCTACCGTACGGTCTCCCCAGTGCCGAGCTCCTTGCGACGGAGTTACTCCAATCCTCCAATTCCGTACTGAGTCCTACCTACCCCGGCTTGCCTCGAGCGGAGATAATACGGGAGCTCACCGTCTACATCTCCTGCCTAAGCTGGGTCGCTAGGCCTGGGAGTGGCAATCTGGGATTTTGCAAGAAGGTCAAGGCGAAACTGACCCGCATCCTGGACCAAATCCTTGACCCTTCGTATGTCGCACCGGGCTCGACTGGCAACGATACCGGAACCAGCAGCGATGTTTCGTGGGCCTTTCCGGAACTCCATGATAACGACTTTACAATCAACAATCTACTTCATTCCGATGATGGGAGTAACTGGGATCCTGGATTTGATTTGTTTTGCGGGCCTGTCTTCTAAATATCCAGCCGTTAATCAGCGGTTCAGACTTGGCCAGGCAGCTCGCTATCCACATATAAAGTTAAGATATTACTCGAGAAGCCATTAAACCGAGTAGCTGTTGCATTAGTGTACGCTGTAACGTCCTTTAGCCTTACATGGTTCATACTGAATGAATCTCAACTTACCTCCCATATTCTTATACATCAACCAATCCCTTACCTTCGCCTCACAACGAAGAGTAGTATCCCTCACAACATAGTCACATCCATCACACGTCGGCCCCCAGATAGTATACCTATGAGGCCCATCCTCTCTATCACCCAACGAACCATGATCCGGTATGAGAATCGGATGAAAAATCTCTTTCTCCATTAAACAGTTCATAAAATTCCCGTACAGTCCATCATTCTGGTATAACATATCCGGTTGATCCTTACATACTTCTCCCACCTGTCGTCGCCGGGATATTACCCTGCATACTAGCGTATATGCCGATCGTGCGTAGAACCGGCCGGGCTCTGCGATAAATCTGGTCGTGCTGGGGAAATTGTCAGCTAAGGAGTCACGGATTGTGGACGCTATTTCTCCGAAGTTTTTGTCTTGAAATCCGCCACCGACATCGACAATCCTCATTGTAAACCCGAAGGTTTCAGCTTGGTCAAAAACTATTCGGGCTTCTTTGATTGCCTTTCGGAATGAGTTTAGGTCGTTGGCGCCGGTACCTAATCGTTGGTTAGGGTCTAAATCATAATATCCGTAGAATTGTGCGTCCAAAATACTGGAGAGAAGAAGAACGCAAAAAAAAAAAAAAGACAAGTAATATGAATGAAGGAGGACGGCCTTACCAACATGAAAACTAACCCCAACAACATCCAGACTCAGTTCCTTTGCCCTATTCAGCAAAGCCCGCGTCATCCCTGCCGGCGCTCCGAACTTGTCTCCGAAGTTTATCAGCGCACTGGCATCATTGGCGTAAATTCGTAACAAGAGTTGTGCGCGAGGCATATAACAATGTATTGTCTCTAGCTCATCTATATTATCAAAAACTGTAGTCACAATACCAGCCTCTCTGGCATAATTAAGCGCCGCGGCCGGCTTGCACGGGTTGGCGAATATAATCCGGGATGGATCAACGCCCAGCGCCAACACGGATCGTATTTCTTCGATCGAGGCACAGTCAAAGCCGGCACCCAGTTCCGCGAGGGCGCGAAGTAAGAGAGGATCGGAGTTGCATTTTACCGCTGATTGAATAGTTAGAAACTCCGGTAACAATAATGTTTCAGTTGACAAGCGACAGCTTACCATAGAATGGTTGGACATTGGGGAGGTTCAGCTTCCAACGTCGGTGTTGACGAGTGACCCGTCCTAGATCTGCGACAAAAAATGGATTATCTTCAACGTTTGGCACGCCGCTGTTAATCCTTTGGGTTTGGAACTCAATGGCGAGGTTGACCAGTTGTTCAGACCTCGGGTCATCTACTGTGGTTTTTGGCATGTCGAATTACATAAAGAAAAGGAGCAAGTGTGAGCAATGTATGGTATCCAAAAGGGTTCATGGTCAAGTTGAATCATCCAGCAACAAGGTATGCATGGGGTTTATTATAGTCTACCTAGTTCAGCTCAGCCAATGCACTCCATGTCATACCATGGTCTCCAATGTATGACACATACAAATCCAGACACGTAGCCATCGCGCCTTTCTCTACTCCACCGTCGCGAGCATCATTTGTGGAGCCCTGAAAGCCAATGCAGAATGACAGGGTCTTCTTGTCGCCGGATTTGGCGACGTCGAAATGAAAGTCCCACATCGTTCACATCCAATCCTACATAAGGCTCGGAAATGAGATCCAACTCCTGCTTCATCCCTTGCATGAGGGACTTTTCAGACAGCCACACAGTATACGCTCACGGCAGTGCGTGCGCACCATCGTATATGAGGCGGCGGCCGTTGCATCCAGGATCTTTGAATTTGCATTCTGTATATATGGCGTGCTTGCAATATGTTTCGTCGGCACATATTTTGGTATGGGTCTGCAACTGCAATTTGTGACTGTGAAATTTAGACCGCTATTATGATTCGCAATAGGTACTGAAAACCCCTTCGAGCGGTGTAGGTTTGTTCTAGCCTTGCAGGGATGCATCTAATGGCATTGCAATATGCTGTAAGGTCCTTAAATGCCTCATACTCATTGCACCAACGCAAGTCTCTGTAGAAATAGTTCTGACACTTTCAGTTACCAAACCTTATATAGTACGTCATCTCAGAGGGGGATATTATAGAATAATGATCATATAATGCATACTTAAATGCCCATCCACTCAAATATGGAGAGGTTGAACACAAATTTCTGAAGCCAACAATTGCACTATAGATGCGTCAACGCCTTATGGTTAATCCAAGGACTAGTAATTGGGTAAAAGATTATACAACGGCCACTGAGAACCAAGCACATCCCGGTAATTCACACAAGACAGTCCACCATTTTACGCTTCTGGTGCAGGCACCTGCTGGGTAACACAGTGGATAACACCTCCGCTAAGAGGAATCGTGCGAAGAGGAACCTGTCGCACCTTGCAGTCTGGCAGGAGAGTCTGCCATGTTTCCAGAGATTTCCGATCGTGCGTCTCTGATCCAAACGCGGGGATGATAAGCCCGCCGTTGCAGAAGTAGCTATTGAGGTACGAGGAGACAAATTCATCCTTCGGTAAGATCCCAAGACTTTTCGGATCTGGCTCGTCGATGAAATGAATTTCTAACTTTCGTCCTTTGGCATCAGTCTCATTCCGCAAGGTCTCCAAGATCTCCTCGCCGCATTTAATCCACTCTGGTCCGTCCACTGCATCAGGGCTATGCCGTGTCATGACGATTACGCCCGGTCTTACGAACCGCACCTCAGCGTCTAGGTGACAGTCGGTGATATCGAGATTCTTGCGCCCGGGTACCCATATGACTTTCTCTACGCCCAAGAGGCGTCGTAGCTCCTGTTCAATCTCATCCCTACTTTGCCCCGGGTTCCGCTGCTCACAGACCATGTAGCTTTCCGCGACAATAAGCGTACCCTCTCCGTCCACGACCAAACCCCCGCCCTCAGTTCGGATTTTGGGTACAATTCGTTGCACTGGTGATGGCAACTGATCGGCAGCGATGACATTGTGTGCGAACTCAGTATTTTCCTGTAATTCCTTCCCAGTCATAGAAGGGTTACCATAGCGGTAATGACCATGCGTCCCTTCCCACCCGTTCTTGTTCCCCCATTCATTGAATTTAAAGTCGATAGCTAGCCGCTGTCCGGGGCCTAGCTTCCCTGTAGCATCGTGCACATATACTGGGGCTGTATCGCGAACCCAACAGTGGTTGATTGGGATGGGAATTACATTCACCTTCGATGGAATGCGTACTTTCCGGTTGACGAGGTCCTGGGCATATTCGATATCTTCGGGGCGAGTATACAGTCGCACGGGCTCAAACTCTGCGATTGCAGCGGCCAGGTCAACGATTTCCTCGCAGTTCTTCTCCCATAAGGATTCTAGGCAGGAGGCTCGCGAAGGGAAGCCCATCATGGTCGCGAGATGTGGATGCCATTCTGGGGGAAAGGTGAATTGGCCTGTTTCGAGAGGAGCGTCGTTCTTGGGAGGGGAGTTGCGGTATTTGGTGTTATTAGTGGACGAAGGTGTCCGGTTGGTGCTCAGGTAGCCACCCATTATGTGATTTGGTTAACGTTCACTCAAGGGGAGGTTGTTATGTTGTATGAGAGAGGCCTCTGGGGATCAGAATTGACAATATTGTTGAATGAGACAAATTGTACATGTAAAAGGTATCTATCTGTCTATAGGCCTTTCTACGACTAACAGAGCTGCTTTCAGCAGTAGATTATGTAGGGAAAAAAAAAAACGGGAGGTTGGATGCATTTCATCCATCACATAACCGGTGGGGTAAAGGGCTCCAGCGCTACATTCCAAATTGGACGGGAACGAACAAAGCGAGTTTCCCAGGAATGATCCGTGACAAATATATAGGCGCGCCTGTTCCATTTCTGATTCATTGTGTTTCTGTCATAAAATTCTTGTTCCATGTTCGTCATCCGTTGCGTTACCATTGGCTACCTGCCACCATGACCATTCGTGCGAAATTCTACATGCCCTATGAAGGGAATCCTTCCTGCCATGGGAAGATAATTATGTCCTGGCCGGGGCCTGACAACCCAAATTATGAGAAATGCCGGATCGCCCGTATAAAGAACGAACTGATCGCAATCGCGAAAGCAATTTGTCATTTTCAGACTGTAATTCTCCTGGTGCATTCCACGGAGGTTCCCGAAGCGGAACGAGCATTCCAACACTCTGGCAGATATGGTGTCGAAATACAACCTACTGACGTGAGTGACTTGGAATTTTGGATGCGCGACGTAGCGCCGACATTTGTGATCAGTGAAGGGACGTCACGGTCCATTCTGCACGGGGTCGACTTCCACTTTAATGGCTGGGGTGGACGATATCCCTCAAGTAACAATACAATTCTCGCGAAGGACTTCCTCGCTGACAGAGGAATCCCCCACGTAGAGACTTCAGTCGTCCTAGAAGGCGGCGCGTTGGAAACGGACGGAGAAGGAACCTTACTGGCGACCGAGAGCTCCATCTTTAACCCTAATCGCAATCCTAGTGTTAGTCGAGTGACGATCGAGAAAGAGCTTTGCAGGCTTTTGGGCGTATCCAAAATTATTTGGCTACCTGGGCTGAATGATTACGAGGTGACCGATGGACATATTGATATCTGGGCCCGCTTTGTGGCTCCTGGTAAAATCGTCCTCAATAAGCCCTCTTCAGATAATGAAGTTTTAAGAGCGGTCTATGATACAAATAAGCGTATCTTAAGCCAGGCAACAGATGCGAAAGGAAGACGCTTTGGACTTTTCGACATCCATGAAGCGCGTTTAGATGGGCCTATTCCCTCGGATGCGGACTTGTGTCTGAGTTATGTGAACTACGTGCTCGTAAATGGTGCGGTTATTGCTCCACGATTTGGAGATGAAAAGGCCGACAACTTGGCTATACAAACACTTCGAAGGTTGTTTCCAAACCGAGAGGTGGTCCAGGTGTATCTTAAAGAAATCGTGCTGAATGGCGGCGGCATCCACTGTGTGACGCAACAGATCCCTATTCCATAGTGAGGGTTGAACACGTATTCAGTGTGGTTGAGACCAGAGGCAATAAGGGTGCTGTTACTGGCTGAGGCTGATGGCTTGTCTACAGCAGGAAGTTTGAAATCAAAATGCCACAACATCGCCAGGATGGTGTGGATGCAATTCACTCATATAACAACGCAAAGAAATGAGAACTAAGGAAAATGATACAAGAGAATTCCCAAAATACCCAACCATCGTCCAAAATACCATGCCGGTCCAGCCATCATCATCTAAAGCATCATGGCGACAGCAAACAGGGAAGTCAACGTCCCGACAGCAACCATCTCGGGCCTCAAATCAGCAGCTCCACCATCCACGACACTCTTCACACCATCTTTGATATCATTGCCAACTTGCCTGACTCCATTAAGCCATGTACCATTGGTATTTGTGCAAGTCTCACCCTTGGCGCAGCAGCCATAGTCTCCGTTATCGTTTTTGTGGCACTCTTCATTCGCACTGCAGCTGCCTTGGTTGCCACAACATTGCTCATCCTTAGGGATGCACATCCAACCGCACCTCTTGTTGTCATCGGCGCATCCAAACCCATCAGGCGATCGTGCAGCGATAGCGGGGGAATGGTTCTCAAGGCTCCTACGCCACCAGTCCCAGCCACCAGTTTCGCTGTTGCACTCTTGATCCTTGTCGATACACATCAAGCCACATCGCTTGTTGTCATTAGAACAGCCGTAATTGGGGTTGCAGTCCTCGTTCTTGGGAATACACATCAATCCACATCGTTTGTTATCGTCCGCACATCCCCAATCAGGCGAGCGCACGGCAAGAGCCTGGGAAGGCTCCTCAAGACTCCTCCGCCACCAGTCCCAGCCGCCGGTTTCGCTGTTGCATTCTTCATTCTTGTCAATACACATCCAACCGCATCGTTTATTGTCGGCGGAACACCCGTAATTGGGGTTGCAGTCCTCGTTCTTGGGAATACACATCAGACCGCATCGCTTGTTGTCCTCGGCGCATCCCCAATCAGGCGAGCGCACGGCAAGAGCATGGGAAGGCTCCTCAAGACTCCTCCGCCACCAGTCCCAGCCGCCAGTTTCACTGTTGCATTCTTCATTCTTGTCAATACACATCCAACCGCATCGTTTATTGTCGGCGGAACACCCGTAATTGGGGTTGCAGTCCTCGTTCTTGGGGATACACATCAGACCGCATCGCTTGTTGTCCTCGGCGCAACCCCAATCAGGCGAGCGAGCGGCAAGAGCACCGGAACTGTCCTCAAGGCTCCGACGCCACCAGTCCCAGCCACTGTTATGGCTATTGCATTCTTCATCCTTATCAATGCACATCAAGCCACATCGCTTGTTATCATCGGAGCACCCGATGCCGTCGGGGGAGCGTACGGCGAGAGGGTGGGCAGTGTTGATAGGTTTGAATGGTTGGAGTTGCACGGAATCATGGCGGATGGATTCACCGTTCGAGTTTTCCGCGTTGAGAGGGTTGCCGATGGTTGGGACGGCAGGAAGGAGAAGGCTGAGACAAATAGTAGCAGATAATGAGGTCCGCATGGTGAATTGCTGCATACACCAGTAGACCAGGTATTTCGGGGTTTGATGGTACGTTGAGCTCGAGGGGCTTTTGTGACGATTGTTTGGGATAGTCAGATATACAATTGAAATATGTTCTGATTGAGTGATTTCCACCAAAAAATGATGCGAAAGATCTTCATATTTATAATGGGTAGCCCTGTATACAATATCATTGAAGTAATAGTATCTATACGGTAGCCTGCCAAGAAACAAGTGCTGACCCTGCATGAGAGACTGTTAGTGCCGGCAATGTCAGCAAAGGGTACTGCTGAGCCAAGCCTTGTGGAGGCAGCCACTGCACTATCGACCTAAGCCAGCCCCTGCTCAGTCGCGACTAATCATATTGTACAGAATTATTGCAGAACCAGGGCCACAATATCCGCCCGTTGATGAGGTATGCCGATCCTTTCGCACCGTCATCAAATGTACCAACCCAGCACGACAAGCGGCAAAAGGCCCTGCATGTCAGGGTCCTGGCCCACATCAATAGGCATTGTTAGAATTAACGACTTTCCTGAAGGCAGTGGCGTAGAGCTACGGTTTCTTTTCACATTTTCAGAATAGTGGTTGTAGAAGGCCTTATTCAAGTATCACCAACTAAGAACAATAAATTCATAGTACTATCTCATTTCACTAAACGACAGGATTATCAGTTTGTGTCTACTCTGAGAGAGAGACTCAATGAGCGAAGGCCATGCTGAGGTCCGCGATGAATCCGTATGAGACCTTTGTTTCAAGGGCACACACTTCATGTCATCCCCATGCATAGTGAGACCCCAGACAAAACCGTATGTTCGAGTTTAGTTAATCAAGTATCTGGTCTTGAGCGCGACCTCGCACGATTCAGAGCAAGGTCAGTAGAAAGCGACATTGATTTCGCCCCTCTCAGCTTGCCTCTTGTGGGAGAGCCATCCAACAACACCTCCTATATGAACTACGATATTTGATCATTTCACAAATTTATGAACGACATGAATAATATCCGCAGAGGAATCTGTGGGAGGCCTCATTAGTGGGAAGGACCAATAGAACCATCTACTCGGCTTATTCCAGAAGGCCATATTCCCCGAGTAGGACGCCTGAAAAGTCGGCTGTGAGGGACAAGTTCGACCATTTACAACCACACAAAAGCGAAGTCCTGGATGACAATTAGTTATATCCATTGCTTGATATATGCAGCATATATCGCGTAACGAATTTGCATCGCTCTTATATGGTCAATATCGTGGAACGGTCAATTTTCCAAACAAACCAGCAAATTGGTAGACACCGCTTGGCATTCGGATAACCGTAAGGCCGTCGATCTCAGCATTCAACTACCACTCGATCAGGCGCAGAAGGCTTGTACCCACGGAAACAACCGATATTACCGATCTCAAAAAATATAACCAGAAATGTAGAACTAGTCTGGAATGCCTTTCACAAGGACCATTTGAGATTGAGTAGATGCGGCTGAATCAAGCGCATCAGTTTCGGACGACACATGGAGGTGCACACAAATATATATCTGGCACCGTCAGTAAAAAACCACACTAGTATGGCACTGTGCTCTAGTGTTAGAGCCCAGGAGCCTACATCTTAAACCACCCTACCAATAGAAAACAACATTTCACCACCGCAACAGTAAACGAAACATAAGTAGGGTCCGGAACAGTGGCCAGAAGCAGCCTGGTCACGACAGACGAAGCCGCTGCCAGTACAGAAAAACTATCCTCATAATCGTTAGTGAAAATGGACCGGAGATTTCTTGTGCATTAAAGTTCGTATGGCGACGGCTGCCAACGTGCGGACCCGCGGACCCGCGGTAGTGGTGTCGTGGTGAGTTCTGATATGATGGTTATTGGCCCCACAAAAGGTCTATTTTCTGTAGCACAGACCACATCTCCCACTGAATTGACACCTTTTGCACAGACTGGCCATCGATGCCTCGGGCCAGAGGCTCCCATGTGGGTGTTATTCCCCGCTCCATGTCAATCATGTTTGAGGAGGCCAAATAAATATCGTCACCCCCCAACGAGTGTTGATTTAGTCTGCAGCGCTTCAAAAATGAGTCGAAAAAATCGCAACCCGCTTTCTAATCCCCTGCATTATGCGACACCGCAAGCGCAGGTAGGACCGCCTGCCACCTGCTCTTCAGCCCAACGCTTGTTGAAGGGATATGACTACGGTAAGCTGAGAAGAGAGATGATAATTGCTCAACGCTAAGTTGTGGTCCAGTGATCATCGGAGCGGGCGCGGCTGGCTCCGTGCTGGCCAGCAAGCTGTCTGAAGACCCGAATGTCTCGGTCCTTCTGCTTGAGGCTGGAGGAGATAATACCGACGTCACGGAGAGCAAAATGCCTTTGGGGTTCCCAAAGCTCCTCCACACCGAGCATGACTGGAATTATTATACCGTTGAGCAGCCTGGCCTCGCGTCGCGTCGTCTGTACTGGCCTCGAGGTCGCTTGATCGGTGGGAGCACATCGATCAACGCGATGATGTACCATCATTGCTCAAGGTCCGACTTTGATGAATGGGCGTCTCACTATGGATGCCAAGGCTGGAGCTATGACGACCTGGCGCCATATTTCAAGCGTATGGAGCGCTTTACTCCGAATCCAAACCGTCCGCGCATTGACCTGCAGCATCGGGGCAATGCGGGTGAGTGGCAAACCGGGTATTCGTGGCTCTCTGAAATTGGCGAAAAAGGGTTCCTGCCTGCCTGCTACGATGCCGGAATCCCAGCAGTCGAGGATGTCAACACGCCGGGTGGGACCCTGGGTGCTACTCGATTCCAGACCTTCATTGATTCCAAGGGCCAACGGTCCTCCTTGGCGACGGCTTACTTGACACCGGAAGTTAGGAAGCGGCCGAACCTCTTCATCGCATGCCATGCTCATGTTACTAAGCTGCTTTTTGATCGGCTCAGTGGTGACGAACCGATCGCGATTGGAGCGGAGTTTCAGAAGCAGCGAGGAGGAGAGCTCTTTGAAGTCCATGCACGCAGAGAGGTCATTCTCAGCGGCGGGGCGGTTAACACGCCGCAGCTGTTGCTTTTGAGTGGTATCGGGCCCAAGGATGAATTGGAAAAGCATGGTATCCCCGTCGTCCGGGCCAACGATGCCGTAGGACAAAACCTCAAAGATCATTTGGTGACAACTACCCTGATGTGCAAGGCGAAGGCGGGCAGCACCCTCGACTACCTTAGCAGCCCTCTCAGGGCTTTCCCGTCCTTAGCTCGATGGATGCTTCTGGGAGGAGGTCCACTGACCAACAATGTGGGCGAAACAGCAGCATTCATCCGATCATGGGAGCACCACCCCTTCCCAGGTTCGTCTTCGGAGCGCAACCCCCCGAAGGACTATACCTCAGGGTTGATTGGACCGGATGTGGAGATCATCGGCGTCCCAACCGGATTCATCCATCATGGTGAAGAGCCACCGATGGATGGGGCCAGTGTATTCACCCTCGCTCCGATCAGCCTGCGTCCGCAAAGCAAGGGAACCATCACCCTTAAGAGCAGAGACCCCTTTGACCATCGTAAGCATTCTTGCCTTCTTCGAAAGCCAGTAAACAAATGGAAACTGACACTCCACTTTTGCTACAGCCATAATTGACCCCAAATATTTCAGTGATGCAGAGGGTAACGACCGCGCAGTTCTCCTGGCGGGAATACGCGTCTGCCTCCGGATCATGCGGAGCCCTGCGTTTCAAAAATACCTCGAGCGCGTGCCAGTTAATGACGACCCCTGGTCTTACTGGTGGCCATACTCCAGCAGCGACATTGATCGCATCACGGATGACCAAATTCTTCGCTGGATGAACGAAAAGGCCTTCACATTGTACCACCCGGTTGGCAGCGCACGGATGGGGACCTCACCCGAGAACAGCGTGGTCGATGTACAGTGTCGAGTACATGGTGTCAAGCGCCTGCGGGTGATGGATGCCAGTGTGTTCCCCGAGCAAATTAGTGGACATCCCACTGCGCCAATTGGCGCCATGGCGTACAAGCTCAGCGATATGATCAAGAAGGATTCTGTTATGCCGGCCCCTCCTCATGCACGCCTGTGATTCCAGTTTAATGAAATCTAAAGTGAGCCAGTAACATGTCATATTTCGCAAATAGTCCAGAAGAATACGCGATTGGTTCGGAGTTGTGCTTGTAACATCCCTCCTAGCTTCAAAGCAGATTGTCGTGCTATATCACTTTTGTATTTCAATCAACACAAAGTGACACATTGGAAAGCATACTCCGTATATTCGCCGACGCGTGATGGCACGATAATCGTGTCTGTAATGGTAGTATTATCCGGGGCTTCCACAGCTTTAGACCATTTCCCCTAAACAGCAGCTGGTCATCTATTTATCTGTAAAACCCTTTGCGAAACGTGACCAATAATGAAAGTAATTATGCATTGTTCGAGTGAAACCGGGCCAGTCACTTGCGTTGGTTCTTAGTCGCGGGATAGTGGCTGGCATATTGACTCCATTCTGCTGCAGTCCAGGTAATTCCAGCCGAGCGGATGCAACCCAGCAGTGGTTTAAGAGTATCTTGGCTGCACAAGTCCCCACTTTCAACACGAGCAATAACCTGATTTCGAGAATAACAACGCTTGGCCACGTTTATGGTATTGTTAGGGGTGAACATATGATGGGGGATCTAGAATACAAAAGCCCCCAAAATCGCCGCTTCTCGAGTCATGACACAATGTAAGAACAAAGTATTGGCCCATCCCTTTTCCCACTCAAGATGCATTTCCAATCAGTAGCAGCTGCTATACTACTTAGCTTAAGCTTCACAATACATGCTACCCAAACTTTCAAGAACACAGGCACCACCTCAGGCTGGAGCTCCATCAACCAAGAGCACAAGGGCACAGTGCAACAAGTTACCAATGTTGTCTACGGAGGGTCAACCGCCCTGAAAATGACTCAGGTCTACGACTCGAGCTACAGCGGTCGCTACCACTCAGAGGTCGTTCACAACGACATGTACAAGCTAGGCGATGAAGGCTTCTATGGCTTCACGTTCCGTCTGCAGGAATCCTGGCAGTTCTCTCCCGCGCAATCGTACAATATTGCACAGTTCATTGCCGATTTCGGGGACACAGGCTGCGATGATTACATGCCTTCCAGCATGGTGTGGCTGATCGGCGACCAACTCTTTACGCGAGTCAAGACGGGCAGTGTGTGTGCGCAAAAGACAACCACCTTTAGCAATTTGGCTACTGTGAGCGCGGGCGTGTGGCACAAGATTATTATTCAGGCAAAGTGGAGGGCCGACGGCACGGGGTATTATAAGATGTGGTTCGATGGGAAGAAGGTGCTCGAGAAGTACAATATCGATACCACCGTTGATGATGGTCGGCCGTTCCAGTTCCGGGTTGGTCTTTATGCGAATGGCTGGTATGATGATGGTGGTATGAAGGGAACTCAGGGAACTCGCCAGGTGTGGTATGATGAGATCGTTGCTGGCACCACCTTTGCCGATGCGGATCCTGATCAGCAGTAAATCGTTGCCTTTGAAGGGAATATGCAGTGTAGATGAAAGCGGGGAATTTGATGTTAAATCGTCCCAATATGCAAGGCGTATGGATAAGATATTTTAGTGCAGTTTGTTTGAGTTGAGCACCGGTCGTCACTGCTTCGGTGCTCATTCAATATATCCATCTCTGGGAGACTCTCATGTATTAGTTGACCACCTATAGAGAATCACAAAAGGGGGTTAGCAGGTCAGGGTCATCAGTCGGCGATAGTGCGGTCTCAGCATTAGTCAGGAGCGAGTACTGCTGGTACCCAAGTATAAAAAAGGTGAGGCCTTCGGAATAGCGAGCGCGTTGTTCACATATCTTGGCCAAATAAATACTGAAACCCTCTGTGAGAGGAGGAAATTACACTAGCCAGTTTAAGTTTAATTGAAACTGGACCCAGACGCGCGCTTTGCAGGCTGCGGTCCCGAAATGATAAGCCGTGAAATATACGTGTGCAGTGGTTGTACTCTGGCATCATTTAAGAGACAATGGAACGAATTTATGATGTCAAGTTTAATAATGATCTCCCTACACATAGCACATTAAAATTCGTGTATATACACAGCTCCCCAACTCTAATCTTCGTATCCGTCCATTGAAGACGATTTCTCATTTTCTGAAACAGGCGTTGCACCCGCCTGCAGAAGAAAATCCACAACCAGTGGATGATCTCGTTTTATAGCTGATGTCAATGCATTAGCATAGACACCCCCTGGGGCATTTATATCGGCACCGGCCTCAAGCAAAATTTTCACGAGGTTCAGGTGTCCATATCTAGCCGCAGCCTGAAGCGCGTTCCCATGATACCCGCCTTGAAAATTTACCTCTGCGCCAGCATCTAAGAGCGCCCGGACAGAATCTTCACTTCCATACTGTGCTGCTGCTTCAAGCGCAGACCCATACATAGAGCCTTCGGCATTGGGACTAACCCCTTGAGCTAGAAGAAGCTGAACCATTTCCAGACGGCCAACTTCTGATGCTGCATATAGTGCTCGATTGGCGGATGTGAGGCTGAAGTCCTTTTGCGCGGATGCATGATCTAAAAGAATCTTCATAGTTCTTGGGCTGCCGACAGCAGCACAGGTCAAGGCATTTCCATGCACACCTCTGTGTCCCGTGACATCTGCTCCGTATTGGAGGAGGAGTCGGATAATGTCTTCATGTTCAATGTTGCTGCCCACAGCAACCTGCAAGGGGGTTTTACACTGTCCATCCTGCACATTAACGTCTGCCCCGTTTCTCAAACACTCCTCAACTCTAGCGATGTCGTTGCTTCTAACCGCTTGATGAAGGGGGGTACTTCGCAAATCAGTCATTGGGAGGGGCACGCCGAACCCAGCATAGTCGTGATAATCATCGAAGCCCCGGAACATCCTATAAGACCTATAGTGTGAGACATAATACTCATTCAAGTGTCACGATACTCTCTACTATAGTTAGGAATTCAGTGAAACAGCATAGCTTACTTGAAGAGAGATTATTTCAGAGTGAATAGTCTCAGCCTTGCAAGACTTATCAGTGGCGGTTCCGAACACCCACCGCCTTCCGCCGGTGGGTGTTCGGCAGCCTAAAGGAATTTTCAGCGTAAAGAAAAATAATCAATTTTCTATCTTTTTAAAGCTATACAAACCATAAAAAATGCCCAAAACATCTAAAATTTCAGATTCACATGTAGATAAAGCTATTGAAGCTGTCTATCTTGAAAAAAAGCCTAATATTGCAAAAATCACGCGAGAATTCGGGATCCTATACTGCACACTCCATAGCCGTATTTATAAAAGAAGAAAGCCTCGTACAGCTCGAAATATACTAAATAAAACACTAAATAAGTATCAAAAGACTGCCTTAAAGCAATAGATTACTAAAATACATAATATTTATCTCCCGGTGACTATATCATTGCTTTTAAAGTGGGTAAACCTTACTGTACAGCGCGATAATCCTACACAGAGTATCAGTCAATTATAGGTATATTATTTTTCCAAAAGACTTTCTCCTGATCTTAAATTAAGCCCTGTAATTTAAAGACCAAAGGAGAAGAAATATCTAGATATAGAGAATATCAGACAGCTTTAATTCTGATATATTCAGTTTACTAACTTACTTAAAGATATTCCTGCTCGCCTTGTATATAACTTTAATAAATACGGCTTTCAACCAGGCAGTAGAAAGTCTTAAAAAATACTTGATATAAAGAGAAGAGTTTCTAATCTTTCTGAAACTGAGTATACGGAGAATATTACTGTGTTTGAGTATATTGCTGTAGATAGCTGGATTATAACTCTGCTCTTTATCTTTAAAGGAAAGAAATTTATAGAGGTCTGGTACAATAAAGCAATTCCCGATTATTATACTACAGTTACCGATAAAGACTATATAAATAATAAAATTATACTTAAATAGCTTTAAAAATTCTATAAGGAGATTAAAAATTGTACAAAAAAAGGAGAAAAATATATACTTCTCTTCGACAGCTATATAGCTTATAAAACAGTTGAATTTCTTTAACTCTGTAAAATATATAAGATTCTTCCCTTTTGTTTTTAACCTTATATAATATATTGCTGTTAATTGCTTGATAGAAAGCCCTTTCTTATATATAAAATATACTTTCGCAGTACAAATAATTATATTACACAGTGGTATAGAGTCCCGGGAGATAAAGCAAATTTTCTACATAATATTATTGCTGTATATAAGAAGACTTTTACTCTGTACCTTATTTGTAACTCTTTTAAAAAACACAGTATCTTTCCTCCAAATAGATCTTCAATTATTGAAGATATTCAGAAAACTTTACTACCTTTACCAGAGATCTCCGCACCTGATTTATATATATACAGAGAGACTACACTACCTCCAAATCCTTAGTCTTCAAGTATTGAGAATACACCTCCAAAAAGTACTCAGCAAGTTGAAAAGAATCAGAAAAAGCTATTTAAACTTCTAAATAATAATATATCAAACAATCCTTGTATTGAGTACTATCTTGACTACTTATTTCATCAACAAAAGCTTCAATCTAAACAGTTTGCTATTATAAATTTAACTTTTATATAAATTAAGGCTACACAGATATCCCGAAGCTGTAAAAAGTTTAAGCGAGAGATTTAATACCTTGGAGATAGTAATATACTGTGTATAAAGAATACAAATCGGTCTATTACAGATAGGAAGACCAAAGATAATAAAAAAAATAAGAAAACAGTGGATAAGGCGTATTTCAAAGTGTACAGCCACCTCCCGCCAGCACCTTATATAGAAAATAAAACTACAGCTTCAGATACAGGATTGGCAGAGGAATCGGGTAATCAGCTTTATTTTATTGATTCTACAGGCATTTAGTAGTAATAATATAAATTGCTTCATTTTCTTCCTTTACACTGAAAATTCCTTTAGGCTGCCGAACACCCACCGGCGGAAGGCGGTGGGTGTTCGGAACCGCCACTGATACTTGACTCCAGAAGAGTATATAACTGGGGCAATTGACATCCTTTTATGTGGCTCCGGTTTACCCCACTTTGGGTGCCTTCCAGTACTTCTGTCAGCACATACTAGTCCTAAATAGAAAATATCATCTGATCTCCGTACAGGGACCCCAGTCCCGGTTTCTCAGTCATGTCTGCATTAGTTGGCCCAATCTCTGATACCGCATTGCGATGACTGCGTGGGGTGGACATTGATATTGATTGGTGGATAATCCGATCTACTTGTAGAATACTTCGGGTACTTTCGTGTTTTAAAATTACAGTATCTTCTCTGTATAGAGTTGTTTATAGATGATATCAGGTATATCATTATGAGTCTTCAAAATGCCCCCTCTCTCGGTATATTCGACAAGCCTCCTCAAGTGCTGTCGTAAGTTTATATTGCTTTTTCCTAACGAGGTCTAGCCAGCATCCCAATGTGCTCGAAGTATTGTCAACATGTCGAATGTTGCAGGGCTGCACATACGAGCTTTTGGCGTTTGTATCCAACAAGTAAGGGAACGATTGCAAATATGACGCGAGCTATGCTTGTGAACCACAAGTCCCAGAGAGTCCGTGTCAATCGTGTCTGCCCTGGCAGGTCACCGCCTCACACATGTTCGACCATATGCTTCAACAGCTTGACACATACCAGTGGGGAGTCATTCTTAGGATAGATAAACCTTCGACGATCTATAGCACAGCACCAATGATATGCTATGTCAAGCCCCACATTTCAGGCGCAAGCTGTTGATTCGCAGAGTTCGCAGTGGATCCAAGGCTTCAAGAGTGCAGAACACGAGATGGGGCTGGTGGTGCCTGCTTGGTGCTTCTTTAATAACCACCCGACCCCCTATTATACTCGTCTAATATGACAAAAGTCCCGATAGCGAAGTCCAACAACACCAGAAAGCACAATGGATCAGCAACTCACATCAACACAAAAAGCCAATCTGCACGAGGTCGCTGACCTCATGCTAGAAATCTACCAAACTTTGGCAAACATGCGCTTCCTCAACCCCGCCGGCATCATCAATGGCCCACATGATATCGACAATGTTCGTGAATTATATGAGGAACTCGGCCTAGACCCCTCGATCATGTATCTCTATAGCATCTTACCGTACATCGACATCTCCCTTGCTGGCCAAACGGATTTCTTCAAGGGGGGTATCTTCGCCGATTACCGTCAACCCGAAGACATAGAGCAAGGACGCGATCCGTTCCATATTATGCCAAGTGATGATGGCTATGAAGATGAAGATGGTCCATATATGCGACCGTGGATAACTGCACTCTCGATTATAGGGAACCACCAAAGTGTGATTCTATATGATGCGCGGAGGCATCGGATTTGGATCATTGATCAGGAAAGTTGGGACACAACTGATCCTGCGATACGAGGCAATCCAGACCGCGAGTCTGCTGATGAGTATGAGTGTGGCGAGAGAAGCGACAACGACAATAGCTTTCAGCATATACCTAGTCGCCCTGCTGGTGATGTGCTGAGAGATATTATTCGCTGGTATCGCTCATTGGAGATACTGCCCGGTGGCGGGGAAAATAGTGGACAGGAATGGGACAGCGACGAGCTTCCTTTGAGAGAGCTGTATTCGAAGCATGGCTGGCCGGATAATTTCAACGGTGACGCCTTTCGGGCAGACCAACTAAGGCATATTACGTCAATCGACCCAAGTATTCAGTTGATGCGCCATTCGGATACACAAGGACAGAATGGAGAGGATACAACGTGAAATTGAAGTCGTGAGGCCGTGGTCTACACGACTGCCATATGATGTCAAAGGCGCGAGGGGCCTATGTGGAACACCATACTCAAGAGTATGACGGGATTCTTCAAAAGAAAGAAGCGATGCTGGAGGACGATTAGGATAGCTTAGCCAAGTACAGCATTTAGGTTTAGAAGTACATGGAAAGCTACGATACTCGATTCAACCATACAGTGCCGTGGCCGCAACGTATATTGCTCTGAAGAGCATGGCAGATCTGTATGCAGGATTTCCGCGGTATCTTCGCCCCATGAATAACAATACAGTGAAGTCATTCTATTCTTTCTTTCTTCGGTGTTGGAAATTAGGAGCTATCGAGCACATAGACCCTCTCATGCTACTGTTAGAGGAAGGGCATGCTCTGGTCATGTGTTCAACAACCCTAATCACCAGGATAGGACTCACGAATACAAACTACGATCAATTGAACAGGTATCTCATCATAAAAGCTTTGGTCATTTACCATAATAATCATAATCAAACTCCCGCCCACCAGGCGACCAATGTACAACGAAACCCAGCCTCACCCGCCAAACAACACCCACCCGCTCCCCTCATGCAACCCAGATCTATACATACAACACATCGTCTAACCACCCAAATAAATCAAAAACACAATCGCTCCACGCTATCACACCATAATTTCACACTGTCGCAGTCGATCCAGCGAACCGCATTACAGGTTGGCAGAAAGCTTTCCGTTCTTCTTGCCAGTGTAGGTAGCAATGAGGTCCATCAAAGGCGGGGACAGGGCATCGTAAGACTCCAAGCCGACCGACTTGAACTTGGAGCGAACTGCATCCATTCCGCTGGGGTTGAAGCCCTGCTCAATGATGGAGGAGACGAAAGCAGCGAACTGTGGCTCCTGCCATCCCTTCTTGTCCGAAAGCTCGACGTGAACAAAGTCCAGTCCCTTGAAGGGGTGGTCAACTTCAATGCGTCCGAACAAATGAGCACCGCAATCCTTGCAGGCGTAACGCTGGATAGCAGCAGCCTCGTCGATGATCTTGAGCTTTTCTGCGTTCGCAGTCACGGCCAGGTTCTCCTTGGGGATCACACCGACGACGGAGAAGAGTGCACCAGCGGGCTTCCAGCACTTAGAGCATCCGCAGGCGTGGTTGTGGGCGACGTTGCTCTTGAGAGTGACGGTCACTTTGTTCTGAGGGCAGAGACAGTAGAGGTTTCCGCCAGGGAAGTTTTCGTTGCCTTTGGTGAGGCCGTTGTCAACGAGGGGGTGGAGGGAGACAGACATGGCGGCTGTTTTGGTTGGTGTTCAAAAAAATGAAGTGTGGTAGGAGGTAGTAGTATATGAACCGCGTTGCGATTATTTATATGTCGCTCGTTGTCTGAAGATGATGTCTAGAGTAAGTTCTATATGTCAGTTTTGTTACATTTCTCGGACATTTATAAAGTTATAGATCCATTATCGCGCCATATTTGGTACTACGAATCCCCTCATGAGGAGATCAAACTCCAAGAATAATTGGTGATTTATTGAGGGGTTTTTTTTTTATCTATGGTCTCCACGTCGCGGTTAGAAAAGCCGTAGACGGTCCGTGTCCGTCACGGACCGTGGGTTTCTATACTCAATCCGGTTGTGCTTTCCGGTCCCGTGCCCGGAGTACGGAGGACCAAATCGACCACTTTGACGCCCCAGTCCGGGCGCGCTTCCGAGATTCTCTTTTGATGGCGTGCTATCGGCAGTTATTCACTTCAACTTATCTCCGGCCGTACGAGTTATCCCCGAAGTATGGCATTGTTGTGCATTTTTACTATGTCCATGGAAAGAATGGATAGTACTTTTTGAACAAACTTTAGTAGCATTTCACTACCTAATTACAGATGGAAATCCTTAGAGCAACCAGCAGAGAGTGAGTTGAAATGCATTATCGCGTTAAAATTCATCATTTCCAGTCATTCTTTATATGTACAATTCGTAATACCCCATAGTCTACTCCGTTGCCTCACGATACCACCGTATCAACGACGCATCGGATGCAGTCCCCTTGCTTCATCTGTTCGAAAGCGGCATTGATGTTGGCCAGTTTCTCACGGTGTGTGATAAATTCGTCGATTTTCAAGTCTCCGCGCAAGTAATCCTCCACAAGAGCCGGAAGCTGGGAACGACCCTTGACGCCTCCAAAAGCGCATCCCCTCCAGACGCGACCGGTAACTAGTTGGAATGCTGTTTCGAAAGTCAGTAAATATTCCCCACAATGAAAGCTTTCGGATAGGATGCCACATACGCCTGGTTGTGATTTCTTGACCAGCAGCAGCAACGCCAATGACGATGCTCTCACCCCAGCCCTTGTGACAGGCTTCAAGCGCAGCGCGCATGACGCTGACATTTCCGGTGCAGTCGAATGTGTAGTCGCATCCACCGTCAGTCATGTCAATAAGCTCATCCTGAACGGTCTTCCTTAGTCGAGCGGGGTTGAGGAAATGTGTTGCGCCAAACTTATAAGCCCACGCTTCCTTTCCATCATTAATATCCACGACAATAATCTTTCCGGCCTTCTGCTTCACCGCGCCCTGGACAATCGATAGACCGACACAGCCAGCTCCAAAGACAGCGACATTAGCTCCTTCTGTAATATTGGCCGTAACAGTAGCAGCACCGTAACCGGTCGTTATACCGCATCCTAGAAGACACGAGCGGTCCGTCGGGCAAGAGGGAGTGACCGCGACAACTGAAATATCGGCGACGACAGTGTATTCAGAAAAGGTCGAGCAGCCCATGAAATGGAGGAGATCTTTTCCGCGGGCTCTGAAGCGGGTTGTCCCATCGGGCATTACGCCGCGGCCTTGTGTGGCCCGGATCTTACCGCACAGGTTCGTCTTCCCGGACCGGCAAAATTTGCATTCTCCGCACTCCGGCGTACTGACCACTTCGTTAGCACTCCATTCAACCTTTTTTTTTTTTTTTTTTTTGTGGATAGAATAACATACTAGAGAGCGATCACGTAGTCACCGACTTTAACATTGGTAACACCTTCACCAATAGACTCAACAATACCGGCACCTTCGTGACCCAGAATCACAGGGAAAGCGCCCTCGGGATCCTTGCCGGAAAGCGTGTAGGCATCTGTAGGCGAGAAGAATCACGCTATTAGACGTGAACCATAGAATTTCGAACAAATCTCAACTCACCAGTATGGCAAACACCTGTGTGGAGGATCTTGATGCGGACTTCATGAGCTTTTGGTGGTGCGACCTCGACATTCTCGACTGAAAGGGGTTCTGCTGCTGCCCAGGCAATTGCGGCCTGTTTATTCATCAGTAATTGTCCTCTGCTCCGAACATGGCTTCTCCATTCGTACCTTGCAAGTGATGGTCTATTTATTGTTAGTAAACACACTCCGATAGAAGATCGGGAACAGTTTTCAGCATACCTTTCCGACTGTACTGGCCATTATGGATGAAATCGATGCTCAAAGACTCAAATCTAGTAACGGAGGAATGCACAGGGAGAAAAAAGTTCAAGAAGAAATGAAGAAAGAAAGAAAACAGCAGCTATTGTAAAGAGCAGGTACATCGCATACAAACAGAACTACGGAGCAAGGAGACGGAAATGAGATGAGACCCACGACGGAAAGGAAATATTCTTCAGTGAGGGGTGAGGGGAAACACCATGAGGGGATAGCTCACCGACAAAAAAAAGTCCAGATCGCAATTGTGGGGTTTTCTAATTGCTTCGATAAAAGGGTTTTAAGTCGACATCGTAAGAGATTATGGGTTCATACGCCGTAGTTTTGGTGGAAGGATTATTATCGGAAGACATGCCGAGTCCATTTAATTCCGGCCGAGAGATACGGCGTCGAACAACCCTAATGGGTTATCAATCCCGGACTCTAACAATTTCTGTAGACTTTTATTTACAACAGAGCAATCTCACGAGCGTTGCATAGTATTAGATAGCTCCCTATCGCACAATCTGTAACATATACGATCGCAGCAATTGATTGCGTTTTTGGGAAAGAAAATTCTTCCACACGCATCGGCAGCCAAGCGTTCCTTTAGACTACGGATAAGACTAGCCTCCCGATACGATCGGCGTCTCTCCAATATTGTGGGCAGCCAGAAAGGAAGGGCAATCGCTTTTACCCCGCATGCAAAGTTAGATTCCCCAGAAAAGCACCAGTACATCGATTCCTCTGAGGTCCCCAGTTTTGCAAGTGTCCCAGATAAAGATTATGTCGAACTTGAATGCCAACCTGTCTTGGACATACAGAAGATATTTGGGAACAAGATTGGTACCTTATGACTATGCTAGAGTTGAACCCAACTATAATCGTGGAAAAATCATTCTGGTACCTATGTGAGCTAATCTAGGAACGATTACACATCATACGGCGCCTTTTGGCAAAGCAAAACCTCTTTATCGAAGCTAAGTAACCGGGAAAGCACGTATATCAAGACGACAGACAATCGAAGAAACGGGGCCATATAGATATAGGATGAAGGGAGTAATGCGACAATCGTGTAGGCGCTTCCAGCCAAGCTCCACGGTGGCTTATACTGAAAGGGCCATTGCCACGGCATCCGAATGATTTTCGTCGAAATAGCCGTTCTGGTTCTTAGATTATTTATTGGGAGTCTTTATAGGTCGTGGCTAATGTTCAGTTTCAGCCTTGCATGATGGACACGTCTAGCGCGGTCTAGGCGAAGCGTCTAAGCCCCGCTAGCGGTACTTCACGTGTTGTCACAATCGATTTTCTGCTCAACAGCACGGCAATATGCACATTCACTATAGTTTTATAGCTTCTTAGCACGTCGAAGGAAAACACCTCCAAGTCCGGTCAAATGCCAACCTCACTTCTAGACCTGCCCAATGAACTCCTTGAACAAATAGTTCAGCTAGCATTGACCTACGACAACCCCCCACCCGACTGCCCTCAGGCCCCGTATGAGGGTTATGTGTCTGGGCCACGGAAGGCACCCTGTCGTTCGTGGAGCTACGGGCCGAGCCATGTTAAGTACCAGAAAAAACAGGATTGGCAGTCAGGCTGTCTATCCCTTCTTCTACTCAACCGACGAATAGCGGACATTGCAAGGAGGAGGCTAGACCCGTTAGATCCAGTGCCTTGTTCGTTAAGGCTTGACGTTATCCTGGCCAATGAGACAGATTTACTGCCAACCTGGTGCTTTCTTTCAAAGGTCTGTCGGCGTGTCGATGATCTCACCGCCACCTTCAGGATAATTGGTACTAGCCCAACGCTGGAAGGTCGCAGGCAGAGGTTTCGTCCGGGAGATGGTACTCCACCTCCAATTCTCTGGAGCTTCTATTATATATTGGAACGTTTTCTCGAGGTTGGCCCTCTGGCAGAACATAGACTGCCCACAGCCTCGCCTCGTAGCAAACGTATGCCGTTCAGTATCAACCGACTCAATCTGGACTTCGTCTCATCCAAAGATGGTACAGTGGCACCACCGCATATAGGTGTTTTTAACTGGATAGGCGGCATTGACAACGAGGATGACATAGAGTCCTCTGTATGGTCATCCAGTGATTTGGCTTCCTGGCTCATGAGACCGGAATGGCTGGCAGAGTTTATCAGCGGCTACATCCGATATCTACTTCGCATGGGTGGCAGGGCGGAACTCCACGGAGCAATGATATATGAGTATGTGGGGAGTATCCGGATCTGTGTCGACGGGAACCTTTTGGAGGAATATCGCCTGGATTACATCTTGAAGGATCTGAATTTAACGTATGGCTTTGATGAAATCAGACGCAATTTCTTTGTTCGATGGAAAGCGAAGGCTTATCGTGTTCGTCAGGAAGCCGGACTTCCAGTTATTATTTGATGTTCTCTTGATTAGGACTATCCCTCGTTGCTTCTTTAGTCTTTCTTGAAACATAGACACCCTTACCCTTTTAAGTAACCATATGTCTAGCGTTAGGGTTTATTTCCAGAAATATATAGTACTTGCTACTAGTATCACTTCGATGCCGTACGTTGACCTCACCATATAGTACTAGTTGAAAGTGCGATTTCCCAATGATGTAAATAGATTTATATAAAAGGTAGTTATGAAATCGTATTTTTGATTCTGTTCACGAATTAGCCTCAGGTATCCCATGCTTTCTCCTGAGAACTTTATCTGTGTTTCCATCGGGGCTCGAAGTACATTCCTATGACCTGGAATATATGTATATGCCTCCGCAACTAAGTTACGGAACCAACTTTTTCATTTTTATTTGGCTCTGACTATCTTTTCATTTTATCTTATGATCTATACATTTTTCCTCTTGTAGAAGAACAATTTCAAGAAATTTACAATGTTGGTAAAAGATATGGGCATCGCCTGCATTGGTAGCTGTAGGAAGCCGCTTCCGCATGTACTATATTGATTGCAACAGACTTGTCTGATTGCCTATCAAGATCGTGAAATAAAAGAGGGAAAAATTGTGATACAAAGTAGCCTTCTCAAATTCCCTACTTTGACGAACATCTGTAGAGTCCTTTTGCTGACCTTGCCATGGGTATCATATGTCATATTAAGGTCGTGTTAGATCATCCTTACGCGAGGAGGAGTGATGAAAGTATCTTCTCACTATGATCCGTACTATCTTAAGTCTTTCTACTATTCTGATAAGTACAAACTACCACAACTCTGTGCAATGTGGCATACAAGTCACGCCGCCACGCAAGGACCAGAGCAAGCTCGAAAACAAACAAAGTAGCATTGGCCTCTGCAATAGACAAACCTCGCCCCCGAAATGTCCCATGTGATTGAGTATCAGGCGTACGCCGATATGCGACTTTTTTTCATTCGGTGAGAATCTATTTTTATGGCCCCCTCCTCGCTACCAAGCATACCTGGAGACGCCATAAACGGAAGGATCTCGGAGAAACTCAGAGCAATACCCCCATTTGACATGGTTGCATCCTTCGGACTATTCCTTCATCCTTGCTTTTCCTTGCTCATCAGACCATTGAATTTTCATCAATGGGTTAAAAATGGACTATTCCACGACACGGCTCACGATACTAGGTCTGATGGACTGTCGCTCTCTTCTGCCTTCATTTTCAAACACATCCATGGATGAAAGTTGAACACTTTTCTATTATAGGAATAGTTGAAAGGAAATTCCAATATGGTGTGATATACCAATTGCCGGACAGGGTCTTTGGGCTTCCTGGCTTCAACGTATGGCGGGATTTATTGTGTGGTGCCTTGTATGAAGAACAGTCGAGGCCTTCTTATTCAGCGGAGTACCTAGTTGCAGGTCCATGGGTCCCATGTACGCTATCGCTTCTGGGATCTGCAGGGGGCGTTATGTTATTGATATAAAGGCTGTATATTAGCCGATCATTTATTAGTGTAAGCATGGGCAAGAACTAATGGAATGTATGAAACATCTCGCAGTGATTGGATATCCTCCAAGGATTGCAGTGTTTTCGAGTACTCAGGATGTAAGTGAATGGTGCTATGACCATCACCGTTTCGGAATGCTACCGATCATCGTGGTGCAGTATCTGATTGATACCGACCAGCGGCGGCAGAGACTGCACTAGAATCTGTACAGGTATCGTGTGACTCTGATCGGGAAGAGACAGGCCCAATCATTGAGATTGCATTCAATATGGTACTCATTCAGACACTACTGAGCATTGTTGTAAGTTCACTTAAAATGGAAACTATAAGTCACCACAGGTTGTAGGATAGGAGCGCACTTTTCCGTACTCAGATGGAGGCACATATATTCCGCAACCTACTTGACTTAATGCCATGACTAGCATAATAGTATCCAAAATACACAATAAAAAGATGCGTGATATAGTAGTACAAAAATAGAACCCCATCCGATATCAAACACTGGGCCCGGGTCAACTTCGGATCACGATGGTTATTCCCCTAGTCCGAACCCTATTGAGTGGGACGTGAACTCCGAGCTTGATCCCGAACCACCGACCTCGAGCAACCAACCACAGACACCACGGCAGAAGGCTTGTCCTATAATTGGGAACCACCTGGTTTACAGAACTAGGAGATCATGATCCTATTTGTGGGATGTAGGACTAGAAAGCTCCTGGGGTGGTTCAGGTAAATTAGGTCTCGGCATAGATCCAGGGGTTCGGGTATTTTACGGTTGATCCACTTCCCGAGGGGTCGACGAACGCCCTCGTGCTGACGATGATATGTTCGTCCCTGCTCCAGATCGGCCTTAGTGTCTCTGGTGGATCCTTTAGAGTCGTTTCGACTTTTGAATCCTGTCTCCAACAGGGTTGGTTGAGCGGAGGGGTAAAAGTTAAAAAAAAAAAAGAGGACCTTGGTTGCTCTGCCCAGTCGAGATCAAGGCCCCATTAAATGGTCTCAGTGTGGGCTAGCCTGTTTCAATCATGCGGGATCTGTTCCCCCAAAATATGGTGCTCACGGTATCGTTGATTCATGGCAGACAATGTCAATGCACAGGTTGTGAAGGAATATTATGCTGCGACCTAAGAACCGATCTTAGACTAAGCTCTACCTCCGGAGAAAAGGTTTAACCCTTTAATGTGCATACTATACGTGGTCTACAGAATCGTAAATCGGAAGAGGTCGATCCATTTAGCGTGACGAATAAATCTAGACTCGTCGGCCGGCGATATCGGAAGGGTGTTCTCATAATTGAGTTTGATTCCTTCAGGGTGCATACAGGCTGCTCGCCCCGAAAACCAGCCGGCAATCCCGGCTTAGCCAGTTAGGGTAAAACCACCGTGGTTCACTCTAGCACAAGAAAAGCGAAGATTCTCCCCGACCGTTTCAGATTGAAGATGCGTTCTCTCTGTTGTTCCTTTGCAGCCATATTTCCCCACATTAAGAACTCTATTCGCGCCTGTAGCTTGACTCATGCAAACATAGTTTCTAATTATAATTGAGATCGATGGTTAGTTGCCATGATTCATGGTCAAGTTCTGGAGTGACCTTGCACCAACACTAAGGTCGAGCCCTAGGGGCCAGGGGCTTTCCCGTGCGTCGGGATGGTGATAGTCACTTGGTGTGTGCCAGTTTTGGTCATATATTCGGTTGGGACTTGTAGTTTGGAAAGATGTAATGCAATGGTGTATCGAGGTCATTTAGGTCGTGGTTGATTATGCGTAAAGGTGATTATGCTTTATGTAAGAACAGATATCGCAAATATAATAATATAATCAAGAACGTCATTTGAGGAGAAGCGGCTTTACCGTTCTAGCAGTATGAACCGAGTACCCCAAATATCGGACGTACCAATCCGATCTAGTCAAGCGCATTTCCAAATCAGAGTTGATTTTCTAGATGCGGTCTTTCTTTGAAACGCAGATCTACTGCTAGTCTTGCCTATGCCATGGATAGAGTGGTTTCATTGTTAGTCCACAATGGAAACATGGTTCCATCCCAGTCTGAATAGCGACATCAAGAGCGCGAAGGGGGAGATGTCACGTCTATATAAAGGCCTGCAATGCGCTCCCATTACCACCTCATTCAGCCAGCATCGACAACATTCTTTCCTTGTTCACTCAAAAATCCATAAACAAAAGTCATTCTTCTTCCGTTAATCTTTTCAATCTTTGTTAATTCCCGATATGCGTTACGCTCTTTATACCCTCGCCCTTGGGGCAACCTCGACCCTGGCGGTCCCGGTGTCTGTGACATCGCACAATGGTACCCTGCCGAACGTCCCTGGTAGAATTGGTACTCCCCTCTCCAACCCATCCAGGGATCGTGCTGGATTGCAGTCTCGTACCTTCTTGCCTCTCATTGAATGGCTCGGCAACCACGGCTCGGCCACTTCCACTACTTCTTGTGAAGCATGTGAGGCTTCCGGTAGCGCTACTAGTAGCGGTGATGTTAGTGTGACTACTAGCGTTTGTGAAAAATGCGAAAACGGCCACGGTGTTGGTGTGAGTGTTAGCTTTGGAACCAACCCCAGTGCCTCTGCTGGCGCCAGTGTCAGTGGTGGTGTCAGCGGAAGTGTGAGCGGAGGCGTCAATGGTGGTGGTAGTGTTGGCGCCAACGTTGGCGGTGGTGCCAATGCTGGTGCTAGTGGTGACGCTGGTGCTGATGTCGGTGCCAGCGGCAGCGGAGATGTCAGCGGAGGCGCTAATATTGGAGGAGATGCTAATGGGGGAGCCAACGTTGGTGCAGGCGGTGATGCCGGGGCTGATGTTGGTGCCGGCGGCAGTGGAGATACTAGCGGAAGCGCTAATGTTGGAGGAGATGCTAGTGGCGATGCTGGAGCTGGCGTGAGTGCTACGGGTAGTGGAGATGTTAGTGGAGGAGCCAACGTGGGAGGAGATGTCAGCGGCAGTACAAACGCCGGTGCCAGTGGTGACGCTGGAGCCAATGTAGGTGCTACTGGCAGTGGAGATGTTAGCGGTGGCGGAGATGTTGCCGGCAATGCTACTGTCGGAGGAGGTGTTAACGCCGGTGGTGATGTCGGTGCCAGTGGTAATGCTGGGGCCGATGCTGGAGCCACTGGAAGTGGAAATATTAGCGGTGGAGCTAACGCCGGTGGAAATCTCAGCGCTGGCGGGGATGTCTCTGGCGGTGCCAATGTTGGCGGAGATGCTGGCGCTAGTGGTGACGCTGGAGCTGACGTTGGTGCCAGTGGAAGTGGTGATATCTCCGGTGGTGCCAATGTCGGTGGTGATGCCGGTGCTAGCGGAAATGGAGATGCCTCTGGCAGTGCCAACGTTGGTGCTGATGTTAGTGGTAATGCTGGTGCCGATGTTGGCGGAGGAGCAAATGCCAGCGGAAACCTTGGAGGCAATGTTGGAGCAGACGTTGGAGGCAACCTTGATGGTAGTGCAGGTGTTGGAGCCGACGCTGGTGTTGGTGGAGATGCTGGCGCAGGTATCGGAGCAAATGCAGGCGTTGGCGGAAATGCTGATGCAGGTGTTGGTGCTAACGTTGGTGGCAACCTGGGAGGTAATGCTGGAGCTAATGTTGGAGGCATCCTTGGTGGAATCGCTGGTCTTGGTGGTAATGCTGGCGCAGGCGTCGGTGCCAATCTCGGTGGAAACCTTGGAGGAAGCTTGGGCGCCAACGTGGGTGGAAATGTTGGTGGAAACGTCGGCGCGAATGCCGGTGTTGGCGCTGATGCAGGCGCTGGAGAGGATTGCGACGAGTAAGGTGGTCGCAAGACACAGAAGTGCATTGCTCACCGGCGGGCATCTTTATAAATGCTTGCTTCTTGAAAACCTTTCGACCTTTGCTTGATTGTTTTTGTCAATGCTGCTGGCTCGGGCTAGTACCCTCATTATTGTCTATAGTCGCTCACACATGTCTCTCATTTATATGTCACATAAATAATTGTATCAATTCTGTCTTCCAACATTCTCCGCCTAAACCCACTTTAGCCTTATAAAGACCACTGGGAAACGGAAAAAGTACATGGAACCTAAAGTGAGTGGTATCACACTAAACAACGTATTCCACATTAGGAAGACGTAGGCATGAGGTAGGTCCTATGTTTCTTCATCTAGAATGATGCTTTTGTGAACATGCTTTGCTCTATCAATAGAGGGTTTGATTCAAACAGACCAAATCCATGGAACGGGAGACGAAAAATGTAACGTTTAACCCATTGCATAAGCACAGGCTTTCTCTACGGTTTGTAGCCCTGGAATAAGGGCCACCTAAAAGTGACAGTATTGGAACTGAGAACCCGGAAAGGTCCATGTTGTTTGGCATAAGCCATACAAAGTGTTGAAATCTGATTTGGACCCTCTTTCCAGCTTGACCTACGAGTCAGTCTAGTATTAAGGTGGTAGAAAAGCAATAGGTCGCAGGAAGCTTGGAGCAAATGGGAACCTACCCCATGCTGTTTTGTGACGGATTTGGGGTTCTTGCTCGCACTGGAAATTGATAAATCGACTATGTTGGTGTGGGAAAGGCAAGTGAATATAACTTGTCACAATCGATATGTTTTGCCACCAAATGCCATTCAAAACTGTCCTCTACCTCAAATATTCTTATTGATTGTTCATTCTCAGAGCAGAAAATTATCCAACGTTGATAACTACGGCACGCTGAGAAGCAACCGTCTATTTTACTCTTTTTTAAGTCAGAACAGTCGCACGATGTCCTTATCGCCAACTGCTCGACCTACGAACCGTCATGTCTCTGACATTATACATCTACACCCCAGCAAGGAACCCTGGTGTGCTGGCTATGCTATCTCACAAGGACGCAGGTGCTGTCGGCCTATCATCGCTTCTGATTGTGCTGCCGCCTGCAGTCTACTTGACGAGGCCATTGACAAGCTCCATGCCGGGTGCTCCATAGATCAATTCTTTCAAAACTTGGCACCCCTCGTTCTGTGCAAAAGTAGTCATCAGAATCAAGCATCCCATCTAATGGCCACCTGGGGTAGGCAGATACGCAACTTTCACATTATTCAAACGGCTTGGCAGGATCCGTTAGTCTTCGAACACGAGTATCGGACAGGGCTAGCCCAGATGATTGCGCGGTCAGATGAGGTTGTCACAGATATTCATAATTGTCTTGACCCAAGCCATGTTGGCTCTCTGTGGACAAGGGTCATGGCAGCTACAAGTGCTACTTCACAACTCAGGACGGAAAGATATTCATCCACCTCAACTGATACTAACTTACAGAGATTTGAGCTCCCCACCATGAGATCTGAAGCTAGAAGCAGTGCACATCCGGCCAGAGCTGGAACCACAGGCTCTTCAAGTTCGTCGGTCCTTCGTCGGTGCGTAGAAGGAAACTGTGTTATTTGCCAACTGCTATTATGGGAGCCAGGCCACTCGACCGACGAAGAAGAGATTAACTGTAACAGGGATGAGAAGGATAACAAGGAGGGCCAGATAGAGCATACACTAATCCATAGCAGGACCCTCCAGGAATGTGACAAGTTGTTGGTCTGGTGCAAGAAGAGATGTGGTACCAATTTCCACAAGTCCTGCATGGATCGCTGGGTAGAGGCATGTCAGAAAGACTCACATCCAGTACAGTGCCCTATATGCCGATCGCCGTGGAAAGCGTGAATTGCATCATAAGGCCAGGCGTTTGTGCCCTCTGTAATGCATTGGCTCCGTCGCAAGCCTTCGCAATTTCTTGTTTGTTATTGTTGATCTCTGTATGTTTCCTTTGTCCTTTATTTCCTTTGATGGCTTATGGTTATCTAATTCAAACGACAGCTCTTTGTCACAGGTTAACTTACAATATGCCAAATAATGAAAGCTACAATGACGCTATGGCCAAAGTGACGCTTCGTTCCATGTTACTTCTACGCGGAAAAAATAACATTGTAAACTCAGTGGGCATTTGTAATAAAATATGAAAGGTTGCTACCTGCGGTATATACTATTGAACAAAGCGATATCCATAAAATCCACGCCAGAGCCCTGTTTCTCATTGAGACATTGCTAATCATCATAATGGGTACAAAAATTACATTGTCATTCGTATTAATCTCTCCGGGGCGCTTTGTAGAAGTTCTAACTTGCTCCAGTGGGTTCTGCTATATAGAAAGGCTGTATGCATTTATAACCCAGGCTGCTCCCAAAAATAAGTATATCCATGTCTATCTATATGGTCATTCGTAGCAGGAAGCGTTTGTTGCTTAGACATCTTACTCACTTGATTCCTATGAATCCAAACTGTCCTACCCTGAAATACTGCTGACGAAACGGAATTCACTTGCCCACGCGTAAATGCAATGGAGTCGAACTACCTTACTTGGGCTTGCCCTACGGAAGTACTGGAAAGAATCCTCTACCATGTGCGTATGACGGAACTATGGGAACTGATCGATGTGACGGCAATCGAGGAAGCTGCCATTCGGGTTCTCAGCAAGGCTCGACTGAGGGAGCTATTCCTCTGGAACGATTTCTATGTCTTTGAGTCAGATCGAGAGTGGAGAAATTGGCGTAATGAAAACTATTTCCGGCAGCTCGAAGAGCAAGACAATCTGAGAAGACCATTAGTTTACCGACATGATGACCCTGTAACACACTGCATTGCGCTGGATCGTGAAGACCGATTGCAGTTCATGCTGGAGTGTGGGTTACCACTGGAGTGCTGGACGAAGAGTGGTTGGAGTCCACTCGGTGTGGCAGTTCATTACAAAGCGGACAGGTGCTTCAATCTGCTCTGCGCTGCACAGCCTGAAGAGGATGTTCTACGACAAGACACCGGAATCCTGCCGAGCGCTCCTAATTGGCTCATGGCTTTCGTCGGGGAAAGGGCATACACATATGGTTTTGCAAGGCTACTTGATCATTTTGACCAGTATAATGAGACTCAACATCATAGAATAGAGCTTCCTCCTATCAGCCCACAGGCCATCTACCATGTGGTTAGGACTTTTGCAGTTCCACTGATCGAGCGTGCCGCTCATGCAGGACTCAGGCTCGCTTTAGCGTCAAATCAGACCACCCAAGAAGGAGCATGGCACATTGCACCCATCCGCCCGGATGCAATGGACTTGGTAAATGTGCTGTGCCGTGAGTGTGCTACCGGCCTAAGCAGTTACGATGCCTACAGTCGGACACCCTTATTCCAAGCTGTAGAGTCTGGGAAGCCGGATGTCGTGAAACTATACATTGGTCGCGGTGTCGACGTGGATCATATCGACGCGCGCACAGACACAGCCCTCCACGTTGCTTGTAAACAGAGGCCAGTGAACCTGGCAATCCTACAGCAGCTTCTTGGTCTTATCGACGTCAACTCCGGTGCTGGAAGCGCGCAGGGCACACCATTGCACACATTACTGTCGAGCACATGGGAACATACGTGGAACAACATTCCTTGGGTCTCAATAACTAGCCCAAATGGTAGTATTCAAGGTCGGAAACGGAAGCGCGTTCGCCTATTGTCAGCCGAGGAGCAAATGATTATGGATGTTGCTTGCGAGGCTTGTAGCAAGATCCTGGATCTTTATCCCGACCAGCAAGTCGTTAATGCAGATGGACAATCCGCCTTAAAACTGGCTCGAGTACTTCGTCTCAGACGGCTAGCAAATAGGATTATAGGGGCTGCTAGGAAGGCAGAGCGGCGATGGGATAGACGACTGAGACCCAGGATAAGATATTGACTTTCTTTTCTTCTTATGCTTTTCTTCACGTTCACTAGATTTATTGCTTATGTCTCACATTTAGAACTACCGTTTAGATATTATGCGCACGATGTAGCGGGGTTGGTTGGATACCCTTGGCAAAAGCTAGGCATATTGCTTCTCATTCTCCAAGCACATGTATTTGTCTTTATGCTTGTATATTTCTATCTGTATGTTAGACTTAGACTGTATAAATTTTGAATATCATTGCATCACATAAACATGACAGTAATGCAACGAGTACAAGGATAGATCCTGGAATGTAACGTGATCAGCTGATCGATTAGGGCATATGACACCCCAACCCCAGCAGCAGCAGATGACATCCGCACCTGATTCTCAAACCCTCAGGTTGTAGATATAACTCGACCCTTGTATCTTTGATCTCCAAAATATATTGAGCTCATCTCATATTGCCTCTGTTATCTTGAACCGACCCAGACACCACCATCCGCCATGAACTTGAAATCCATCGCTGCGGTGCTACACACCGTCTCGGTCGCGAGCGCGGTGCAGCATCAATACACCTGTACTATTCCTATTTCTGGCATTGGTAGGATGGATATGCTAACGAATGCAGCCTTACGAACGGCATCAAAGGAAGGTCACAGAATCCCGGCCTTGAAGTCGGGACAAAGTGTTCTTGGATTTGGGGTTGATGAGAGCCGTACGTCATTTTATCTAGCTTAGTGATATAGATGAACTGAACCTTTCTAGGTTGCTACACCTGCTCATCGCCTTGCTCGCATGCGGTTTGTTGTCATGGACGGTTTCCTCAGTGCTGTTCGGATGGTGTTTATTGCTACTGTTGTGAAGACTGATTTCACTGCGTTGCGGATAGTATAATATCACATTAGCTATTAGAGATGGCAATAATTACGCTTAGTTACACATCGAGATGATATCATCGGGAATGAATGGCTTCAGGATGTTGATCAACGCAGACAACGGAATCCAGTCCAGGGTCCCATGAATGGTTTCAATCGCAGCTCCACTGTATAGGACTCTAGCAAATAACTTTTGTTCGGAAGTTTCCCTGTTTTTTCTCATTAGCCAAAATGGATCACAAAAAAAAGGAAAAAGAGGAAACCGGCGCACCAAATCTCCATAGCAATATTCGATGCCATTCCTGGCCAGCGGAGCGATCTGATCCCTAATGCACCAAGAATAGGTCCGATATCGCCATCATGCACGAAATTATGGCTGTACACTAGGTCGGACTTGCGCTGTTGTACGGCTTCTAACTTTCGCACAATTTCTCCGATGAAGAGTCCTTCGACGAGTTGGATGTATTGCGTGGCGTTCGCGTTGGTCCGCCACCAGTAGTTCCATTCCCAGTCGCCGGCACGGAAGACCTCGTTTGCCTGGTCCGTTCTCACGCAGTCGGATTCATCCTGCACGCGACATGGAAGTTCATAGCCGTTGCATAGACGGGCCTGGAAATTGTCGGCAAAGTGGTCGAAGGTGGAGGTCCAAGAGTCGGTAGTGTTAAACATCGTAGATAAGCGCGTGCGCAGTGGCTCAGTAACGGATAGATGTTCGTTCCATTCCGCTGTGGATTGAATGGATGAGAGCAGCGTATCCCGAGCGGAACAGGAAAACCCGCGGTCAACAGTGTCGATCCCGGAGGCCTGCTGGTGGAGAGGGATTGGTCCGGAATGCTCGGGGAAAATTCCGCGGAGAACACCGCCCGCCGAGCCCTGGGTTAGGGCGGAGGAGCTAGAGCGGAACCAGACCTTTCCATCTGGCGAGTCCGGAATCAGACCAAGTTGGTCGCCGTAGACGGTGCGGAGATCGCGACCGTGTTGGTAACCATCTAGGAGGCCTCCTATCGTGAGCTGTGGGTACTGGCAGGATCCATTGACGTATGTAGTCAAAAAAGGGTTAGACGGGTCGGAGTAGGCTTGACCGTAGACTGTCGCCGGAAGGGTCCCCTGAGCAGCTGGCGCTGCGTAGAGATGGGCATGGATGTTGTCACAATTGTAGTCTTGGTTCTGAGGCGGTCAGTTAATAGTAGTTTGACACTTCTACCACAAGCGACGACGTACCTCGCCCCCGGGAAGAAGGTTATAAGGAGTGCGACGCTGATGACGCTGGAGATACTCCAGATAGACGAGGCCAGCAGTAACGGAGTGATTGGCGACGGGAGGTGGAAGTGAGTATGTCTCCTCGTTGGGATGAGGCATACTACAGTAGTTGTATACATCACCTATAGGGCTGGCCTGGTCGACCGGGGCGTTGTAGATGCCGCCGTACGTGCCGAGTGACGCATTGGTGATGAAAGTTGTGTGGTTGAGGGGCGGATAGAAGGTATCTCGGGACGCAAGGGACGGCGTCCCGGAGAGGAGGGTTAAGATGAGGGCAATCATGTCTAAAAGACCTTCATACACTGATGGCATCTTGTTGTCATTGTGCGACTGGGTTTATTTATATGTTAGCGGTCATATTGCGCGTTGCAGACTTGGTATCCATAACAAGCAAACCAACCAACCACAGGTCGCCCTCACACACGTGGCGTGCGCCTCGGAATTAGCCGAAATAATCACCGAATTTGAAGCTTCAATTCAACGTCAATATATACAGTCGCTACGTTAGTGACAATGCTAGAGCACGTGTGTTCTGTTAAACCTTCCTGTGGTTCAACATGAGACATGGTCTACTTCGCATCGTCCGTTACTATGGGGCGGCTCGGCATTCTCGGTGCACCTACTAGTAGTACTACCGGGTTGTCATGACGTTCAGTTTGATCAGTCCATTGGGCCAAGGGCTTTATACCAGACAGCTTTGTTGACACAATAGTCATTATCCATTCGTAAATTATTTGTAGGTACATCGAAGCAGCAAGTACAGATGTTATACATGTATGTGCACATGTTAGAATTGTTCGTATTACATACTGTAGATTAAGCGATGAAAAGAGGAGAGACAAAAGAAGTAGGATATTCATGATAATGTCAGTTAAGTTGTGGTTAATTATGTAAAATTGTCATGGGGCATCTTGATACCTAACTGTCTTCATACTTTGTTATGTGTTTCTTCATTGACACGAGATAACGTAATCTCTACACCACCATCAAATATCATCCAACGCGTCTTTTCTTCATCATTATTATATAAAATGTCACTTTCACAAGAAAGCCGAGTGCAGATAGCTATATCCACTTATAAAAGTAAAAAGGTTTCATCTCAATCTAAAGCTACAGAGGTTTTCGGTGTACCTAGAAGCACACTTCAAGATTGGCTACGCGGGATTAATTCCCAATCAGAAATACGCGCCAATGGCCATAAATTAACTATTTCTGAGAAGGAAGCTCTTGTACAAAAGCTTCTAGATATAGATAAACAACACTTTCCAAGTCAGCTAGAGTTTCTGCGTGGAATAGCGGATATTCTACTTTGTGAATAATTACATGATTTTATAGTAACTCTAGAAGTTAATTAGATCTATTCTTTTACTAAATATTGTTCCGAGCTACATATACAATATGCAAGATAAATAATCTATCAACGTGCAAAGTAAGAAGATTCAAGAGTTATATTATCTTGGTTTAACACTGTAACGGAGGATCTACTATACAGGGTAGATAGCCTGTCAACTAGGTAAGGAAACGTAGACAGGTAGAGGGAGAGATATCTATCATTAACTGTGTAGTAGAACAAATACAAAGAGATTACTTCTTGTCCCCTCTATCTATATCTTTAGACCTTCTTAAATAGCTTTAGGATTCTTCTCTATTCGGCAGATCTTTCGCGCCGAAGATCGGTAAAGAGTCAGATAATCTCTCCTCCGACCGATTCTAAACCGTAGGGGGTCCGAGGTCTTATGTAGGAAGGACCGGGACCAGAGCCTATACACAATGAACCAGGATATAGAGGCCCGAGGGTTCTGCAGGCTTCACAGGCCGATTCCTCATCGGCTCCGTGACAGCAGCTGACCTGTAACCTGACTCAAGAAGAATCTTTATATTACCCTGGCTATAGCCGTAACATCATGTTGTAACATCATGCTGTAATGTCACGTGCTAGCGTCGCATGAAGACTTTTACCAACCACATGAATCGCGAGACATTCGCAATTACCTTATAACCCTACGTATTGAAACAGTCATCGTCTATATAACCCTGAGAGCATGTAAATGAGCTTCTAAGGTCTATTCACGTGATATCCAACATTGGTCTTTTCCTGTTTATAGCCTTATTATTGAATCATGAGATTTAGCAGCATGCTCGTTGCTATCACCCTCAATTTGTTATCAACTGTCTGCCAACAAACCATAGGCCGCTTACTTCCCATCAACGTGAATCGTTTCCCTTTTTCTCATCAACAAACAGTAATGGACGACGACGACCCACAGGACTATGACCCCCCACCACCCCCGCCAGACCCTGCTCTATCGACGACTGATCGGACCTTCTTCGACACCATAGGATGCACGATCTATGGCTACCCCTCTACTGGCGGAGTTCTTATCAAAGAGGCTAATCCCGTCGATATGCTTTTCCTGTCGCTCCCCCGCTCTCATGTATCGCACCGCTCACTCAATGCCGATGAGGAAGACAGGTTCTGTAGTCTTATGAAACGGACTGGTGCGACATTCTGGCCGAGTAAGCGGGATCGGTCCTCAGTACAGATAGGCTTTAGAGAGCCTACGGAGGAAGAAGAGAAAGTAATGGTATACGGTTGGCCGACCGATGGAGTGGGTGTGTGGATATTAAGATTCAAAAGTACAGAGCAACTACCCAAAGACTTTGGGAGAATAAATTTAGCAATAAATATGGAGGAGAAGATACAGATTATGAGAGAGTATGGTGCTACGTTTGTTGAAGATATTATGCAGGTGGAGGAACTCAACATGATTTGAGGTCTACTAGTCTTGGATGGGTACATTTGGAGAACAAATACGTGCCTTAGCGAAATATAGAAGGCTCAGCTGTGAACTCTGACAGTGTCTGTGGGTTTTTGTAGCGATTCACCGGTTTTCGTTTGAGTTATTCATGTGTCCCCTTTTGTGGCTTCCATGTGTGTATCTATTTAACCAGTCTCTTATGCTTCGCTTTGAGTCTCTTTCTGCTGTCTTCGGTATCAGATTACCTCTTTCTCTCATTCTCCGAGAAATATCTACTATTCAGGGTAGAAGACCTGTCAACTAGGTAAGGGTACGTAGGCAGAAAGCTAAGCAGTAGATACTATGCAGACAGCAGACTGATTCTTGCCTTTCTCCATTATCAACATCAGGCCCATTATCAACATCAGGCTAACTTTATAGTCAGAAGGACCCCCTTCTTTCCCTAACAAAATAAGACTGACAGGGGACTATTGTACACTATTGAAAGGCAACGGATATAGACTCCGACGTCGCCGTTCGGCCACCAAGTTGTCTATGCACAGCGGGCAGGGTATACGATACAGTCATCATGCAGAGTCATTATCGGATCTGTGACAGATCGGGTGAGGAAAAAGACCAGAACAAATATACAGAGGATAGAACAGACTGGTAGAGCCTCTAGGGACAATTTAGGGGCAATGGTCTAGACCACTGCCTAGACACATGTGTCTGTCATAGCCAACTGGCTCTACATGGACGTTAAACTTGATTAAGTAAATAATACCACTGCTAGCTGAAGGCTCAATTTCCTCTGCTTTTCAAACTCAGAATATCTGTCAGCTAGACTGGAAGATCTGCAGTCTTAGAATAGTTTTAATACAAAGTAGAAGCTTTCTAGCAGTCTAATTGTTCATATTCAACACCTTGAAAAAGCTGTGTAAATGGCTATGTATACTAATCTTCTCTTACAACAAGAAGTCAAGGCTGTACAACCTAAGAACGAGCGGAAATATAAGAAAAAAGCTAGGAAATATACTATAATAGGGAACAATAGTCTTTTAATAGTACAGGAAGAAGAAAATCGCGTTCAGCAGTATAATACACAGTTTAATGAGCAGTCTGAGCAACCTATACCTGTGCCTCGACGACGAGCTCCTCAACACTGCAGCGGCTGTGGGATCGTTGGATATACTGTTCGAAGTTGCCCTAATAAATAGCTATTTTTTTTACATTTTTAATAAGTCAAATTTAATGGCGTTTGTTGTTGAAAAGCTTCAATTACTGGTAGCTAGTTTGAAAACCTGCCGGCTCGGCCGTGGATTACGTTGAGGATCGACTAAATACGTAATAAGGACGGACCGACAGCCTGGGCAAACAATGCATGCCTCAGGCAGTAGATTTAATTCCTGGCAAGTGGTCGAGTGACCGTCCAACCCGTTCGCCGCTAGGGCTCTTGGCAGCAGGTGAGGTGATGGACCCTGGACTTCATTTGTTTAACGGCTGACGAAGAGGCTCCGCAGTGGAGTTCCAACTGGCCTATAATGAGGGGCTCAGGGCCGATTCACTGGTTGTCGCTGATATGGTGATTCACTTTAGTTTCGATAGTAACTGTCATATTGCCAGGATTTTTCCGCCAAAGAACGATACAACCGGGAGCACAGAGATATTTGAACAATGACACGTTTTCTAATATTCATTGTTGACATGGGCGGGGAACAATCACCATTGATGATCAACTCTTTTCCATGGTTCTAATATTGCTAAAAAAAGGTCCACGATGATCCAGTGGATTGCCTCCAGTCACTTGGCTCTGCATAAACCAATGGAGCCCATTTCCCCCCACGGTTGCCCGTCAAATTAAATTTTCAAGCCCAGGGACCGACTCTTGTTGTTGCCTTAATCTCTTTGGAGGGGTGGGATGAAGCAATGGATTCTTCGCCCACTATCGTCCGTTAGCTGGGTCAGGAGTGTCGACTTTTTAAACTCGAATGAATCCACTTTTTTGTTCAATTTCTCCGCCCTCTGTCTTGTTCTTTTTGGTTCCCGATATTTTCCCCAGTTTTTTCTTGCTTTCTTTTCTGCCCTTCGTCGCTGTGAATAATTCTTCTGTATCCTGAAATCTTTCCCAAATCCCCAAGTGTGTTGTCGCATATTTACTGACGTTAAGCTCTTTGTTCGAATTAATTCAGATTGCATGGATGGAGGCTATGCCGATCATTTTTGGTCTTGATTCTAAACCTTGTCTTATCGTTTTTAATATATAATTCCTCGACACTCCACCATAGCTAATGGCGCGGAAGATGATGTCTCGCAAAACCACGCATCTCCTGGTATTTATTCTGCTAGTGGTGATTGTGGCCTCGGTGCTCAAGATCAGTGTGCCTGATACTTCCCTAGACCCGACGACGTTCTACCACCATGCCACCAGCCAAGACAGGAACGAGCCGGACTATTGGGAATGGGAAACCACCACACGTTTCGCTCCTCTGAAGAATCAGTTCACTGCTAGTCACGGCGCTGATGACGACCACCTTTGCGACTCTTTCCCCACCTATGTATTGACACGTATCCAAGTTGTGCTAAAGATCGGGGCGTCCGAGCCCGCCGATCGCGTTGACGCTCAGATCTCGACCGTCACCCGTTGTATTCCGAACCTCCTCATCGTCTCCGATCGCGAAAGCGAACTACATGGTCATCGCGTGCACGACATCCTTGCGACGCTTCCCGAATCGTTTCGCCTCAATGTGACGGACCTCGAACCCTACGAAGCCTTGCGGCAGGGCAATGAGAAAGCGGTGGGGAGCGACGAGGGCTGGCACCTGGATCGCTTCAAGTTCTTGCCCATGGTCGAACGCGCGCATGAGGTGAACCCGACCGCGCAATGGTATATTTTCCTAGAATCCGATACCTACTATGTGTGGGACAATCTCTTCCGTCTTCTCGATCAGTACGATCCGTCGGAGCCGTTATATTTTGGGTCCCCATCACCCGGACGGGAAATCGCTCAGGGCAAACCGATGTATTTTGCGTACGGTGGCGCGGGATTTGTTCTTTCAGCGGGCGCGATGAAGAAAATGGTGCATAAACACCACGGCTCAATGGGTGAATACGTTCAGCCATCTTTGAGCTTACAGTTTGAGGATATAGTGAAGGGCGACTGCTGTGGGGATTCTGTGCTCGGTTGGGCGTTGTATCAGAAAGGCGTCAAGTTGTCGGGGCTATGGCCCATGTTTAATCCACATCCGCTGCATAGCATTCCATTTGACAATGCGTATTGGTGCCAGCCGGTAATTAGCATGCATAAAACTATGCTGTCGGATATGAAGGGCTTGATCGAATGGGAAAACCGACGCGATCGCAAGGTTCGTCCAAAATCAAGTTTTTTTCCCCTTCTCTATACCTAATTCCAATTTTCCAGAAACCTTTACTATACGCGGATTTGTTTGAGTACACGCGTATGGGGACCTTCGAAAGCAAAGCAGACTGGGACAACGGCGACTGGGGTGGTTTCAGAGAGCCCGACGAGTCGCCAGCACACGTCTCGATGGAAGCCTGTCGGAGAGCATGCCACGAGCATGCTGAATGTCTATCGTACACCTACGACCATTCCGGCCATTGTATCTTTGTGCGGACAATGCGATTGGGTCATACTAAGCCGCCCACGCAAGAGGTGCGACTCTCCGCTGGCTGGGATGTGGAGAAAATGCAAAATTGGCGAGCGTCGCATCGATGCGAGAAGCCCATGTGGGTGAAGCCGAGCATTACGCGCATCTTTTAGAGCATTGTACATTATTATTCTGTGTCAGGCGTCTGGGTATTTTGGGTTTATATGCATTTCATGATGTTGTCATTCAATACCTAGCTGTTACGATATATAGATGAATTGTTGTCATTTACACAAAATAGCAGTCGATATTTCTTGCAATTATTCCTTATTTGATACCTAAGGTCTTTCGCGGAGCACAATACGATCTCATAACTCTTAGTGCACGTCAATTGTATCGTTCTCTGTGCTTTGAATAGATATTCCCAAACCTACATAGACCTTCAATCTGACGTCAGTCCTTGTTTCTCACTGAGAGATCGACCATGGGCCGTTAGGCAGAGATGGTACGTTTTAGGCAGTACCGATAAGTCTTGGACCCCTTGTGCAGCGTGGCAACAATCAAGTATCCTATTTCTCCACAACAAATAAACCACTATTCGCAGAACCCACAACCATCATCCTGCTAGACAACATGTCACCTTACATAGAGCTTAGAGTTTCTCTTGAACAAGCAAATTGCTTCACTGCTTTCTTCACAGTATATTTGAGAACCCTGACAAGCTCGACCCGTTTCTGCTGTTTTCATTAACGTAGACCTTCTTCGCATTTGAACAGCGACGTCATCTCAAAGGGATATTTCAATTCATTTCTTAAGCTAGGTTAGGCTAGTGAAGTCTGCGCATTACATACACTAAGCTGGCCTGAAATATTATGTACAAAACAATACAAGCCTTTGCTAGAGTCTCAGAGATGATATGTAATCGCACCAAACGCTATCAATCTAGAAATCAATCATTCAATAACCTGTCTATCGGGCTGTAGAAATACCGTATGTAACCGGGCAATAGTCATAAAAAAGAACTCTCAGTGTGAAGTGTTCGGACGTTCTGCGTTAGATTTGAAAACAGTTAGGCAGTTTTCTGAAGGGCAGGGCGACTGGCAACGTAAACGTAGACATAGCCGCATATGTGCTGCATGAAATACAGTTTCGTACCCAGTTATACACTCATTGAAATCATCAGGTTGTACTGAACCACAATGGGCCTCCCATAGTGCCCCGTTTTCATGGAGCATGTCACATATAGCTCTAGCCTTTTCCGTGATTAGCGGCACGCCAGGTTCCCCACCTAATTTAATGGACGCTCCAGCACAGGCTGCAAGAAGAGGGTTTCCCTAAGGCTTGCCGTGAATAGTGGCATTAGCACCTCTGTGGAGCAGTAATTTGACCGTATCGATCTGAAGCTGACCACCGCACTACCGATATCCATTATGGTGTTTGGGAAGTTTTTTTTTTTTCTTTTCTTTTCTTTTTTTTTTTTTCCTGTGTTGTCTGAGGGCGAGTTGGCTCTGCTTTGGCATCGAACAGCCTGCCACTGAATTTATAAACGATTGACAACCTCTTGGGCTTTGGTGAGCCTTGACGTAATCAGCCAGAATTTGCTGCGCCACGATACTGATCAACTAACCAAAGAGGGTTTCAAAACGTGCCGATCAGCTTTCCGAATTCTTAGTCCTTGTATATATTCACAAGGCATGAAACACTTGCCCAAAGTTGACAGAATGAGATGCACGATCACTGAACAAGTTGACGATGATGTTGACTCTAGAATGAGTGGCCACCATTCCAAACTGATACAACGGCGTTGCATGGAAGTTCTTTGCATAGAAAGCTGTGGGTAGAGCTATTTTTCCCCGCCCGAGTAGACAACGTTAGGCCTGTGTACCAATCCGAGTGGAGGGTAGTAACGCAAATGTTATAACCGCAGTGATCATAAAACTGCTGGCCAGCTTCGCTAGAATGGCGCCTATGGCTAGTAGAGTTGGTGATCTGCTACTATGGGAAAGGGCTGTGCCTACTAGGTGGTTGCAAAGATACTACATTTTTAGCATTCAGCCCATTACCTGAGTTTTGTTATTCGGCAGGACCTGTTCCACTTTGCTCAAAGACTAGCTACTATCCAATTGCAAACATATACGAATTGACGGATGAGTGAATGCGTTCATTTAGTCTAGATTCAGGGTCGATGTCAGGTTCTCTTGGCCAGCCGGCGCGAACTGCTCGAAAACCCTGCGGAACCACTGTCCGTCATGACAACCTAGGGCTACAGAGAAGACGTCCAAGCTGCCGCGGCTCGATCCCGCCAGTGATCCCTATACATTTCCTGCCGTTGGCAGTTCTGTTATTGGCAATTCCCCTATCTAACAGGCCATCCCGTCTTTTTCTCCATTACTAATTGTTCGCCTAGATGTAGAACTGTAACGTTGGACCAACTGCACAATTTCCACCGGTATAACAAGTACCGAGAAAGAAACATGGGCGATTAGAACTGGATTTATGTTTCTCGGTCTTTTTCGAATCATGGCTCCTAATTAGTCAAAATTTGGCAGCATTCAAGCCAAATATTCTCAGACTTGCGGAAAAGTTTCAAATGCCTTCCTATTCTCATCGATTTACACCAAGGCACGATGCAACCATAGATAGAAGATTCTACCTAGAATATTAAGCACGAGCGTGTGCTTCAGAAAGGGCTTTGGTGTTTATGCGATTTGTGTGTTGATTTATTTATTTAGTTTACATTACGAAAACATAAAGAAGCATAAAGTAGTCACAGAGGGTAATCATTCCTCCTATTAATAGACCCTTTTCAGAGGAATATATTAATTCAGTCTGGCCAGGATTCCCCCACCGGCAGACGCTGAGAGAGATACGAGACTTCCATAGAAAGCTCAAAGTTCTCCTTCTTCAAGCCACTATGGCCACGTTTGGCCTCTACTGAACCTACTTAAAAAGTTCAATCTGCTTTCGTTTCCACGGTATTCCCAAATATCATAATAAACCTTTTGCTTTATAAAGATTAATACAATATGATCGTGGCTACACAGGGGAATTTCTCACAATAGGACTGCTCTACGGGAGTCCTCTAGCTAGTAGATATTCCCTAGTGTAACGGCCGGTAGCTATATAGGTTTGACCAGGGCATTCTGAATCGTTGATTCAGAACCATGTGACCTTTTAGTCTTGTGCAATACTGAGCCCTGACAGTATCTATTACACCGACATCCACTCTAGGTTTTTGTGACCATAGCTGCCTGTTTACATTCATTGCACTTTTTAAGTATCATTGGCTTAGCCTATACGCTAAGACCATTTCAAGAAGAATTAAAAAGGATATTACTAGACACAGACGCGTCCGAAATATCCATAGATGCCGGGTTGATTATCAGGCTGATGTTTGTAATAATAGAGATTCTAGCGCTGAAGTACTGATTTAAGGGTATATAGTGTACAGCAGTCGTGGCTAGCCTTTGGCGGTAGCTCCGGGAAGGGTGCCCTCGTGAAAGTCTCCGGGTTTCGCTGGTACCTGAACATCGGCGAGATTTATTATTGTACCACCAGTTAGAGCCCTTGCACTCGGGATTCATATTGCAAGCATCCTCACACTCTTCAAAAGACGGTTTATATGGGAGATTCAATGGGAGTAATATTTGACTTTATTGGAATCCCTGAAAACAATGGAGTTTATCGTGAACTCCTGAACAGTTGATATCTGCACCATTATTCTCAGGGCATCTGGAAAGTGCTTCAAGGTGTTTGGTTGCTTTGGTAAGCAGCTTGTCCTTCTTAGCCAAATCCTGATCGCAGTCCTGTTGGCACTCAGGACCTGTCCGGTCGGTCCGGACCAGCAGCAGCCACTTGTCACTGGAATCCGCTTTCTCAGTAAGCCCGTCTTGCGGCAGATAGCATATCTGGCTGGTTGGAGTCCGCTGTCCAGGTAGCTCTGTAGCAGGAAGTATTTTGGGTGTAGCTTGTGGGGCACACTTTCTGGCACGTTAGTGGGTATTGGGAGAACACTGTCCTTGTTGCAAGATAGGATTATCGGTAAAGTGGCCACACTTATATTCGTAGATAGTTCCATCCACTGATTCTTCGCCTACACTGTGACTACTTGGACAGCAAGTAGCTTTATTACTCATACTCCCCGCCGTATTAACAGACAGGCAAGTTGAGCCCTGTTAAGCAGATAACAAGAGATATGAACTTAGAAGAATAAGAGCTGACATAAACACCATATTCGAGAGAAAGGTAGGAATACTTTAGTTAAGCATGAGATCATAGTTCTGAACTTCCAGTGTGAGTATATATAGCTATATATATAGACTTGGGAATGGTCTAGAGATAGTTATATATCAACATAGACGTAATAAATATACTAAGTCGGTTGTAATAGTAGGTTACATTTTAGGCTTCGGAGACTCGAAGTTGTGGAAGACTGTAACAGATTTCACAAATGCGAGTAGCTTTACTGTGACCGGTAGATCTTGTTAAGCTCAAGAACAACAGGAAAACCATGGTCTCTGGCACGTTGAGCAATACGTGGGCGCTAAGACGGCGCGTAGCTGTTAATAATATTCGGCTCTCCCACCCAAGGCAGACGGATGGAGAAAGCAACGTGGGAAAACCGCTTCTGTGCTTGAACTTAAGTGGTTGAACTCAGACGTGCAACACAATACACATGGTTTGACCTGCAAATAATGTACCTCTTCAGTGTTTCAAGATTTCCTGCATATACCTCGCAGACCATGCGCCCACATAGAATCGTCACCCGTGACTTAGCTATCTGGCTGTATGTAGCAGATATTGCAGTCCAAAATATGTTGGGGACAATTGAGGCTGTACTGCTTGGGCACCATCTGTTTGGGAAATATGTCACGTTAGTTATAGCAGTATGGTCAGCCATCTTCCTATAAACCAGTCATCAGCCCGATTAGGGCAGAAACCATAAGGCGTCATGACCAGAAAACCATGAAGTGGCCCCCAGACGTAGCACAGATAAAAATGTGCATTTTAAACTTGCCGATAGGAAAGTGTTCGCTCAGCTCGGTCAAAACTCAGACGGTCTTCATGCAAATGCCAAACCACAAGCAGCCCAAGACACAATTCGGTGATGGAACGACTGAGAGACTTGCCAACGACTTGCTTCCAAGTTGCCAGAGCAAGTTTTATCGCTCCTGATGGAGCAGAAGAACTCGCCTTTTGGCGGTGTTACTGTGCTGTTGGGATCTGGGTGGCAAAGCCGAAGGAGGCAGCCAGCCAACTGAAGAGAGATTATTCTTGGGTATAAGATAGATGTTAAAACTTAGACCGAGAGGTTGAGCGCAGCGGAAAGGCGAAGGTGCATTCTGCCAACAATAATACCCCGATGACATTTGGTTTTGTGGACAGGACCAGCAAACCTGCCTCACCTGAGTGCTGGTTAAACATTCGGGCGCTATTTTCCAAGTATTTACCGGTCCTTCAGTTACTTTACTACCCTGTCAGCATTGTTTCTAAGGCCATCTGCTCTCTATAGAGTACATATGGTTTCTATAAGGATGGGAGTTGCTTACCAATCCACATCTGTACATTAGCGCATTCATTGTAGGGAAACGAAGTTATGGCACTCCAAAGTGGAGCCGGGAGTAAATTGGGCCAACCCAGGCCTTCTAACAGCCAGGAAGGCAAAAGCCCATATACGGAGCCCCATGGAAGGGAGAAGGGTTTTTCCCTTCCCTGTCTAAGAATTTCACTATTTTCACTACAGGCGTTTTGCCTTTTCAGCCCTGGAGTTAAGTCGCACCCGGTTCTGCCGAGAACATGGACACGCCATCCACCGAAACCCGAGAAGTGCTCTATAAATAATACCCCGCGGGGGTTCTGTCAAAGTGGAAGCTGCAACCGACCCGCCCTATCATGTACAATTTGGTGCAATATTCGTAAGTACACCCGCTAAGTTAGGGGGTGGCTATGTAGACTATTTTTGACCCTTTATACGAAGATTCGTGGTAATCGAGACCCACAACGTGAGTCAGTTTGCCCGTACTGGGAGATTAATTAGGCTTGGCATCGGAAGTATAACAAGCAACCAGAATCCTCAATCCATACCGAAAACATACGGTCGAGTGTCCGGGGCCAGAATGACTACTTTGTCGATTTCAGAAGACAATCCCTTTCAGGTGTTGATTGCAGAGTCAAACGATGATCCGGTAACATATCTCATTGATTTTGAAGTCACTCGAGAATACCTATGGCGTGACTGGCACCGAGTTGTAAACTAATTCGGACTCGAAAGGCTCAATTGCAATCGCGCTATGAAACCCATCGCACGAACCGGAATGCACAGCAGAGGGCAAAGATTCTGGCAGAGGACTTCCCAGGCTGGTCTTTAGACGAGATCCTGCGCCGGCTTGATGGCCCTGCCAAAGAGGAAGGTTACCTTGATCCTCGCAACTGCCTCGTCATCTGGGCTAGGCCTCCTCCTCATATCCGAGACATGATCGCCTTTGTTCAAAGCGAATTGAAAGATGTTGCTCCATGTAAGCAGATCGCGCACTGTTTTCAAATCTCAGAGTCAAAATGCACCCACTAACTCAACGCGAATAGCAATTTGGCTGATGCCGCCCGGAAACCTCCACACGACCGTGCTAGAGGTGGCCCATTCTCTGACAGCAGTCCAGATCGAAGAACTTGTCCAAACCTTGAAATCATCGAAGAATGTCACCGAGGCGGACATTACAGGATATCCCCTCAAAAATCAAACCCGACTCTTGAAGCCAATGGTGAGCTTTGACTCTGCAGCATTTGCTCTTAGCTTCGTTCCCGCTGCAGGCGAAGGCCCAGCCGAGGGTTCTGAGGGCCATGGTGACCAGTACACCTATCATCACCTTCGCCGGGACGTTTTCGACTTGGTTCGGCAAACTGCTCTCCCTGTTGCTTCACGGTATATCGTTCCGTCAGCTCACGTTACTATCGCACGATTCATCAATCATGACGGATTTCTTGTTAATCAAGCAGAAGGTGCAGAAGCGATCGATCCTTCCCAAGTGAAATTGCTGGTTGATAAAATTTATCATATCAACGAAACCTTGGCGAGCCAGTATTGGCCAGGGGCTGACGGTAGCTATCCGAAAAAAGGTGAATGGGTTGTTGGAGAGGATCAGGGACTTGTGATACGGAGGGGCCGCGTGTGGTATGGAGGGGGTCAAGATGTATAAACTGCATATTATTTTCCTCTAGCCCTTTCCTATCATCAGAGGATTGGCTTGTGAATACTCCGTAGTCCGGAGTTCTGTCAATTATCCTGTGTCAAGGAAATATCTACTATTCAGGGTAGAAGACCTGTCAACTAGGTAAGGGTACGTAGGCTGAAAGATAAGCAGTAGATATCAGGCAGACAGAAGACTGATTCTTGCCTTCTTCTTTCATTAACACTAGGCTAACTTTATATCCAGAAGAAGCCCCTTATTCTCCTAACAGGATAAGACTGACAAGGAGCTACTATACGCTATTGAAAAGACGACGGATATGTGATCCGTCGTCGCCGTTCGGCCTCCGAGCTGTATATGCACAATGGGCAGGGTATACGATACAGTCATCATGCAGAGTCATTATCGGATCTGTGACATCCTGCCTTAGCTTGTAAGTCAAGGACTGCTATAACTATGTAGTATTAAGTTAGCCAGAATGTAAGTGGCCAGTGTTTCCTCAAAGATCTCACAAATCACTTTCTCTTTCTCGGTCTTCGGTGCGATGTAGGTGTCCTGACCCTGACTGGATATCACAGAGTCTGTCAACAGCTGTGTGGCTCTCTGAGCTAACAGTTGGCGATCTACCTTTAGTCCACCCATTTGGACTTGCCACTTCTATCCAACTTCCAGTTGGTAATAAATATGTAGATCTATACTTCTAGATAATAATATAAGCTTTAGAAGAATAATATATTCTAATATTGTAAATAAATATTATTTAGATTTTTATAGAACTATTATTCTAAATTTAATATAATATTCCTCTTATATTACTTTTAAATTATAATTTAAAGCGTGATACTACGTATAAAATACTTAACTTTATAGTTAGGTATTACCGTATAATATAAATTATATATTCATAGGAAAGTCTAATATCTATACTATTCAGGACCTAATTAAGAGCCTATAACCTATTATAGGCTATTATACTGGGCGTAAGGCCGATAGTAGATCCTAGACCTAGGCCCAAGGCCCAACCTATCGTGGGCCTGGGCTGGGATGGGCCGTGCAGAAGCCTAAGCCTGGTCTCCACTCTAGACCGTTATAGAGCTTATTGAGTGTTAGGATTTCTCGGGGGCTGTCCGAGGTATTTTTCCGGTGCCGGTCTGACACCGTCGCACTAATTTCTGAACCAGTCGCAGCTGTATCCTTCCAGCTTAGCATAAGCCCCAGTCCGGTCAATTTCTTGGCGTAAGCGTTGTGTCAGACTCTGTCCTGCTAATCAGATCTACCCTTCTCAATATCTCCGTCGGCTTTCAGACTATTATAGTGTGGACCACCTGCGGCTGGTACCTTTGACCCAGATCTATTATGGAGAACATGTTTTACTTCATAGATGGACTGCAGCCTGACAGGACGTCCAAGAAGCTGATGCGCCGTCATGTCATGAAGGGTAAAAATGCCGGGAAGAAGATTCACCGAGCCTCAAAAGGGCTATCAAAAGATTCCCATCAGCCAAAAGCTATCAATGATTTAGGCCTTCCTCACTGGCCCTGCAGCGGTAATAGAGGCGTGGATCCGGGTCCAGTCGACAGGAAGTTCGGTGATACAGTCCTCACAAGCTCGTTTCCTATGTTCGAAGTCAACCGATATTCCCTACATATTATCAACCAATGTGAGGGTCTAAACTCTCCGAAATGGCCTCATTAGAGCTGACATTGGCATTATAAGTCTTCGACCTGACCACTGAGCGACTATATCCTGTCAGTCTTGGCTTTTCGTTATGCGAAGTTAAGCTTCTGTGGCTGCGATTGGTGTTCACGGATGAGGCAGGTAAGATTGGTGACACTCGGATGGTTTCACGCACTCTGACATTAATCCTAGCCTACCACTGTAATATCAGTTTAATGGAGGCATGCAATGAAATATACCTGGGATATGGCACTAGCAGCACTAAAGCATTGTATCACCTGTCCCAAGCACTCACCCAGATCCAGAGAAGGCTCGGAACCTGCCATGCTCTCTCAGACTCTACCATAGGGTTGATCATATCACTCATCATGCAGGAGCAAATCAGGGATCAAAGCCCTGATGCTGAGGTGCACGCCAGAGGGTTGCAAAAGATGGTGGAGCTGCGTGGGGGCCTTGGTGACCTCGATAGGAACCTTACCCTTGCCCTGAAAGTCTGCAAGTGAGTGAGAACATCAGGAGATTTTTATCGACTTAGCTAACCTTCTTGAATAAAGAACGGACATCATGCTTTCTTTACAGTATGGAAGGCCGACAATGTTCTTTCGAGACCACATGGCTGAAGTGTGGAATAAGCTTACCACGCTTGGACACCGTCTCGACCACGTTCCAGTCACACCTTGGAATGATTTGCATCCATATCTTAATACTATATGTTCAGACATTATGTACCTTTGTTGTCTCTTGAATTGTGACCCACGCCGACCTATACTTGATTTTTTGGGATTCGAAGAAACCTTTGTCTCAATCTGCTATCGCCTTCTACAGTTTATTCCAATGCAGGATTCTGCCTGTCAAATCGACACGCAAACTGCGTGCCACCTTGGATTGCTCATGTTTACAATGGCTACATTTTTCCAAGTTGGCCAGAAGCAAATTATTGATTTTAAGGCATTGTCTCTGCGCTTCCAGAACTTCCTGGATGGTGACCTGTGCGAGGTCGATGATGGGCTGAGTCTTTGGCTTATAACTCTTGGTGGCATCTGGTGTTCAAAAGACCTAAACCGCGGTTTGGTTGCTTCAAGAATAGGTCTACTGGCTCGACAACAAGGAATTAGCAGCTGGAGCGAGCTACGCGGCTGGCTTGGGAAATTTCCATGGATACACGCTCTACACGACCAACCTGGGCATGAACTATGGAATCAAGTACAACACAGCCACTAGACATTGAGCGTCCAATTCTACCGTACCCATACTTCCGCCTGCATCTTTACAACCTGATTGAAGTCACGCCTAAGGGACTTCTCACCACGTGAAAGCCTGCCCAACCAACTTCTCAGATACATCCCAGAGCTTCTCAGCCTCCTGGCTAGATACTGCAAGAGGATGTGCTTTACCACTAATCTGACAATTATCCAAATACGATCCCCAATTTTCGCACCCGCTTCTGCTTTTTCCTACACCTTGAGCCAGCTTTGGGTCCAACGCAGCGACCAAAGTAGTTGAGGCCCCTGCGCCCAACGTCCTCGGTTTGAAAACGCTCTTTCTCAACTCCGCAAACGCCCCCAGATCTTCCGAGGACATGTTCCGGCCCAGCTCAGTATCTATGACTCCTGGGTGTACCGATAGGGTCAGGATTCCGTACTTCTCGAATAGCCGCTTGTTCGCAGCGATGCCAAAAAGCACATTAGCAACCTTGCTACGGTTGTAGCCATCGAGATGAACATAAGAGGCGTCCTCGATATCTCGGCATCCACACATCGCGAACCAGGTGTAATCAGGCTGTTCTTCCACCGGCAGATCTTTGTTCTTCTTGTCGAAGTTCGTGTCGCTCCATCGCATCCCCGATACCTGGGGCGAAGCAGAGCTTACATTGACGATGCGTGCGGCGCCCATGGGGTTGCTCTCAGCAGCCTTGATCAACTTTGGCATGATCAAGCAGGTGAAGAGCCAATGTCCCAGGTGATTTGTTGCAAAGTGCAGCTCGATATCATCCGGGCTTAATGTGCGTTTTTGAATGCCCATTATTCCTGCACTGTTGACCACAATGTTTATCATGGGCACGTCAACCCAGTTCAGGACCTCCGCAGCTGCGTTCCGAACCGAGTGCTGATTGGAGAGGTCCACTCGGAGACCACGATAGTTCACATCAGGGAACTCAGCTCTGAGGGCATTGATAGATTCTTGGATTTTGACGGGGTTGCGACCGGTAATAATGAGGAGGGAGGGCGATTGAGAGGCCTGGCAAATCAATATGGGTGATGTGTATGAGACTGGTGTGGCAACTTACGAAGGCTTGTGCGGTCGAGAATCCGATACCACCGCGATTGACACCAGTAACTATGATAGTCTTGCCACGGATTCCAGAAGCAAATGCCTCTGCGACCTGGAGGGCTTCAGTCTCCTGGTTGAACTCGGAATATGTCGTAGTAGTCATTATACCTATGTCGTTCGGAAAGAGGAGGGGCAGATAGTCTGTGAAAATACGGGAAACAAATAAACTTGCACTGTTGATTATGATCTTCATTTTCATAAAAAAAGGGAGGATTATTTATATCTTTTTCTGACAGATGGATACCTGATATTTGTTGTATCCATCCATCACCCATGAGTTGTCATTCAGCCAATGAGAGACTTATTACCGATTTTAGGTAAGCTTGTATCACGCTCGGCCAATGAGAGATGTATTGCCTGATCGGGATACGATGACGCTATCTGCCTTAGTCCTACTATTAGTTATCTACTAACTCAGCACTACTTAAGTCACCAGTAGGGTACACAGGCACGGAGTAACATTCAAGCGATACCGCTATTCATATACAATTACCCCTACCCATAGCTACCCTGGGTTGAACTACTCCGTGCACAGTTGGTGATATATTTGCACTGTCGTTCAATACAACCATTGGACATTTCAGCAGACATATAACGATACTTACTCGGCAGTTCTGGCTTCACATAGGAGCTGGAATCTATTGCTGATTCTATATATTTTCCCATCCTGAGAGGTTTAGCAAATATGCCCGTAAGGTGTAGTGGGCAGTGTTTCCCATCCACTTGGCCGTTCCGAAGCCGCATGGTTGAGAGGGAAGCCACCATTCGCTGGTCGTTGTTCTTCATCTTTATCATTTTGATTGTATTGTACTTTGTCATTTTTTATCTTATAATTATTCTATCATATGACTTAAGTAAAAAAAGATAATAACTTAAGTTTACGAGGATACACTAATGGCTACTATTACTACTAGAATAAGATTATAGTTAGCACAAGGTATATTAGAACATTCACTTATATACTGAGTTACTGTTTCTATATATCAATGCATCCTTGTATATATACTCCGTAACCCTATCTGCAGACAAGATCATGGCTATACAACACTTGCCTGCTAGTATATCCCGCATATTATATGTTCTCCTTTGGGACCATATCCAATACAGGACCTTGGCTCTAAGTTAATCGGAGAAAAATAGGTCGAGCCAAAGGATCTTCAAACTTGACTCGCTCCTATACTATATAACCTTAGTCCGTTGTGCCACTTGTTGCCCGTTTCCTCACCTCGTTGGGAGACGGTGCACTGCGCCTCGTGCCCAGGCTAGAGGGCTGCTCGTCATTGGAAGCTTGGGGCGCAAAGGAGTGCTTGGTCGTTCGATTTTCAAAGGCTGATGGCGATCTGCTGGGTGTGGTCGTTACTTCTGTATTGTGGGAAGCACCAGCCACAGCCCCAAAACGACTGCTATAGCGCTTTTCTGTCAAATGGCAAAGAGCATCTTCTGTCATTGAACCAACCAACTGCGCCGAATTGCCAGTAGACGACGCTTTCTTGACATCAAATAGATCGGCTAAAGTAGTTACCACTACTTGGTCGCTGTTATCTTCGGCAACCACTTCCCCAACTTTATATATTTTCTGACGGGACACTTCGCTAGCCACCTTGCACACCTCTAGGCACTGCATCGATATGTTGATGTCTTCTTGTAACCGCTGGCGGTCGTTAGTATCTTTCGGACCATTGCTGAGCAAAAGGATCTCTAGACGTTTGCCAAGTTGTCCAATGATCTCTGTGAAAGTATCCCGGTTTTTATCCAGAGCTTGCCGCGTCAGCAATTGCGCTTCGAAGACCTTTTGCGTGTCATCTTCGGCAGTACTACGAGACGCTCCTTGTAGTATAGACGATCCACGGTTTGTCAATGTTTCGATATAAGATTTTGCATCTTGGCAAATTCGAATGCATTGCTTGGTTACTTCTTTCTCGTCGTTCAGATCTGGGCCTACTCCCGAGGCTTCAGCCGTATCCATAGTAAATCGCGCCAATTTCTCATCAATCCGCTGTAACTGGACCTCAAGGTTATATGCGGTGTCCTGGACCATTTCATTGTATTCTTCAAGAACTTGCTGAGAGATTTTGGTGGTTTGCCTGATAGGAAAGACGTTAGAAGGGTCCGATTTGGGCTGTGGGAATCATAACTAACATGGTAATGGTGCCTAGGCCAACTGAAATTGTTGACTTGTATCCTGCGATAGTGTCTATGAATTCATTGATATCACCTCGCATAAATTCCAGCTTGGCCCAATCGCGAATGCCAGTCTTCGATTTGGCACCGAAGGCTTTCATCGATGCTTCGAATTCACAGCATACCTGGCTGCATCGGGTAACTGGATCTTGCAGAAGGGCCAGCATGGACGTTTCGGACTTGTTCACTTGGGCCAGAGCATCCAAGATACTGGTAAGGTCCTTCAGCTCATCTTGAAGCCTACGCAAAGTCTTGTCACGATCTCTGAAGCGCTTTATAGTTTCAACGAGGGACCTTGCGGATTGGATAGCAACCGTAATGATACCCACCGCCGAGGCAGTGACGCTCAAAGGATCCGCCATGTTCAACCTTTGCTGCAAGATTTGAAATGGGTGCCTTGAGAAATGTTCGCAGCAGGAGTAATGAAGAAGGAAATGCCTCCTGTGGGAGCGAGGGCAGCTGCAAGTTTAAATACCAACTGCATTTATCCCACACAGCATACTAGATTGGTGCGAGTTAAGCGCCGGTGGCTTGATTATGTGAGGGACAGAACCCAGGACCCCACTTATTCTGTATGTATTTGAGTGTGAATCGGATCGTGCAGCGCTTCACAGTTACAGCGATTGCCAAATACCCACCATTAGCAGCACTGTCTTCGCAACCGTGGCTGTCCAGGACGTCTAGGCTTTGTGACGGAGAGATGGTTTGTTGGTTGTGGGGAGGGTAGCAGGTGAGGGGGAATGGCGCTTAACATAGAAATATGAGCCGCAAAGACCGATGGACCAGGCGGTTCTCGTTGCCCACTAGTATTAAGAATAGAAATCACAGTCGCAAAGACACCCAGTCTCTTAGGTCAGCAGACCCACCCGCCGCCCTTCGGCCTGTTCGCCTGCTTAACCCACCACAATACTTTTTGTTTCGAAACAATAGATTTAAAGCTTTGTAAAGCTTTTAGCTACTATTACGATAGCTCTGATATCCTAATATTAGGATATATATTATTTATGTATATAGCATTACTGTAACCCCCCCCCCAACTAAAAAAAAATAAAATAAATAACAAAACAAATACAAATAAAAGTTCGAACATCTTTGTATTGCCGTGTGAGAGTGGCCAGCGGGGGTTGTTTTTCTACTTTTTTTTTTTTTTTCCAGGCTAACCCAGACCCTCCCCGCGGACCACTCGAATATTGAGATATTAATATCTTTCCTTTATATTGAGGCACTGGTTTGGCCTTTGTGATTACAGTGGATTTTACTTTTTCAACTTTGTTCATAAAATGCTAGGGGTCGATTACACCAGCGTATACGTCAGACCAGATTCGATGGAATAACTCATACCTAAAGGTTTAGATATGTTGAATGATTGGGAATATCCAAGCGGAGCAAATCAAAACAAATAAATATAATCAACAAATAAAGAACGCAAGTTGCAGGCGCTCTGCCAAGGTCCGGACTTGGAAGGGGTATAACCTGGTGCGTATCAATGAGAGATGAATCGGGATACTATGGAGTAGTCAGGCTCACTATTTTGGCAGCCCTAGTTTTCCAAGGAGCTTAATCATATGAACTCCCGACAACCTTAGCTTAAACCGAGAGTTTAAAGGTGTTCAGCTCTCACAGATGATCTGAAAGGCTACAGTTTAATGGCCCCTCAGTTATCGCTCTTTGTCGTTTTTTTTTTCCATTCGACTAGGGCATTGTTTCCGGAGGACTCTGCGGATATCATTATGACCAGAGCTACTCGTCGGCATTCAGGTTTACTCCATAGTGTTACAGGCCTTTAACAATAGAATATTTGCGGTGAGAACGCAAACCCTAGAACAGCTATTGATTACTTATATAGATGCGGAAATTTAACTGTGTATAACTCAGACTTTACACCTGAATCGCCAAAACCGGGTGGTCATAGGAACCCAATGAAGCATCATTGGCCCTTTTAGGGGGCATCACCCAGAGAGAGCTAAATAAAGGAGCTTGAATGCCAGAGAACCCCTCCCCAACTATCCATCAATACCTTCTTCGAATCTTCGACGCAGCTCGAATAGGCTCCATAACCCAACTCCGCCGGAAATCCCACGGATCATCCCCCTCCGAGGTAAACCACACCACTTCAAACCCCAGGACATTGCTATGATCCGGAAACCGAAACGCCGACAATTGATCCGCGTCCGCATTGCCGATATAAAACGTGTCCGATTCCGAAACAATCACCCGGTGACCTCTATCCAGCACACCTTGCGTGACCCCATTATGCCAGGTCTGGATGATCCAATCCCTATTGAGGGCGATTCTTTTTCCTGTATCAGTCAGTGCGTCATCCCACATGATCCGAGACTTGTTGGGGCAGAGGTTCCGGAGCCAGTGCAGGAATGACTCGAAGAGTTGGTTGTCGTTGTTGGTGTGCCAGATATAAGCCACCTCGTCGGCGCCGAAGTGGTGGAGTGGGGGGGACTGGAAATATTGGTCGATTGTGGATATTAAATTTGTGATGTGGGAATAGATTTGGGGTTGTGTCTGTGGTCGAATATCCAGTTGGGCTTGGGGGTGTTTGAGGTCTGGTTTGCCGACGATGAGATCTTTTTTCCAAAAGCCCCTGGTACCCGTCACGCATTCAGTCAGGATGTCAGAGAGAAGATAGAAGAGGAGAGAAAGAGAGAGAGAGAGAGAGAGAGAGAGAGAAATCCCAATGTCGGTTAATTAGAAGGGGGTGGGTTGAGGTGGCGTATTTAGATTTTGCAGGAACATACCATATATCACTGTGGCCTGGCATGTCGGTCTCCGGATAAACTAGAATGCCCAACTTCTGTGCATACATAATGACTGTTTGGATGTCTTCGGGGGTGTAGTAGTCGGGGGTATGGCTGTACCGGATGCTCACATCCGTCAATCCCCGATCCGCCGGCCAGAGAAGGGGAAAGCTTTCGGCATCGTAGATATGCCAATGGAAGACGTTGAAGTTGTGTTCGTGGAGCACGGTCAACATATCCAGGATGGCACGGACAGGGAAGAATTTACGGCCAGTGTCAAGCATGAAGCCTCTGTGGGGATAGAGATCGCTGGGTTTCATTCTTGCGTAGGTAATTTTCCAATCAGGTGGGGCAATGTAAGTAGTTACTGAGGTAGAGTGCCTTAAGATTGGGAGTTGCACTGTCAGAATCACTGTGGCAAAAGTATCACCGCCCGTCTCAGGTCCTATGAGATTCTGTACACAACTGGCACAATTCGTAGAAGGAAACCGTATTCCAAGACACCCACGGTGATCAGTACGATCTTTTCGCACCCTGCATCTGTATAGTTCAGTGGGGCGGTGGATCTGCAGGAGAAAGGGTTTTCCGATCAAGCCTGACGATCACCGTACTAGGGTCACGGCCCATGGACCACAGGTGGCGCAAATATGGAATAGTGATGAAATCATAGATTATATGCATTAAATATAAGAAAGTAAATATTGAATGAATCATACAACAGAATTCCAACTGATCAGCACCCCACAATCCACTGTAGAGCCACTCATGCTACCCACTACGCGTTTTCCCCCATTTGATATTATCCTGTTTCCACACCGAGAATAACGGGATCACAATGCTGAAGATAACAATCATGGGAAAGAATGGGACGTAAAATGGGATATACTTTCAATCACTACATACCACGCATAGGAGCACCGGCAACAGCGAAAAGCCCAGTAAAATTGCCCACGCGTAGTCGGTCAGCAAGATCGAAATCACCGCGACAACGACACCGGCCGGCAGGGCGAGCGGGAGGATGAATACCATGAAGAGCTCACAGCCGAGGACAAACATGAGCCGGATGTGGGCCCAGACGGAGGCGGCAAAAGTATGTGATACTAGACCCTGTAACCGTCGAGAGTGCCCCTTCGGGTCTTGAAGGATCACAATTCACCGCAACGACCGTCTTCTGCCCTTTGATATGGAAGAGAAGCTGGTGAAGTTGCGATGTGACTAGGACTTAGGACTGCCCAAGTCTTTAATTTCCGACAAAACGCTTCATAAGTACGCTAGGGACAAAGTTCGTTATGCTTCTCGTATAGATGTGCCAATGCAAAAGGGGACCGAGCACTGCATGTAGGTTAATTTTCCTAAAGGGAACTATGTATGTCTATCAAGCATGGCAATCCTCTAGTACACGCACAACATTGCGGGAAAACGACTCGGAAAGCCTCTTATCCTCATCATCACCCACCTTGAGTCTCGTCCTATCCAAACAACTTGCTACCGCATCCCGATACTGTTCCCCCATATAATAACCCAACATCGGAACCAATCGCCGTTGGATATCTTGCGCGAACCCCCTCTCATCTAACCCCCGCCTCCGAAGCGAGGAGATCCTCTTCCACAGCCCAATCTCAATCAGCACAATTCCCAGGCTATAGAAGTCGTATGACCTTCTATACTTGTGATTAGGGTGCAGCGGCGTTTGATAGTCTGGATGCTGATAGAGACGGTCGATGTCGTTTTCGTTCGTGACCTCCGACACCTCGCGGGGATCGTCTACGCGGGCGTACCCGAACCCGCTCAGATACGGTCGCTCAATAGAGTCCTCAGCCTCGCCATCGGGTAGCAGACAGAGGATGTTCGAGGAGTTTATGTTGTGGTGGAGCCATCCGGCGGCGTGGATGCTGGATACAGAGCTTGCTAGGAGCGCAGCGAGACGGAAACGGGCTTCGAGGCAGAAACAGACTGGGACTTTGTTGTCCGCTGCTGTGCGGAGGAACGAATATAGTGTCTCTACCCGAGGAAGCGGCGGGGCAGGAATCCTAGCCGGGACTGTAAATTCCGGGAGTGCGAAGATGAGGCCATATTGATGGTCTTGCCCGGGAGTTGTGAAGAATCCTAGGCAATCGAGCACGCGATATTTGCTCGGTTTGGGGGCCACCTGAAGAAGGGCGATGAGATCCATCAAGCGCCGTTCGAGAGTGCTGATGATCCGGGGGTCCGGGTCCGTGAGGGTTTTCAATTCAACTAGGACGTGTGTGGTCGTCCCATCCTTTTGCTGGATTTGAGCCAAGGTGCGGTTTTGCTTGGTTGGGCCCCGTGATTCGAGGTTATTGAATGGAATTTTTATAGGCTTAGGCAACTCATTGCCGGGTGTGGGGGACGTTGACCGCTGCTGTAGCAGGTGCAATTGCTTGAACCTCGCAGCCGCCGCGTAATCCTTATCCACCCACTCTGAATGGTTGGAGATCAACTGCAGCCGATCATTGTCACTGGGTTGCTCTAGCTGGAGAGCGCGATGATATGCACTCCTGCGAGAGGGTGGGAGAATGTCGCAGAGAGCCGCATTGAAGTCTGAAAGACTGCCGATAAAGTCGTTGAATCTCTTCTTGTCGCGCACAGCCCATTTCACCTTTGCCATCTTGCTGATACGCTTCTGGAATTCCGGCAGCGACTCTGCTCGTTTCTGGATCAACGCGCTCGCTACCTGTAACGCCGACCCTTCACGGAGCGAGACGTCATGGTCCGGCTCAAGGTCCTCGACTTTCTTGTCTCCAGCGGGGTGTATGCAGAGTCCATATTTCTTTTCCAAGTCCTCCCTCTTGGTAAGTAAATTGGACATCTGGGCCAGGATATCCACGATGAGGCTCTTGATCATCGAATTTCCCTGGCAAATGACGTCGAACTCCTGCGTATCATTGCTGGCTAAACCGACCTGCACGGTCCAGTTGTCGAATCTATATCGTGCCAGAAGATAAATGACATGCCTATATACGTGGATGTATATATAAAAATACATGCATCAGGGGAGAGGACTAACTTCTGCTGTTCAATTCTGAACCATATCTGTGCTGTCTGGACTCCCTCGACGGCTCCTCGTGCCTCGACGATCACCTCGTATCCTTGCCGGATGGTATCGCACAGCGCCAAGGCCAGACCGACGACACCAATAGCAAGACCTGAAAAGCAAATGGAAAGGTCAACCTGTTAGTGCTAAGGATGACCCATAACCAAGGTATTCGGAGACGCACCAGCAGCCTCCATTTATGGGTAGCTTTAGGGGCCTAGATAATGAGCAATAAAACTTTCGTTCCTGAGTAAGTCTCTGGAGGAAGCGGGGGTGAACAATCTAAAGATTCAGCGAGGGTCATAATAAATAAATCTAAAATTGAAACTTTTGGTTGGATGGATCCAAAGCACTGCCCCCCTTCCCGATTGCCGGGACAAGGCTGACGGGGGAGGCTGAATTTCGCGCTAGAACACATCACAAACCACGGCTCCGTGCGAGTTGTGATGGGAGACCGCACTATCTCTTTCGAATTTGTGTACCCTATTATTTACTTAGTTTGGATACTTTGGAGGAGATAATATGTCCGTCCGTTTTCTCGGACTTTAGTGGCAATCAACATTCACCATGCCGACGATCGAACTCAGCGATCTCCCTGACGAAACAACCCAGCCGCAGCTGCAGTGGTTGGAGTGGTCGATACCCAACCATCACCAGTCTAATGCATTTGATTTCCTGCAATTTATAAATCTGCTATGGAGGACAGAAACCCCCATTCTCAACCCCTGTCTACTCGACTCCAGCGCTGCGATAGCGGCGAGTGGCACGTTGGGTCGGGGTGGTCAATTCGTCGTTGACCGTGTTTACGACAACCAAAGGTACAAACCCCACGGCAACGGGTGAGAGGAATCATGTCTAACTCGACGGGGCATCAGATATCCCAACCAAAGTGAAGAATCAATTCAGCCCTGTGTGGTCTACAAACGTGTGTTGACAAGTGCCCCCCACCATGAGGGCCACAACCACGAAGAGACTATTAACCTGGCGTCCTTCATTCGTGAGGTCACGGTGCTCAGTCGACTAAGCCATCATCCAAGTATCGTGCTGTTGATCGGAGTTGCATGGGAGAAGACGCAGGCCGGGGCCATTCTCCCTGTTCTCGTTCTAGAACACGCACCATTTGGCTCGCTCGCAGACTTTCTTTCGCAGAGATCTGGGCCTGCCATGCCCGACATGACACAGAAACGTCGGTTCTGTGCAGATATTGCGGGCGGGCTTGCGGCTATTCATGAACAGGGCTTCATATGGGGAGATTGCAAGCCCGAAAATGTTTTGATCCTGATGGATATCGAGAGGGATAATTGTCTGCGCGCGAAACTCAGCGATTTCGGGGCGTGTATTACGGCTCCGAGCCCAACATCCGGCTTTCGGGGGGTTTCGTATCCCTGGACGGCTCCGGAGGCTGCGGCGGCGAGAGGGTTTGACGAACTGGCGCACGCAGAGATGTTTTCTCTGGGTCTCGTTTTATGGGCAATTGCCATGGATGGGCGACAGTTTGACTGCAAGTACTGGGGTCGAGATCCCGAGAGGGAGAGGCAAAATGTGGATATAGAGGAGATTGAACGTATTAAGGCAGGCGGGAACGGGCCGGATGGGCTCTTGGAGATCGCCGTGACTTCTCTACAAAGCTACCTACGAGGCTTCGATGAGACGTATACCCCGCTGGCACCATATAAGGACATTGAGGTATTTGCAGACACTTTGAAAGTTACCATTGTGTCTCATCCTGCCCGACGGGAGAAAAGTGCAGATGTTCTGGTGGCAGCATTTTCATCCGAAAGCTCCAGGTCAGCATTCTCTATTCTGGTTCTAGCATATCCAAAGCGCTTGGGTTTCATAAAATTCTAACTTTGACTAGAGTATCAAAGCCAAAAGGCACAGCAAATTCCGCCGAATTCTCGGGGGAAATCGATCTGGCATACCTATCTTCCACGTACGGGCCAGGTACGAAGCTTGACGTAGTCGCTTCGCTAATTTTCCAGAATATCTGTAAACTCGGGAAGGAGATCCAGTTTGCGCCTTCTCTGTTCCATGCAAGCCTATCTAGTCTGGTAGGATTCGGAACGGACGTTGACTACTCGTTGGCGCAAGAGCTGATGAAACAAGCAGCATCAGCGGGGTTGAAGAGGGCACAGGGTTTACATGCCGCAGTATTAGCTATTGAGAATAGCCAAACACCTACGGAGCAAGAAGATTTTCAGGAGGCCAGAAGTGCGACAAGTCAAGATGACCTTATGTTCTTCGATGATCTTGGGCTGGAGGATCAGGAAGAGCCGGGGACAGAACGGGAGCAGGACTCAATATCGGAACCGAGGAGTGATGATGACATACAGAAAGAGTGGCTCATCGAAGCGGCGGCTGCAGGATCATGGGTTGCATGTAAACTAATGGCCGAGAGTGACCCAGCCGGTCTCCTACGCCTTCGCAGTCGTTCTAAGCATCGATTTGGGTGTCACAGGGGAATACCCAATCTGTGTAGTGACAGAGAGGAGACTTGTGAATGCGACGAGGAAAGCGCGGTCGGCAGTGATTGGACCAAAATAACAGAAAGGAATCAACTTGGGGAGACGCCTCTCATCTATGCCATGAGAACCGGGAACTTGGACGCTGTGGTAATGCTACTACCGGCGGTAACAGATCCGACCGTGACCGATGATCGAGGTGTGACAGCATTACATTGGCTCGTGTCAATGTCTGAGGAGAGTTTGCATCACATACAGCCGCTTCTTACGGCAATTCCTCTTGATATTCAGAGTCAAGTGGCTGTGGAAGATCCCAGATATTATGGCACCAGATTTGAACCCGGAACTCCCTTGGACTGGGCCGTCGATGGCAAGAATATTAGTGCAGTCCGCATGCTCCTTGAATTGGGCGCAGATCCAGCACTGGAGCCCAAAACGCGTCCATCTGCACTCCACCGTGCCGCCGCGTGCCACGACATTGAAACCTGTCGAATTATCCTTTCACAAAGGCCCGATTCAAGAATCGATGTGTTTGACAGGCACGGGCAGTCACCCTTATCCTCTGCTCTCCAGCCACACTTTGCGCTTGAACGACGCTTACTGCACCTCGCCCCGGGGAGGATGATCCTGCAGGAGTTGATCGACTTATTCGCCACCAATGGAGCAGACATCAGCTTCGTCAATCAATCCGGAGAGAATATGCTGTATTGTGCGGTCCGTGAGGGCTTTCTTGAAGGAGTTGAGACAGTCTTGGGCTGGAGCACTGAACAACTGGCGATAAAGTCTCTGATAACAATACGAACTGGTCCCAATCGTTGGTCGAGCCTTCGCCGGGCGCTGTATGCAACAGATATAAAAATTATCAAAGCTATTTTCCGTTGTTTAGCTCCCGAGGAACTGTACGAAATCTTGGAGGGTGATCGATCCCCAGATGGATTGACTCTACTGCACGAGCTTGCCTTCCTACCTGAATCGACGGCCCTTGACATTGCTCGTCTCGTTGTCTCCAAACTCAACGAGAGCAACAGAAGTCTACAAGGCTGCGTTGAAATGCCCCGCATGTCGGATAGAGGCAGTAGGCCCAACCTTACAGCTTTCCAGCTAGCCGTGCTCTGTCGGAAGTCGGAGTTGGCAGACTATTTTGTCAAGTACGGCGCCGATCCGTTAGCGGGAGTTCAGAAGCAACGCTTTCTTGGATCGCTCATCTCCTATCTGAGGTACCAGGCCGATGTACCCAGCGGGTGGCTTCTTCATGTCCGCGACGATAAGGTTCCTAACACTCTCCGACGATTCCCACATCCGGTCCTGGCAGGTGACGCCGTGGGGTATCTCCTTCGGCACGAAACGATATGGTGGCAGGGCCGAGCTACGTTCGACAATGATCCGGACCATGATCCAATGATCGCTTGGCGTCCTGGGGTCTCCACGAGTATTTGGATTGCTTACAATACGATCCAAGGCCGTGGTAGCATGGTAAACGACAGTTACCAACGTGCAATCGAAATGTATGGGACTTCCGGTCACCTTGATACCAACACTCTAGTCTTCCGTCATCGATCCCGCCATGTACGGGACTATAAGTCGTTCCTTATTTGTTATCAGCATGATCCGCAGAAGGAATCCTCTCGCCGTCATCCGTATATCACTGCCCTCGAGTTGGCGTTCGACGTAGCTGTGACTTGTCCCTATCGGGTTCACGGTGAGAAGCTTTTTTGCAAAGTACTAGAGACTTATAACGGACCAACACATTGTAACTTTCCCTACTATCATTACTTTCCCTGGGGCCGCTCCCCCATGCGGAATCTAAGTCGCCGGAACACCTTGCTACATCAGGCGATCCGTCTCCAAAAGCCGTCTCTCGTAAGCGCGTTACTGGAGAACGGGGCTGACTGGGACATGCCAACCCTCAGTTGGCAAACACCGCTACGCCTCGCGAATATAATGAATACCTCACTGTCTCCGGATGATCAAACGAATCGAGGAACATTCCTGCAGCGCCTGAATCCTTCTGTGCCACCGGTCGCCATGCAACTTGCTCCGGAGGAAGCGGAGAGCGAAGCCCAATCCCCTACTCGATCGATCCAATGCTTACTAGAAACTCACGCAATGCGGTATTCCAGGCAGCGTAACTGGGCTTTTATCAAGGCATTCCGCGAGGTCCACTGGCCCTGGAATGAATATGAAACTGACCAGCTCGGGGTCCGATTCATCTTCTTCTACGTCTCCCTCCTCAGTCTGTTTTTTCTCATCATCTCCGCCCCACTTTATATTCTCTACGTATACAAATCGTGGATAACATTCATCGAGTTTTCGGACGCCAGAGACGCAGTTACATCGCTGCTTATTGTCGCCGATTGCGTGATGCTCGCGATCCACAATGGCCTCAATCCACAAGAAGCATGCCTCACTAAGTCGGGCAGCGGAGTACATGCGCTCACGGAGTACATGTTTCCGCCGCTAGAGCAGGTGAGTAACATGAGCATCGCCACGGCCAATATTGTTGAGTCATGTTTCAATGGTACTCTCCCCGATCGACTGCAGAACACGACCTGTCTGGGAGACTACACGGCAATGGCAACACATGGTCTAGATAACCTTATTCCCGGGTGTAGCGACCATATTCCAAAATGGATGGACCTAATGGCAACCTTTGACGCGGCGGACAAGGCTCTTAACGCGAAGATGCAGGCATATTTGCTGAAAGAGTGCAAGTGTCAATGTGGTTGGAGGGGCACGCCATATCATCACAAGTGGGACAACTACTGAAGGCCGTTCCCATAGCTGGTCCCATATGAGTGTATTGCTTACTTATATTGACAATATGTTGTTATTCTGGTACTGCCTGATTGTAAATAATTTTCGTAGATACGACGAACGCCCAGATAGGGAAAACCACCGGTGCAGTCACAGTAACCACCATGAGCGGCCCGTTGACGGTAGGGCCACCGAGGATGTACGCGCCCCTTAAAAGGGTCTTGATCTCGTCGCGCATCGCCGATCGGTTCAGGGCAGGCCATAATGCAGCGCTGACGAGAATTAGAAACAGAATCATCGCCATCCCAGCATGAAACACCATGCGAAATACTCGGACCATATGATGGGCTGTCAATCGGAGCCGTATAAATCCCAAACCTGAAAATGTAGGCCACAGATTCCCTCTAGAACCGGTGATGCGGGCGTAACCGACAATGCTTGCTTCGGTGCGAGACAATTCCTGGGCGTGGCTACGAGCAACGAGAACGAGCGAGGGAACGACAAGAACCAGCGCCAAACCCGCCCACGTTATCCCCGTATGAAGAATGGCACTCCGTACGGTTGGATCTTGGAATATTTCGGCCGGATCTGCACCCTCTATATATAAGATGAAATTCATCGGTAGATGTTTCCGTAGCATGATATGGGGAATGAGATAGGCTACATTCCTGCAAATGATGTGAATGGCAATGGGCAGCACGGGGTCTTCTTTATCAGCCCGACGCAAATGGGAAGCGTCCCAGGTCGATAATGCAACCTTCTTGCCCCATCCCGTAGACACCGCGAGAATGCGCCTTCAATAGCTAGAGTTCAGTTCCAAGAGTGCTAGAGCTTCAAAGCAAGCCCGGTTAGACTTACAAACTATGATCAACAAAATTTCCCCGCATCCAGATGGAGACCAGTAAGTCCGACAGAATCGTTGTGCTGCAGAGAATGGTATCGCAGACAAAGGGTGACTTGGAGTCGGCACCCGATAGCCAAACGGGGAAATAAATGATGACCCAGAGGCCCGTGCCGCAGACTCCGACGAGGAATCTACGAACGCACACCCACCAAATAACATGGGTTCCGGCCGCACGAAGCATCCAAAAACTCTGCCCGGACATGTACCGCAGTTGGGCAACACACGTGCTCAAACTCGCTGTAACCAGCCCGTTGTCGTTCGGGCCGTACAAAAACAACTCTCGGCCAATAGAGAAAGCGCCATAGAGTTTTGAGGCGATAAATTCCCTTGCAATTGCACCGCGAGAGACCGGTCTAAGGGGTGGGGGAATAGCCCATCTCGAGTCCTCGTCATCTGGCAGTGCGATCGGGCCCAGTCGTGTGTCGGAGTCGGCTTTCTGGTAGGCTACCGGCAGCTCCTCCACGGAGCTAAGAAAAACAACGAGGCGAAGAAAATAAAACACCTGTTCAGCCTCATTAACCCCGGGGTGATGCTATAGAGAGACTATAGGAAATAAATATTTAAGTGTTGGGTAGGACATACCATGTAAATCCCGGTGCCAGCCAAGCCGTAAAGTGCGCAGACACGAAACGCCTCGGGCAGTAGAATTGGCTTGGCGGGCGTTTTTGGTGGGGGATCTGGACATTTCTCGTACAGTGACATGGTCCTTTTATGTTTTCTCTCCTCTCCAGGGTCCAGAGATATCAGCTACGCTCTGGTGGTAATGCGCAATGAGGCCAGCGAATGCTTTTTAGTGATGATGGGGTAGTGAAACGAATCTCAACAAGGCGGCATTTCTTTAGAAGGCTGGAAAAAAAAAAAAAATAAATAAAAAAAGGACAAAGCACAGCCTCCCCATATCAGCTGATCGTCATTGCAGCCCCATAGCCTCGAGATGTAGTATTGACGAGAAGTGGAAGTTTTCTGAACTATTCCCCTATATTTTACTTGGAGAATCAGGAATACACCATTGAAATTTTCCTCTGAGATAATCCTTTCAGCAGGTGGATTGGGTACTTCTCCAGCCTTCATATTCCACGTTGAGGGATCCTGGTAGCGACTACTAGTATATTTTTTCACTTATGAATATTTGTGACTCGTAAACAGATATGTTCATAAATATGATAAATACTCTGGCATTTTTAGCGTTAGAGTAGTTCGAATATCATCATTAAAGCGACGCGTACCAGTTCATTCGGAAAACTCTTCGGCATCTACAGCATCTTGGGGGAGTCATTCCATACCAGTTTCTTCAATTCCCTCCTATGATTCACACCCACCCAGGTGTTGACTGCGGTGAAGCCACATTCCAGGAGATTGATAGTGAGGTGGATGACTGCCAGGCAATGCCTCCTGTTGTATGTATCTTTCTCCCTTTCTTTCTTTTTTCTTTTATTTTTTTTTTTTTTTTTTTCTAATAAAATTACTAGAACTCGTTCCAGTGCTTAATCCATGCCATGCAACTCACAATCAGCACATTAGAAGGGACAAAAGTCCCAAACCTCCTCATATCCATTCAAACTACCCCAGAGAATATTTCGTGAGGCAAATCAGAAATAACTGGCACATACAGACATGTTTAAATAACTTTACACAAATTTTCAGCCCAGTCATGATCTTCAACTGAGAGTGACGGGCCGCCGTAGTCCCTAATAAACATCAAAGGCCCTTCCCATCTAACCTTACTCATCGACCCGACAGATCCCCAAAACCGGCCCATAGACAAAAGGTTCCTCAGTTACACGCCCAGGCATATTCATCTTTATAGTCGATATAAAGACTCTTAGAACTCTGACCCATCTTCGCAACCAAGGGTGCACAGGCAAAGTTGCTGATATAGATCGGTCCCGCATACTGGCTAAATGTACCGACATCCTTGTCGCAGTGTTCCCCTTTCCAATCGCACACGCCCAGGTACATGTATTGCGCCTTTCCGACATTGTTGTCCAGGATGGCGCAACCCTTATCCTTGCCAATGTAGGTGTAGAGTGTGCCTAGTCTTTGCTTGGGATCTGTGCCTTTTGGAAGAGGAATTGCTTGGTTCAGTTCGTATCCTGATCCGCAGATGGTGGCTGCTCGGGCTGCTAGGTTGGCTTCGTTTGCTTCTCGGGTGTCTAGGCCTTCGGCGAGGGTTAGGGTGGTTGTGGAGAGGAGAGTGATGATGTTGAGGAGCTTCATTTTGGTTTGGAGGGGTAGTTTGAATTAGACGGTTATGTGAAGTTGCTTGGGAAGATAGTGGGCCATGGTGGGGGTGTGACGAGTTTATATTCGAAAAGACTGTCGCATAAGGCTGGGGCTCATGTGTCATGAAGTCCAAGAATAGCGGGCATATTAAGCTATACGAAGTGATCTACAGGGCTTTGGGGTCACTCCATGGCAAACACGAGGGTTGAAAGTGCCCTATCTGGACTTAGCAGAGTCTCAATAGTCTGTGATTGGATAATGACGTGAAAAAGATGGGGCATGTCACAGGACAATGAGTATTATTGGATAGGACTTTCTTTCATGGGGAAGGAAGTGGGTCAGTTATGCTGTCCTTAATTTGTTATACGAGAAGAGAGGCTCGTATTGATGAATTGGTATATCACTAGGGGGTTGGTACATATTGTACATAAGGGGCCAAAAGGCTTTCAACACACCACATATCATCAGAGTCCGGTCGTTTGGACGAGACATCAGGGAGACACGATTCGTAAAGACCGCATTGTTGGTGAAGTATAGGCTTGGATTACTCCTGTCCAGGAAAACCGCGATTCTGGCCTTATTAGCCAATTGATACACGATAGCACCGAGAATAGACGAGATCGCAATAGTATCGCTTAGTCCCTCATATACGGGACTTGGAAAATTATCATACAACATTTCGGTGAAAAGGTTGTCTCCTCGGCGGAATAATCCTGGTCAACCGAACTATTAAATATGCATAATGGTGATGACCAGAGGCAGAGGAGCCTCGCAAAGTATGAGGAAAGGGGGTTAGACCGAAGAGGGATACGAGCGGTACTTTCTCCACAAGCAGATATGATCGCCGTTCCGTGTGGAGAGCGCCTTTATCTCCGTAACATGCAGATCATTTACCCGCCACTGACGGAACCCAGATCCAATTGACAGCCTCATTGTTAATCCTACATAGATAACTTCGGCGCCCGCGGACAAAAGAGCTGGCACTCCAAGCATGCGCTTAGCAATGGGTCTGTGTTGCTTTCCATAGACACATGGCCACCGGCTCGGCTCAAGCACATGGGTGAGTAGTGCCCCATACCTTCTGGCGGAAAAGCATGTAATTGGCTATCAAGACATGATATTTCCTGACACTCTCCCAACTCTGCCACTCTGACAAGCCATCAAAGGCTCGCTTACAAGATTAATTAAGTATACGTAGTGTAAGAGCAGTACTGACAAAGCCTGCACTACGATACTAGCCGAACCACCTATTCATTGTCACGAAAGTACAGTTCTATGGGCCATCTCTGGTTTGACTTGTTGATATGTGTTATTTACTGATACAGATTGTGCCGGGGTGTCTCTATTCAAATGCCTTTCAAATACATTAGGGCTAGGGCCTCGTAGACCTCAGTCGTCATGGGTATTGAAGGCCATTCTATTCCTCGGGTATCATTTTCTACAAAGGAAATATAGTAAAAACATGAATTCATGGTTATTTGATGATCTAGACCGTTCTGAGAATCAAGCCGTTGATTTGTTGTATCCACTTCTAATCTGTCTTGGACTTTCGAATGGGTTACTAAGAAAAAAAGGTAGCATTGAGTCAACATAACACAGCCTGCTCAACCCTTCCTACGATTACATTTTTCAATTCCTACATAATAGTAAGATGTATATTATGGTTATGTTCGTTGGTAGTAAGATGCAAGTATAAAACCAATGGACGGGTGAGAAAGTATATATTTTGACTAAGAGAGGACACAGTTCGTGAGTTGAGTCATCCGAGGATAAGGATATCTCGAACCATGGTCTCTGACTGTCAGAAATACAACTTAGTAATAACTTACTCCATAATCAAGGTCAAGTTATCGATCCGATAGATCGATAGGCAACGACGCCAATTCGCGGGGTCTCCCAAGGAAGGATTCCGCGTGCCCCGAGGGAAACCGTCGGACTCAATTCCGACGTTCCGAGCGGAGACATTTGGCTTATCTCGATTTGGAAACTGTTACGCTGACTTCATGCATAATAAGCGCCTCTCTTCCTACCTTTCGTTCTCTTTCCTCCTCAGACTATCATTAGATTCAGATTAACCATGGCGCCTCATCCCCTTGCCATTCTCTCCGAGGAGGAGACAAACATCGCCCGCGAAGTTGTTGTCGCTGCCCACCCGAACACAGTCCTTCACTTCCGTGAGATTTACTTGTCGGAACCACCAAAAGATCAACTTCAAGAGTTCCTGGCTCTTGAACATGCTGGACGTCTCAGTCCTACTACTCCCCGCCCCCCTCGGCTGGCTTTGTGTCAGTACGATGTGATTAGCGGCGACCGCATTCCGGTCTATCAAGAGGCGGAGGTCGATGTGAATACCCGCAAGCGCGTGCAACACAAGATTATTGGGCAGGAGCATCATGCTGCCTTGACTCTGTAGGTCTTTAACTGGTTGATTGATGGTCGATACAAGACTAACATAACTGACAGGGCTGAATTCGACGTCTTGGTCGAGCGTTGTCTTGCCTCCCCATTGTTCCAGAAAGCCATGGCAGACTTCGATCTCCCCAAGGGCTTTGAGGTTGTCATTGAGCCGTGGCCATATGGCGGACGTGACTACTCCGACCCTAACCGGCGTTTCTTCCAAGCCCTGGTCTTCGCGACAAACGCCGCCAAGAACAACGAGGATGCTAACTTCTACTCTTACCCCCTCCCCATTATCCCTGTGATGGATGCCACCACCCAAGAAATTGTCCGCATTGACCGTCCCGCAACGGGAGGTAAGGGCGAGGGATTGCACGAGCAGACCTTCTCTCGGGATATCATCGGCCATTGCAAGGACTCGGACTATGTACCGGAACTGCTGCCGAATGGAAGCCGGAAGGACTTGAAGCCACTTAATGTTGTCCAACCCGAGGGCCCTTCATTCAAGATCACCAACGAATCACTTGTGGAATGGCAGAAGTGGCGGTTTCGTGTCGCCTTCAACCCGCGCGAGGGTGCAACAATCCACGATGTCTGGTACGATGGCCGCAGTGTCATGTACCGACTGGCTATTAGTGAGATGGTGAGTTAACCAATTCCGGGCTGATATTCGGGGAAGTACTGACAGTAGCAGACGGTCCCATACGCCGATCCCCGGCCCCCGTACCACCGTAAGCAAGCTTTTGATTTCGGCGATGGTGGCGGTGGTAACATGGCCAATAACCTGTCCATTGGTTGCGACTGCCTGGGTGTCATCAAGTACTTCGATGCCGTCATCACCGGTGCAGATGGCAAGGCCCAGAAGCTACCCAACGCCATCTGCTTGCACGAACAGGACAACGGCATTGGTTGGAAGCATTCCAACTGGCGGACTGGCCGTGCTGTCGTGACTCGCCACCGGGAGCTCGTCGTGCAGTTCATCATCACCCTCGCCAACTATGAGTACATCTTCGCCTACAAGTTCGACCAAGCCGGTGGTATCACGGTCGAGTCGCGTGCCACAGGTATTCTGAACGTGGTCAACATCGACCCTGGCAAGACGAGCGATTACGGAAATGTGGTCAGTGGAGGTGTTCTGGCCCAAAACCACCAGCACATTTTCTGTGTCCGTATGGATCCTGCCGTTGATGGAGCGAACAATTCCGTTGTCATCGAAGAATCGCATCCCGTACCCATGAACGAAGCCACCAACCCCAACGGTAACTACTACAGGGTCACGAATAAGACGATCGAGCGTGCCACGTATCTGGATGCCGCCCCGCAGCTGAACAGAGTGGTCAAGATGGTCAACCCGAACAAGACCAACCCCATCAGCCAGAAGCCCGTGGCGTACAAGTTCACCCCCTTGGCTACGCAGACGCTTTTGGCGGATCCGAACTCCATCCAGGCTAGGCGTGCGCAGTTTGCCCAGCACCATGTCTGGGTCACCAAGTACCGTGACGCAGAGCTGTATGCTGGCGGTCGCTACACACTCCAGAGTCAGATAGAAGTGGACGGTGTAGCTGACGCAGTCAAGCGAGGAGACGCTGTCGATAACACAGATGTCGTGGTCTGGAGCACGTTCGGTATCACTCACAACCCTCGTGTTGAGGATTGGCCCGTTATGTAAGTTGACGTTTCCCCCCCATTCTTGGGAATATTATCCTAACAAATAAACAGGCCAGTTGAGATCTTCCAGCTCATGATCCGCCCATCGGACTTCTTCACCGAGAACCCGGCGATAGATGTTCCCTCCGGCAAGAATGCGGCCTCTCGCGTCGTTCAGTCGGAGTGCTGCCGGAACGCGCATATTTAGGTGATTGGGATATGATATTCCCCAGTTTGATGAATTTCTTACTCTCTGTATAGTACATAGTTAGCGTTGGACTTGGCAGTTGCTGGTGCGGTCGGGCTGTCAGCGTAAATAGGCCGATTTGGACTTTCGAGCGATTCAATATTGAACCTTTGAATTCAATTATGGTACATTTGAAAGTCCCTATTCCTAAGATGCTTTTCTCAATAGCTCCTCTAAATAGACTTCTCCTAGACAGAACTGATCATATTGCTACTGAAGTAGTAAAGAAATCAAAACCCAACAACAAATCATGTGGCATGCGACTAATACGCGATATGCAAGCGACTCGTATCAGCCCCAAGAACCCTACCCAATGAATCCTCAGCACAGCCACCCCACATTCGAGACTAAAACATTGGCTTGCATTAGAGTAATACAATTATACAAATTTGAGGCTGAGCCACGTAGTTACCCCTCATATTAATGCCGTTTATAAGTTCCTTACCGTGAGACGGAAGCAGGCTCTGTGTTACTGTGCATCCTGTACAACTTCCGCGTGAAGCTGAAATATTGTAAACATGCTGTCGTCGCGGGCATTTCATACTCGTTCTAGCCGCAGCAGAATTATTCGCGCTGATCTATCTGTAACTGAGTCCTCCGACTCAGAGAATCTATCAGCGCCGTCAGATTCGAGCGACGCTTGTGATTCACCAGAGGCTCCCGACAGGAACAAGATCTCCTCTGGGCCGGGGCCGCGGAGTAAACGGACTTCGTTGCCAGTCTTTCCTGAGAAGACAAAAGTCCAGCCTGGTCGTTTGGCGTTTAGGAGTCCTGATAGCGACTGCTCTGGAGAGAGACGGCAGGGGCTTCCGAAACAGGTGGAACAAGCTAATGAGACACTAGCAATGCTCCGCCGCAGACGAGTCGAAACTGTTCATCGCCTGATGGCTCTAGGAGATGATCAGCATATTGAGGGGTTGCCGGACATAGCCCAGTGGAAAGTCCAAGAAAATAAGTTAAGCGAAGGGAAAAGGGACAAAGTGAGCGAGGTGGAGAATGTGCTTGAAAAGGCGTTGAAGGAGAACAATGTAAGGAGGCCAACACAAGAAGAGGCTCCAGTGGATGCCAACACAAAGGGCCACCACACCGTTGTCTCTTTGTTAAAGAACGAAGATAGAATAACAGTGAGATGGGTGAAGATTCAAAAAGGGCTTACCGATGCCGAGAAAATTCGACAGAGGATACTTCACGCGAAAGCTATCCGAGACGTGTTCGCACGGGAGTTATATCTGGAGGCGTCTATTCCACGGAAGACCAAGGTCAAGGTTTCATCCAACGGCGCAAAGCCTTACAATGGCACGAAGCAAGCTCCGTTCTCATATGGTGGGATTGAACCCGGTCAGTTCAGGGTTCTCGTTTTACATCCTGCCAAGGATGCATCCTTTCCTCTTGTCTGTACACTTCAAGTCAAGTCCCTTAAAAAAGAGAGCAAACTCAACTACGCTGCACTTTCATATTGTTGGGGCACAGATTCAGACCAGCGTCGACTGTTGATTTTTCCGGGCTCGAAACGGACGGCGAAGAAGTGGAAATATGTCGCACGACACGCTACAGAGATGTCCATTCGAAAAAACTTGTTCCAGGCACTGCTTCGACTACGAAGAAAGGAAGTACCAATTGCTCTGTGGGTGGACGCAATTTGTATCAATCAAGAGGACCAAAAGGAGAAGACCGAGCAACTCCAGCAAATGGCCACCATCTACCGGATGGCGAACCATGTGTGCGTGTGGCTGGGTGAGGCGGATCGCGAAGGGAGAAGCGATCGCGCGATGAATTTTATCAAAAAGATTATGGACTTCGCGTTTCTTGAGAGGCTAGCGAATGACAAGGCACAGGCTGAGAACTGGTATGCTCTGGCCGAGCTTATGAGAGATCGCTGGTTCTCTCGTCGTTGGGTTGTTCAAGAGATCTCATTGGCAAAATCGGCAGCAGTGTATTGTGGTGCAAAGACTGTACAATGGGCAGAATTTGCGGACGCGGTTTCGATTTTTGTAGCGACTCGGGATAAGATTAGGGAGCTGTTCGATTTTGAAACCTGGAAAGAGGGACCGCAGACGCTGGGAGAGGTCCAGTCCTTTGGAGCGAGCATCCTGCTTGAAGCAACCAGCAGACTGTTCTTAAGAACGCCGAGTGGTGAAATCCTACAACCTCTCAAGGGAATCGAGTCTCTAGTGACATCTCTAAACACCTTCGACGCGACCGATCCACGCGATATCGTGTACAGCCTGGTGTCCATCGCCAGCGATACACGAGACATTTCTGTTTATGCCGATAAAAGGGAAGGACAACAAGAAACCATATCCCCGCCACTTGTCATTGACTACAGACTAGATGAGATCCAAGTTTACCAAAACTTCATCAGATACTGCATCGGGACTTCAAAATCGCTGGATATTATTTGCCGGTCTTGGGCAATGCCACCGAGAACGGCAAAGGGGTCCTTGCCCTCTTGGATTCGGCTTCTCCGTGATTCTGAGTTCGGCGAGCCAGAAGAAGTCTATGAGGGGCGAAAGAACGGAGAGTCTCTTGTAGGGGCCGTTGGCCATTCACGCTATAACGCCTCTGGCGGTACACTGTTTGAGTCGGTAACACCCAACATAGATGATCATGACTCTTATCAACACGATAGCTCGCTGCCGAATGGGCAACAGGAGGCAACTTCGTCCGATGTGGAGGTTGTCCAACGAAGGCCATCAAGATTGTGGGTCAAGGGTTTCAAGCTGGCTAGAATTGAAGATGTATCATTGGTGAATGCACCAGGCTTAATTCCACGAACATCTTTACGGGACATAGGTGGCTGGCCAGGGATTAGCAAGAGTCCTGATAGTGTACCGGATCACATATGGCGGACGCTGATAGCAGATAGAGACGCCGAGGGCCAGACCCCACCCGCTTGGTATCAAAGAGCGTGTCTACGATGTTTAGAAATCGCTGATACCTTTAATAATGGAGATCTCAACATCGGTCAGCTTCTGCAAGGCCCATCGGATATGCTTCGTGGCTACCTCACGCGAGTCCGAAATATTACTTGGAACAGAAAGTTCTTCAGGGCTGTTATGAGAACTGCCCATGGGGATGCCACTCACGGAGAACAAAACTCGGAAAAGACAGACAAGGTGCCAAAACCATGTCACATAGATGATGTAGAGCTCGCATCCGAAGAGGAAACTACTGAGAGTCTAGATGGGGAGGAACGAGATTCCTGGGCCGAAGATGGTCTTTTTGGGCTCTGTCCACCAGACACCAAACGTGGGGATTTCATCTGTATTTTGTATGGCTGCAGCGTACCGCTGGTCCTAAGACAGTCCACCAGAAAGCCGACATGGAACAGTTTTAAGGTGATCGGTGAAGCTTATGTTCATGGTAAAATGGATGGTGAGGGAGTAGTGGACTGTGAGAGTGGAAAGGCTCTGGGTCCAGAGGAGGTCTTTGCCTTGATATAGAGCTCCATGCTCTTTCATCTTGCGATGGCTCGCTATGGTGCCCATACCAGGATGATATCTAGACTACTGAACCTCCGGCCCATGCGATGATACAGACCTCTAACGGTGAATGCCAGCCTCATTTTGCCATTCTATCTTTGCTCTAGACTTTAATGAAGAATCTAGCTATACTATTCTGGAAAGGAAGAGGGAGGCAGGAAAACTGTCACCAAGCAACCCTCAAAAGAAAAATAGAAGTATTTTAGTGTTCTCCAACATAATGCATTACGTCAAAGGGCGGCTCTCTCTACAATTATCGTTGCCTGCTAATAATCCAATTGTTTGTGTATTACTTGGGGGTGTGGGAGACAATATATTGTGATTGGTCTTCCCATTTCATCCGTCGGCTGGTGTCTGATAGGCATAAGGATTCTCCCTAAGTGGCTGCAGCCACTTCTCTTTCGTCAAATAGGGCTTACTATACTCCAACACCAACCCATGTAGTTGAATCTCATCACGAATCCTATCCATGCGGTCCCATGGATACCCCTGCTCTTCCGTACTCTCCTTGTAGGACGGCTTAAAAATAATATCGATCTTCCGTAGTGCGGCCTTTCGCTCTATTGCAGCTTTGGCAAACTGTGCTACCCAGTGCTCTTCTTGTTCTCCAAAATCTGTCCAGGCCTCGGAATGTTGACCATAGATTGAGAAGTCCAGGATAAAAGTATGCAGGTTGGGACCAAGCAATATGTCAGCGTGCAACGTAGAAAACGTTAATTTCTCCGTGGCATATCGAGGCCAGCCTCCAAGCTGCCATCTTGAAAGTGTGAGAACTTCTGATTCGGGAAAGCCAGATGCATAAAGAAGGTATTCATTGCCTCCAAATGGCAGGTACCCGATATTGATAGATTTCAGAGCATCCTTGTGGATTGTAAGCCATTCACCAAACATGGCAAAGTCCATGTAAAAGGGATTATTATAGGAGCTGTCGAAGCGGAAATAGACGAAAGATTCTGGCCAATTGATAAGCTGCTGTGTCGCTTCAGCAGTCTCTTCGTAGTCCCTAAGAACGAGTGAGGTAAATGTTGCGGTCCGGTACTTCTAGGAGCAGGGTCAACTCTCATTTACGATCGGAGTGGAGCTATCTGGGATACCTTTGGTTCCAGCAGAATAGAGACTGCCGTACTAGTCGACTGTCTGTAAACTCCACAGAGTGTCAAATTCTGGAGCGATGGTATATCGATTTGCTCGACAATATCCCGTAAAAAGAAGCCACCCATCTTGCGCCTAAGATTGAGAGAGTGAACTTCGTGCATATGCTGAGAGACACGTTGGAGGAAGCTTTTATCATAACCACCACGGATGCTCAAGTCTTGCACTTTTGAAAGATAAGAGATGAGATCTTGCTTAAGAAGAAAGTCTTCGTTGGTCAGAGGCGAGGTAGGACTTATGTGTATATGGAGTTTCTTGCAATGGTCCCGGAGTGCTGAATTCTTCGGACTTGAGCCTCAAGATGAACGCCTTTTCAGGATGGAGTTTATGACGTTCGACAATAGTGAGGCCGTCCCGATGAGAAGGTCCGAGATCAGTCTCACGAACTGTCCTAGAGTCCTGCGATTTATTGGGAAGCATGTTGAAGGGAGATTGAGGGATTACCAACCGGTGTGGTGGTGAAAAGAGTGATTGAATGTCGTTTTTACGTCGAGTTCCCCGCAACCCCGTGCATCAAAGAATGCCCGATTAACTATTAAAATAGTACTTAACTATAAGGCTATTATGTTCACATGTCGACCAGTATTAGTACATGAGTCACTGATCCCTCGCTTGATTCTAATATCTAAATCCGTCTCAAATCCTCAACAGGGCGCCTTTCACGGAACGACTCAGCTGAGCAGTCCAAAGTGTGTTCTCGTTGAGAATAAACATCTGGCCATTACGGCCAAAGGAAAAGTTAGCCGCTCCATCTTTGATGAGAATCTTTCCCAAGAGCACGCCACCTGGCGACCAGACGTTGATGCCATCTCCACAGCCAGCATACACGTTGCCGTCCATATCAAGCTTAATACCATCAGGGACACCCGTGTCAGCCATTGCAAAAACACGGCGATTGGTGAGAAATTGTTCCCCGCCGATGATGGACACGTCAAAAGCGTAACTAGTACAGCAAATCAGAAAAGGCAAAGCGATATTGAACGGCTGAGTAAGGAAGTTAACATACATCGTGGACGGTCCCGTGGGATCATTGGTGCCATCACCAAGAGTATACGCCGTATCTGTGATATACACCGTCTTCTCATCCGGCGAGAACGCAATACCATTCGGCCGACCAAATCCGTCGGCAACGACACGCACATTCTTGGTGACAGGGTCAAAGCGATAGACCTGATTCGGTAACTGGGGCTTTGGACGGAATCCTTGTTTAGAACCGTAGATGGGATCAGTAAACCAGATCGACCCATCGCTATGAACGACCACGTCATTGGGCGAGTTGAATTGCCGACCGTGAAAGCCACTGACGAGTAGTTCTGCCTCATATGGCGAGTCAATCGACATCTGGTATAAACCGCTCTTTTCGGTTTGATTTCCCTGGCCACAGAAGAGAATCCCGTCTCCATGGTTCACAGCTCCGTTCGCCATGGGAATAGTAGTTTTTATAACATCACTGGTAACAGGATGAGCGTTGACCTTGACTTTAGAAATTTGAATAGTCGAATGGTTAGTGACGGGGTCCGTAAAGATATTGCTGGTCAAGAATAGCTCGTCAGTGGACGGGATAAAGACGCTAGCTTCGTGCGCAAATGGGACATCATCATTCTTGAGGAGCGCCTCCAGTTTAGGAGCAGAGCCTATAATGTTCAAGAATCTGTTATCGTAGATCTCAAACGTGGACGGAATCTGCGAGACGTTGGCCGGCTGGCCCGAGAAGGTCAGATTGCTAGCCATTGTGAATGGAGCCTGGTTGATACGTAACATCAGCATGTTGGGAAGGGAATGTGCACCTTATATTGAGCCACGGCACAGAACCACGCTAGTGAATCCTCTATCGACTGGGCTTCCTATTCTGGATTCATGGTCGATCATCTCCATCAGATTAGGATATGGGATCCACTTTCCAAGATTGACTTTTCATTCCTCGCGGAAATATTCTCCGAAGTTCTGCCGTACAAATTGGCAGCTGGATGTCGTTCTTGATATGCGATATATGCAAAAGCAATCGAGGATAGGCTGCGCAGCTGCTAGATTATACTATTCTTTGCTGTAGCACATTATGTTTGAAGACGGCAGTGAGCCATTTTGAAGATATTACCAGAATACCACCTCGGGTAGGGTCAAGCGGGTCCACGTATATAAAAGCGGAGACATGCCTAGTTTTCTGTTGTCATCAGGTTCGGTCACCGAGCCACAGGAATGCTCCTGATCATAAATTTGAGTAAATAGAGGGAAAAGCCGGTCGGAGGCGCTGATGGAGACATGTTACATGCAGACCTCTAGACTTCTCTGAGATTTGTGCAATTTTCGTTGCCCTGTTGCCGAACGAAATGACCGCCCTATCTGTTGACCCAGCATCATTTCTCAAACACCACAAACACCATGAGAGTGTACACTGTGGATGCATTCGGATCCGTCCGTGATGCCGCAGGGTCACGCCAGCCTTTTTCTAAGCAGGTGACTTGTGCAGCTCTCTTTGGTATCAAATCCGGTTATATATCAACAAAAGCAGATCTGCACAGGACAGCTTTCGATCGCAATAGGGATTTCACAGTTTGACATATATGGACAAGGAAATTTACCCCTAATTATACTTAGACGCCCCCCAGTGAACACCCACCAACCTACTGACTGTATACGCCGCCACACGCTGGCAGGTTAGTAGTTTTGGGGATTGACAATCAGCGAATCTTCTTCAGTGGTATATTTTCCTTCTATTTATTTTCAGCAATGTCTGGTGCGTCTAATTAACTCTGGATGAGCTTAAAGGCAATAGAACTTTCAAAATTGCACCTCGATTATAGTGTGGCAAAGCTAGATCCCCTCATTATCAACCTCTTTTGTCGCCTGCAAGACAATCCGAATTTGATCAATCCCCAATACAGTCCGTTCCTGGCCAGCAAGGAGAGTAGCAATCTGAACGACATTTTTTATCTGCCGTCCATTCATAGGTAGCGCCCCCAGCCGACTGTACTCATCGTCCGTTAGAATATTTTGACTGTTGGACCGATGAACAAACTGTCTCCAAATCTGTTCCTTCGCCTGAGGGACAAGCTCCGGGTAATGGAGAATCAAGTGGATCCTACTCTTAAAGGCACGGTCGATAATATCAGCACGGTTGGAAGTCATTATCAGGATCCCACGGTAGTATTCTAGCAATCTGCGGAATCCATGTTAGTCAGTAAATATTTATTAAATTGGCTGGTCAAAGAACTGTCCATACCGAAGAAATACTGCAACGATCTCATTGTGTGCCAGGTGTTGAATAGACCGCTCCTGAAGAAAGACATCACACTCGTCAAATAAAAGGACTGCATTCCACTTTTCGGTAAGTTGTAGGATATCAGTGAGGCGGTTTTCAATATCTTCGGCACTTTGGCCCAGCTCTCCGGCGCTCAACATATAAAGAGGCTTCTGCACTCGATCCGCAACCGCCTCACCAGTAAGTGTCTTGCCTGTCCCAGGCGACCCGACCAGAAGCATCAGAATGCCAAGTCCTTTGCCTTTAATCACATCGTCAAAAGCTTTCTTGCTGGTCGCTTGGCCCTCTACAAAAGAAAGTATCAGGTTCTTATAACCGGTTGGGAGCATCAGATGGGAGAATGCATCGTTATTCCATATGATGGACGTGATTTTCGTCACTTCGAACATGCCCCATTTCTTCAGCTTGAGTGAGTAGCCTCTAACGTGCGGGCTACACAGAAGAAGCTGCTCATCGGTGAGTTCTCGAACTGAACGAAGACAGTTATTAGCACAAGACAAAGGACAACAGTTAGATAATCATGACTTGCCCGTGACTTTGTTTTCCGGATTTGTCTGGTCGCCGAGTCTGATGCTTAATGTATTCTTGTAGCGATCGTTTCCCACATTGAAATCATCGAAATTATCGTAGACATCTGCATGACCATCATCTGAAATATGAAGTGTGGGCATCATAGAGTTATCATCGAGAGCAACCAGGCCTCTGTTCTCATCAGGATTAGCATCCAGATAAGAGGCAGCGTCTATGATAATGCGACCGTCGACCTAGAGACGATACGGTTGTGAGTATGGGGCTCTGCATTGAAAAGGAGACCCTGAGGTTGACAAACATTACGCTCTGCGTTCGTGTTCCCATTTTTCAACAGCATTGCTCCCGAGTATGCCCTGTAATGAATGCCGTGAAGCTTTTGGAATATTCGACCCCGGGAAATGGCATTCAACCTAGCCTTGTCTATGGAGGAGTGGAACGACTCTGGGAAAACAAGAAGTTCGTTGATACGACGAGTACCACTGAACTGGAAAATAGGAAGCATGGCGTTGGCATATCCGAACTCCTTCCCGTCCCAGTCAATCCCTTTCGCATGAACTCCGAAATATCCTTCATTTGAATCATATTGAGTGCTCTCGACAATTAGAAAACGTTCGTCCAGCATTGGGGCAGTTACTATCCGGCTACCAGGCTCAAAGAGGGCCCAGAGTAGCCGGTAGGTGATCACGCCGTGGCTAACATGGTCCTCAATCTCATCCATATCATCCTTCAATTCGCTGTTGAGCACATCATAGAGTAATTGCGTATAGGCAGCAGCATCTGGATCTTCCCGCTTCTGTCGCTCGAGGATCTCAGAGAAAAGCTTCCATCGATTATAAAAGGGGTGGAATGGGGCCTTGAAGACCAGCTTTTTCAATGATGCAGTGATGCCTGCGAACCCAGAAAAGACCTCGCCCAGCGTCTTCTTCAATGACGGACTCTGCACGACGATAGAATCCAGGACAAGTGGCTTTTCACCATCATGGTTCTTGCCCATGCGTACCACAAAAGCCTTCCGTTTGGTCTCGGGTTGATCTTCCACCGCCATACGCAGGTCATCGGGATATTCCTCAACCCAGTTCTTGCAACAGTGGCATTTTGCCGGTCCTTCATACAGGGTTTGAATAACAAGTTGAGAACCTTCGGGGGGCACGTCCTCCTCCAGTGCAGCCTGTGTTGTGGTCTCCTCCCCGGGCTCTGGTGCATCATAGCTTTTCAAACTTGCTATCGCACTAGACAGTGACGCGGCACCAGTCATCGCGATTGGTATCTCAACGCCATCAACATTTGCATCATAACTTTGGCTTGTAGACATACTGATAGCCCTGAATGAATAGTCCAAGCTTTGTGCAAGAAAGGAAGGCTATAACTGGCATGGGGACATTAAGGCGAGGATTCCAGTTATTAACCGCGGGCTTGAATCGATCCGCAGCCTCTTCTGCACTAGCGCTTACTGACCTCCACGTACCACCACGCTAGGAAATGGTCAGACAGACATATAATTGGCTTCCTTCGAGTTATTCACAGCCGCCTCAATGTCCCAATTAGCTCACATGGTGGAGTTGAGGGGATTGATGACGAGGCACAAACGGTCGGTACCCAGGATTGATCTCAACTCAACTATCAACTATCAAATGTTGCATGGCATCCGGTCGACGTTAGAAGCTACCACGATGGAAAGTGACTTTTCCCTGTCGTTTATTTCTAATCTGGGGGGTACCCCGAGCGACGGAGATATAGAAAAGGCATGGCAGGGCAGATTGTTCCCTTTGCTCTGCACTGCAGACTGTGAAACAAACTGGAAAATTCTGGCCGATCGGGGTGGACGATTCGTCACATCCTCAGGTGCTCGTTGTTCTGTCGAGCCTCGTCCTCACCATGAAGCAAGGTTTTCCAGCACAGACCTACTATTGGATGGGGAAGGTCGATCCCCATACTTGTATGAGGCTATCATTTTTGGGAAAGTAGTCTATCAAATATGGGTGAATGAGACGCGACAGAATGCCCGAACACCAGATCAAGTCAGCCGACAACTATTCATCAATCGATTTGTGCGCAAGCTTCCGGCTCGGTGGCGCACTCTGATTGTCCACTTCGACTTGCATCTGTATGACGATCATGCCTTTCCACATTCAGGAACCCCAATGCATGACTTTTACCATCCATTGAAGTCTGCGGAGAACATTCGACTTATTGCATTGCATCCAAATAAGAACTTCGCAGCGCCTATTGAATGTACATATGAGGAAGTAGAGCTGGATTCAAGCCAAGAATACGAGGCCCTGTCGTATGTCTGGGGGGACCGATCGTTTCCAAGGTCTATTTTGCTAAATGGCAAAGTGGTTGATGTCACAGTGAATTTGGAGGCAGCAATTCGACATCTGCGACCGACACAAGGGCGACCTCGGATGGTTTGGATCGACGCGCTATGTATAAACCAATCCGACGTCGCCGAAAGAACTGAGCAAGTGGCTCGTATGGATAGCATTTATCAGAAGGCTACTGGGGTCGTCATTTGGCTTGGACGGGAGTCCAACACGAGTGCACTGGCATTCGGAAACTTGATCGCTGCAAAGGAGTCTATGAAGGGGTACGAGAGTGTTTTTTATTCTGACTACTTCCTCAACTACCCATTCCAGCCCGAGCCATACTGCCCCCAGTGCGATGGTGTTCCACGCGAACTACCAAAACCTCTTGCTCGCGCACTTTCTGGCGTGAAAGGAATCGATGAGACAGCTCGATGGGCCCGGGATCTAGATACTATCCCTCTGGAATGGAAAAGCCAACTCATAGATGCCACTAAGGCTCTGGTCAACCTGCTAGGCCGTCCATGGTGGAGACGCGTCTGGGTTTTACAAGAGGCCATTCTTGCGCGCAATGTAACTGTGCAATGCGGTGCCCGAGTCATCGACTGGGCCGCGTTCCAAGCCATTTTGTACACCACCATACGACAGGCAAAGCGGCGAAGAGCCCACCAACATGGGTACATTCCTGACGTGTCTTCCCGAGGGGCGCTGGTCAATGAGGAGCTTCTGTCTAGGGCTAGCAGTACCTTTGCCTTCTTCTGTCTGCAGCATAATTCGAACTTTTACGAACAGGTCGGAAGTCTCTCCATGGCCAACCTCCTCTCACTCACTGGGTCTTTCGAGGCTACAGACCCTCGTGATAAGATATTTGGCTTGCTGGGCTTGCTTCCTCCGAACAGTGCGGAGCGTTCAAAGTTTAGGCCCGATTATACAGCTAACACTCGGAGACTGTTCATCCAAACTGCGAAGCATTTCATTAACACCACGCAGAAGCTCGATGTGATCACGGCACGACCACCTCTGCCAGATTATGAAGGGCTCCAGTCCCAAAATGCGGACACGCCATCATGGGTTGCCGACTGGAGCATACCGCAATACTGGCCACTCAACTCGATATGGGTCAGTGATTTTTCAGAGCTTTCAACCCTGCATCTCTATATGAAACACCCTGGTGGGAAACACGAACACGGCCCAGGTATAACAGGGGAACACTACACAGCAGGAGACACCCTGCAGGTCTTCAATGCGAGTTATTACGACAAGTCGCCGTTTCCCTTCCATTTCTCAGGTTTCGATGAGGTCCTACAAGCTCAGGGCATTACCGTCGACACCATTGAAGAAGTAGGCTATCCGTGGGACTTGGATGTGCCACCAGGCCAATATACAGGTCATGTGGAGAGACATATCCCACAGGAAATGGCCCATCAAAGACAAAATACGATCATTGAAAGTTGGAAGTCTGTTAGTAGAGTAAGAGATGAAGACACATATCATCATAGCAGGCAGTCACGCGCGGAAGCATTCTGGCGGACAATATTCCTAGACCGGGAGCGTGCTCTCCGTGGATCTAACAGCTTTTTCTCCATTAACCGAATCCCAGCCAAACTTCCCGCCACCCCCAAGAGAGATGCTGATGCTTCATCAATTCGTTTTGACGGGATTAGGATAGGATTTCCACCTAACGGTGCGGAAGGCGAGGAGGAGTTCCTCGGGTATCTCCAGCATGAGATCAATGAAACGTGGTCATTTGCGAGATTGAATCTGCACTGTAGCAATTTACGTATGTTCCGAACAACGCAGGGGTATTTAGGGTTATCCCATCCGAACACCAAATCTGGTGACAAGGTTGTCGTTCTTTTGGGGGCGCCAGTTCCAATGGTTCTACGGGAGTACAACGAAGGATATATTCTAATAGGGCAAAGGTAAGCTTGACTACTTTTGATACACTATGTCTATCATTTGCTTACCAATCGCATCCATAGTTATGTTCATGGCATCATGGATGGGGAGATTATCCAGGCTGAGATAAACAAAGGTCGAGGGCGTGAGCCTGAACACTTTGAATTATTTCACATTATTTAGGTCATTCTGCCGGTAACATATCCTTGTACAGTCTGGACCGAGAGTTCATCATAGTTGACTGTAGTTGATAGGATATCTCCTTTACCTAAGACATTTATCACGAGAATAGACAAAGTTCGCAGAAAGTGTTAATTCAAAGGTGACGATTAAAACCCTTTAATGGTGATTCACAGCGCTTTGCCATCATACAGTATGTGGCAGTATATCAAACACAATGGTAGACTATTTGGTGTCATATGAAGAAGCGTGAGGATGCAACTTTCGAGAGTTGATCGGGATATGTTAGAGAAAAGAAAAAAGAAATAAAAAAAATAAAGAGAACACAACGGGAAGGATATTGGCTTAAAAGATTCCCCGACTGAGCCCGAGGGGTAGGATTGTCGAGAACATGGACGCTATCACCTGCCCAACTACTTCTTTTTTTTTATATATTTATTTACTGAAATACGGACTTGGACAGTCACAGACTCACAGCCAGGATTTGATTTAGACTCTCATGTAAATAGGGTTTGAAAATCATGATACGTAAGGCGGTCTCGAGCGTCCCTGTAGTTACCAGGGCATAGCATTGCCTCGACAATAGGCAGGTCACGGATTATATATGCACGTATGCATGTCCGTCACTTCCCTTTCCTTCATATGTCAGAGTTAGACCATGCTAATCTCTTTTTGGAGTCTAAGCTTCCTGCACAGTAAGTCGAACAAATATCAGCCGCACGGCGCACGCACAGTCTCCAGGCAACTATGATACCTGCTTTCCTTTTGGTCTTTATTTTATTATGGCTATGTAAAGTGCGAAACATGAAGTGCTCGAAAGAAAGTACAGATGATACCGGCTAAAGTATGACGGCTGTACAGAGCAGGGTGGTTCAGCTTCAAGATCGATCGGAAAATGGGATATGTGAAAATGGGATATATATATGTTCGCGGCGTCTACAAAACTCCTTTCGTGTTACACTAGACGGGGCTCAAGGTCCTTTACGTGTCAGGGACAACGTTGAAACGGGCTGGTTCCCAACGAATTTAGACTCGGAAGAGTCGAAATGGCATTTTGATATTCTCATTCTTCTCGCTGTCATTGGCAGCTCCGCCACTCAGAAGCATATGCCCGCCATCACAGCCTCACCCTTCGGTCTTTTTCCTCGTCTTTTGCCCGCACCCGAAGCCCTCCTCGATACTATCCGGCTGTATCGTCTATCTTCGACTCCAAATGTCGACGTCGTCGGGGTATATTCCGGTACCGTTCTTACAGAACTAAACTACTTCGCGAATCCACTACACAAGATAGAAGACATCCAACCCTTTGAATTCCGATCCTGCGAAATCAAATACAACGGCAGTGACAAGGAAAAAGGAGAGCCAAGCAACACGGATCGCATCAAACCCACATCCTTCCTGAACGTAGTTACAATTTTGTCGATTTTCATTTCAGTGGGCCTCTTAGTCTTCGCCGGTGTAATCCATGACGACGTCGCGCTAATCGGAGTGGGCACCATGGCCCTGTCCACTAGTGCCGCTAGTCTGTCGGCATACTGGTCTCCACAGCTATCGAAACAGATCGTGAAAACTACAGTGCCTCAAGGAGATCTTGTGATTCGCACTCGTGGAGGGGGTTTCATTGTGGTCCGTGGCAAGGAGAACGTCATCTGCGAACTTTACACGGGCATGGATTCCTACAAGTATTTTTTCACGGATAAGATCCGCCAGATCTTTTTGGCTATGAGCACGCTACTGTTGATGACATCGGTCATTATGTTCAGCAATAGCAGCGAAAAGATGTAGATCGCCGTGGGTGCTGCGTACTTTATCTTGAACATCTTTTACTGTCTCTACATAGAAAATACAAGCATTTCGATTTTGGGATCTCATTAGTACAGTAGACATGAAACTCTAGTTCAGAAATCTCATATATGTATGGTCTTGTTTATAAAGATTACAATATGTATATCATGGCATGTAAAGTCTTAACTAGTTTTTCTCGATGTTAAAGTAAATTGAGAGAGATCTAGTTCAGATGATCGATAGACTTTAGTCTCTAAATAATTTTCTCATTAAACTAATCACGGTGTAGTGAGCACAGGGCACCAAAAATCGAGTATTAACGTACTCAAGTGGCGGAACAAGTTCGTCTATGCATGGATTTTATTGGCTAAGAAAGATATATCACCCTCACGGCTGTGGGCCAGTAGGAGAGCTTATCTGGTGCAGTACCTCGTAAAGAACTCTCTAAAGAGCACAAGGCTACGTGTAGAAAGGCACATGTACTTGTGAAAACAGTCATGAGAGTGACTGTTAGCTATACCAGCTGTTCCTGCTTTTCTGTTCCTACCTTAATTTCTTTTTGGGCCGTCATATGCCAGGTCATCGGCGTTAAGATTGGTCGATCATGGACCATCGAGTGTACTCCACTTGGCCTCGTTTAGACAGTCTGGCCCTGACTGGAACCATCATTAGTAAATTAAGACACTTTGCTGTCAGGTAGAATTAATTAATGACCCACCATGACAGTATAAAGACGAGTTCAACCCGGATTTTGCAACACCTCACATCTGTTCGGACTATCGTGAAGGGTGTTTCATTTCACCTGAGCTGGGCTTGTTGGTTAGCGCCCGGTCGCACGAGGCGGAGTCTGATACTAGTAGTTTTTTTTCCCCCTACATAAAGCCCCTCATCGCCGCCCCCCCCAACCCCAAATGCGCTGGCTCACGGCCCAACTTCCTTCCTGACAGCCCTGTGCCACAGTCGGAAAAACACAGCCATGCCGACAAACAACATCAGACAGACGGTCGATGAGATTATTGACTGGCTGAAAAAAGTCTCATGTTTCGATGACGGATTGGAATTAACAGAAATTATCCGTCGCGGCGAATTGGCGACTTTGACCGACGAAGTAGCCGTGCAGCTTTTGTACCGCCAGTTCAAACACGAATTCATACGGCTGAAACGTGTCAATTACACCCTCGAGCAAGGCGATGGAGATCCTCTTAAGGGAAGTTTAGATGGGAAAGCCCTTACACCGTCGCAGTTTCTTTTTGGTCAGGATTTCGCAGAGATAAACCGAACGGTGGTCAACTTTCTCTCATTAAAATGGCTACTCGAGGATAAATATCAGGCATTTACGGCGCATCAGCCCGGTGTCGTGAAGCTGTCCGAAACAACGTTCAGGCGCTTTCGCGACCTAGCGCGGGATATCTTGAAAACAACGGATGATATACTGGCCTTGGTAGTATCTTTGATACTAGGGGACGTGGGGAAGGATCCTGTACTAGAAAGATTCGTGCACAGGAAAGATGGCAAAAAGCCAAACCATGACCAGGTTCTGGCCAGAGCAATTGAACTAGGTCGGTTTCAGAAGCCGCTGAACTTACTCTCGGACAACAAGCGGGAAGAGGTACTTCTAGGGGTACAGGTCGGTGCAAAGCTCAACATTCCACAATTAACACAAGGTGAGAATGTCCCAGGAAGTCTAGAGAGTATTCTCATGCTGCGAGGAAATCCACAGGCATTTAACCTAAAGTATCTCGAAATTATGCTGGATGTATCCGGAGCAGGTGCTCATGTTGACGCGCGTGGTGCCGTTCGCATGATCGAGCCGGTCTGTCAATCCTTCTTATCCGCCTACCCGGTGTTGATGAATGTCATTACCGAGAAGCTTTCTGTGCGCGATGCGTATAACACAGTCCTGCAAAATCGAGGTCAGCTACTAGCCGACCAGGGCTTCCATGCGTTATCCACAAATAATCGCGGCGACCGGGCCTTTCTCCGCTTATGTGCGATGGGTAGAGTAGCAGATAAACATCTAGCTGAACTGTTTGAGAAAGCATTTATAGACCTCCCGCAATCCACACGAGAAGACCTTGTTAGTGGATTGAACGTCGACGGGTGCAACGGTGAAGATGCGGTAATTCTGTACTACATGCCCGCGATATTCGCGGAGGCATTAAGGGTCACTCGTACTGCATCAGATATAAAGAAAGTCCAAGTGCTTCAGAGCCTCATGTCATTGATGGCGCGAACATACAGCGATACAAAGCCAGTTGACGGACATCCCGGCGCCATTCTTGAACGCGACGTGTCTGGGGCAAAAGACTATATACGACGGGACGGCTTCATTGACGATCCCACCATTTTGGATCAATGCGTTCCTCCGGTAGCGACATGTTAATGCAGGGCTTCTGTGTGCTTTGATTTGCCCCCGAAACTTGCTTAATGTTAAGGTTCAGTTACTATTGGGCAACCGTTATGCGAGATTAACGAGAAATGAGCTCATGACTTCCGACTATTCTTACTTCAAACCTTTACTATTCGAGCCTTGTGTTCTTTTGCCGCCCAGAATAAGTTGTTTGTCCATTCTTATTCGGCTTTCTTATGACAAGACCTTATGCATATTTCTTTATAATGACGCCGCCACGCTTATTGTGAATCTGACTCATGGGGGAGGCCTTTTCTGTTTTTCATTTCCTGTTTAATGGTTTGTTTGGAGGAGATATCAATGTTTATACATGCTCGGGAAATACTTTGATCAATATTAGAAAATGTTCTATGTACTCATTTATCTGGTAGCGATAAGATAAGCTATGGGCGGGGCGATAAAGATAAGTCGTTGATTAAATCTCAGGCAACAAGGTTTCCAGCGTCGGGATCGCTCGGAATGAGATTCCATTTTTGCACTTCACCATCACTCTTGGTGACCCCATCATTCCGCACCAAGATTGCCTGATCACCCCTCGGAAGCATTCAGCCGATCCCTAAGAGCCTATTCTACGATCTAATTGACTAAGATAATCTCTCTAGTGCTCATCCATGCAGTCGGAATCTCCCACGCACAGCAACGTCACCTCGGAACCCCCTCGGAAAAAGCGAGCCAAATACACTCAGGTCGCTTGGTGCGTCCATCACCTTGGCGACAACGTTAATATTGGATGATACTTTGCTGATTAAATGCTCGCAGTAATGAATGCAAGCGGCGTAAATTGAAATGCAGCGGTGAGCCAACGTGTTCACGCTGCACCCGTGATGGCGTGCCATGCATTTACACGCCTAGTGCTTATGCGTTGACTAACGCTTCAAGTTCTGTGGAGGAACCGCATGATGAAGGGTATGGAAGTTTCGTGTTTGAGCTGAGCACTGTCGGTTGACCAGAATAGGGTATCTGCAAGGTTCCAATCAGTCGATCGCCAAATCGAGTCGCTTCAGCGCGAGATGCGAGCGATGGCTGCTCGATTGCGCGATCTCGAATCGTCTTCGCCGGGTAACAGCAACGCAAACAATCGCACTCCGAGGCGGGCTTCCGTTGTATCATCTCAAGCGCCAAACACGGGTCTCCAGCGTATTATGAACCGGCCAATGTCACCATATCACGTTGGACCCACGAGTGCGGAGTTCGGTCTCACCGCGCGTCGCAAGCCGTCGGATGACGACGATGAATTCGAATCCACTGCTGCACCAAGTCCTGTTGCAGCGCCTGATGCGGATATCGCGACTGATGATTTACTTGGAAACCTAGGGATGACGGAGGCTCTGAGGCTGGTGACAGTCTATGAAAACGCGGTGGGCTTGATGTACCCCTGTGTTGATCTGGACAGTGTGCGGGCGTATGTTGTCGATTTCTTTCGAGATAACTCTCGTCAGATTCTGAGCGCGGAGGAACAGGATTGGTTTTTTGCGCGTGATGTTGAAGTGCTGAAAATTATCTTGGCAATTGCTTTGGTGACGGAATCGCATGGTCGGAGTGGGCGAGCTGCGGTGTTGGCTGAAAGTGTTGAGGATCGTTTTGCGACTCGCGTGAATATCCCCGAGGTTGACATGAAGGAGCTTCTTATACTGACATTGCTGGTGTGTAACCTATTCGCTCTGTCCCCGTCACATATGGCTAACAGTAATCGTCCACAAGTCAATATTCCATTCGTACCGGGACGATGAAGTCATTTCGTGGCGATGTATTGGGATGGCTTGTCGAGGTTCAATGCAGCTAGGCCTACATTGCCAGGAGACCTGGTATAGAACAGGAGGTGTGTTCCCAGGGGAATTGCAATGGACGTGGGCTAGTCGGCTGTTTTGGTGTATCTACGTGCTAGATCGAAAATGGTCCTTCGGCACTGGGCTTCCATTTGCTATTCAGGACACGGACATGGACACTAACCTTCCGGAGCCGGGAACCGCCACACCTTACCTGACTTGTATGATCTCGTACGCGCGACTTAGCGGCAAGATATGGGGGCTTGTAGTCGGATGGGGCAGTCGATCGCGTGCAGCGACGTCGGATTACTGCTCCTACCTTGATTTCCAAGTCCAGCAATGGATTCAGTCAATTCCAGAGGAGCTACGGTTCGACCCTTCACGACAGCCTTCCCCTGACTCGGTTCAGAACGATAACATGATGATGCTGCAAGTCCTGCTTGCGCTACAGGCGAACCAACTTCGGATTCTAGTGTACCGCCAAAACTTACTCAGTAGCGAGAGTATCGAAACAAATGTCTCTGGCGCATCCATCGCCGTCGAGACCGCAAAGAGTACGATCCACATGCTAGACTACTTTACTCGTGTTTCGGATATCTACTTTCAGCGCCCGGAACCGTTCAATTACTTTTTAATTTCGGCACTAGCCGCGCTGTTTCTCGCCGTGTTTCATGCGCCGGGTCGATTCAGTAACGTCTGTCGCGCTGAATTCTATGCCGCCGTAGACATGGTAAGGAAGTCATCTACTCGGGCCAGAACATCCAGACGCCTACAGAAAATCATTCGCAGTTTGAAGTTGATTAAGTTGAATGTCGGGAAATCGCCTTATAAACACGGACAGCCGCCGGAAAGCCTTGGCAAGGTACTATCTCGTTTCAGCCACGGGCAGCATGACTCGAATCAATCCACTTTGTTGCAGTCTCCGTTGCCCCCGTCGCACCAGCATCAGCCATCCGGTATCCCGACTCCACAACCCTCCACCTCCCTTTGGTCCGTGTCCTCTCCACCGGCTACAGCGCCAGTTAATTTTGGCAACAACGACGATAGCTGCGACGACTTGACCAGTTTCTTCGAGATGGCAGGAGGACTCTACTTCGATCCCAAGACGGTTCCCCCCGAGGAGGCACCTGCATCCGAGGGCGCTGGTGCAGGGGTGGAAGGGGTTGATGCGTTTCACGCTGAGAATGAGGCGCTAACCCGTGTAATGGCTGGCCTGTTATAGATGGAGGTGGAGGTCTCAGAGTTTGAGTATCGAATTCTTCTTCGTATAGTATTTTAACCCAGGGCGTCCGTGACTTAAGTCGCTTGATCCTAAAAAGGTCAAAGTATCCCTGCCATTGGTGGAACTAGTCTAATGCACGCGAGCCAAATAGTGTGAAGCTAATGCATCCCAATCCCGGGGTGTCTGCCTGAAGAATCCACTCGGGTAATTGCCCAAGCCAAAACGATCAGCAATCCCCGTGACAAGTGTGTTCGATTACCGTAATGGGCAAAACTCCTGGATGAGTGGCACTACGAGCCAATTACTGTTGAATTTATACCCTTGCTCTGCAGAATACCCCAATGATGTAATTTCTCCGTCGCTATATGAGGAGTCCATGCTAATGACTGGCCAAATGACCGTCTAACCGCGTTCCTCGGCCATTTCTTGGCTCAGTGTGGAGGGGTTATTCAATCACGCCGAAGATGCGGTTTACCCTCTCATACGTCATTTATTTCGGACATATAAACTGTTATCTTTCTTAGACGGAACTTTCAGTGGAGTACGCGTGAAACATACATACGATGGACTGTCTCCGCGTCACGACCGGTGGCTTGTACCATGCATTATATGCATGTACTATAGATCGCTCCGTCTCAGCACCAACAACCGGGTCGGACATTACTAAAGGCACCCGGAGACAATACATCGGAGGATTGCGTTCCTCGAATCGATGCATCTGTTGATCTCCGGCGGAGTAAAGCACTTTTCTCATGGAGACTGCGCGCACATACACACAGAGTTAAAGACAACAAACTGGGAGTCTAGTATATATAGTACCATGTATCTCGTAGGAAAATCGACTTTTCAAGCTACACATCTCTCCATCTTCGCTAACCATGTATCTCCAATCCTCTCTTGCATTAGCCCTTCTACGGGCTGCGGTGGTTCATGGTTACGCTAATCCGGGGGCTTGCTCTGGTGCCTGCAACATCCATGACCCTGCTTTGATCCAGAATGGCGATGGAACATACTACCGCTTCTCGACAGGGAATGGCATTTCCTTTGCTTCTGCTTCGTCCATTGAGGGTCCTTGGACAGCTCTTGGATCTGTATTGCCTGATGGATCCTCGATTGATAATTCAGGGAGTAATGACCCTTGGGTACGTATTTCAATTTTTTTTATCTTGCATTATCAGCTTCACAAATTGTATCCTCTTTTCGTTCCATTTTCTTATTTTTTATTTTCTATTTTTCATATTTTCGCTGGTGTCATCCTACGAATGTTGAAATGAACGACCCTTGTCCATCTTCCCGCACTCTTTATCTAGCATCTTACGGCTAACACCTCTTAGGCACCCGACGTGCAAAAGGTGGGTGACCTTTACCACCTCTACTACGCCGTGTCGAGCTTCGGCACCCAAGAATCCGCCATCGGTCTCGCAACCTCCGAGACCATGGAAGAAGGCACCTGGACCGACCAGGGCTCAGTTTTTACATCCACAACTGGTGACCAATACAACGCCATTGACGCCAACCTGCTAGTGGACGGCTCCGTCAACTACCTAACCTTTGGATCCTTCTGGCAGGATATCTTCCAAGTCACACTGAATGGGGACGCCACGTCTTCGACGTCAACGCCGGTTAACGTTGCTTTCGATCCGGCTGATACACATCCAGTTGAGGGTGGTTACCTCTACAAATATGGAGATTATTACTACCTGTTTTACTCATGGGGAACATGCTGTGGATATGATGAAACTAGACCTGCTGAAGGGCAGGAGTATAAGATCAAGGTTTGTCGGTCGAGCACGCCGACTGGGGGCTTTGTGAGTGCCCCTTTTCTCTTACTTTGCAATCGATCGGTTAAGATGGATAGCTAATAATGTAGGTTGATGCGAACGGTGTTGCATGCACGGATGGCGGTGGTACCGTCGTTCTTGAGACCCATGACAATGTCTATGGACCTGGTGGACAGTATGTGACATCACTATCTCCGCTTGAGTTTATGTTTACTAACCTTCATAGGGGTGTATACAACGACCCGACCCTTGGCCCTGTCCTCTACTATCATTACGTCGATACGACTATCGGCTATGCTGACTCCCAGAAGCTATTCGGATGGAACGCCATTGACTTCTCCAGTGGATGGCCTACTGTCTAAGTGCATCATCTGTCCAGGTAGCGAGAAGCATTTTGTATATAATTCAGCTTTCTGTGGAGAATACATTTCAATAACGGCGAGAGAGCCGATTGACCTTCCCTTTGAGAAAACGTTCTTATTTTTTTACTACCCGTCATCCCACTTGACAATTTTCGCTTATCTACATTTTAAAGTTTCAGTATCAGCAATTCTTCAACATTCACCACTCGTCAGTCATACTTATTATACGTCACTGAGCCAAAGAGCTCATGTTTACCTATCGCGCCTCAAGGGATGCCGATTCATTGGATAGGCGGCACAGCAGTCCAAAGATCTTCAGGGATGAAAAGTTCGATCACCTTTTCCGCCCGAGCATGGCTAGTATGAAAGAACTCCTTGTAGATAGTCGTCCTCACGGACAGGTGCCGAGCACACTATTTATAGCGAGTAGCCCGTGCGATCGTCGGATTGACATAGATCTTCGGCGCTGTGACTTAGTGTGTCACAGCTTATCTACAACACGGGACACAAGCGGAACGTCACGATGGTCATGGGTGGCTTATAAGCTCATCCGCTTCTAGTGTATTGGAGAGCGGGAAAGTACCCCTATGTCTCCTATGGTAGGTGGTGATATTCGGGTTGATGATTTGTTGGGCTGCGCAATATGTTGCCGATTATAGATTTAGTTCCTCGAGCCTCGTCAGCAGTCTCCTTAATTCCTTCTTTCTCCTTTCCATGTATATTTTGTTTCCTTACAAAGGTATAGAGCTGTTTTGTCTTACATGCGGTCATATGTGTACTGATAATCGTGCCCCGACGAGCCTTCTTGTTCTAGGTTATCTCCATTTACCTGTACTGATAGTAGAGTATTAGAATCAAATTAGAAACTTCGCTACAGAGATAAGTCCCGGGTACTACTAATAGATTATCGATATCATATGAATGAACTGGCATCTCCCGGGCAGACCTTAGGACTTCCAACAGGCTCGAAGCCAGGGTCATTGGAGTCGTCAGAGTCGTCGAACAGGCCGTTCTCCTGATTAGGAACCTCGCAGAGCGTCTCGAGAAACCGTGGGAACTTGCCCGCGTTTAGGATGCGGTAAGCAGTTGCGGGCTGAATGTGGTCGTTGGGACGCAATGCTATCTGCCAGCGGGCGGCGTCCAGGGAGGATTCTCTACCAAAACCTTTCAAGAGAGCTTATGGAAGGATAGTGGGGGTTGTCTCTTCTCCGGAATCGATACCTTCTTTTCTAACCCCGCGATCGTGGGTGTTTGTGGAGGCTGATGTGTCCTGCTGGGAGCCCCTTCCCGGGCCCCTTGGCACTTCAACATGTGGGGCTCAGAGAAGAGTCATTGCGCGTTGAGCACCTCACCTGGGCGCATAATCTAGCGAAAAAAGTGATAGTGGTAGTGATCTTGGCCTGATGCCTGAGGTGTCATTATTTTGAGCGTTGCTTCTAGGTCACGTGGCCTGGCCAACCGAGCTCTGACCAGTAAAACATACCTCCCGAGTCAAGCTCCTTCTCATATTCCTCTTTATCTCAGAACTCACAGGGCGATGTATAGCTGCATACGCACCGATGAAATGTCCTACATAGGACTGTATGAATCCTAGTTAAGAAATCCCTCGGCAACTTCAGGCTTGGCACTTTTCATTTTGTAGGGTTCAACCCCATAGCTGAACGAAGTTGAACCCCTTTCCTTCCCTTAGGTAACCCTCGCGCCTTATGGCATTTCTATGCTTCAATGCAGAATCCAAATTTATTGCAACCTGGGTAAGTATTTCCACAATAAATTATCTTGACACTTAATTTGCAGAACGGTCTAGCTTGTGGCTGTATACAGCGATGCCGTTGTCGTAAGTATACAATCGCATCAACAAGCAAGATTAATATATATTGATGCGCTTCAAACGTAGAGCAGCTTGAATCTCGGTATTTAGACTCACTTGAGTTAACTCTTAAGGTCCAAAAAAATTCGCTTGATCTCAAAATCACTACTATTGTATATTTATCTGTCCAGCAATATGTTTTAGGATATCTGTCATTGCAATGGCACATGGTTCTTATTAGATGCATGAATCGTGCTTTTTCCGACACCTATCCAGACCGCCACCCTGCAATTACCCTGTCAAACAAATCAGCCGTTATTAGCTCTAGTAGAAAATTCTCATGTTGAGAGCTCTGCTCTACGAGACCTTTATCAAGCGAGCCGGAGTTTGATGCTGCTGGGTGTCGGCCTTCGCCGGTCTTCGGGGACAAGACAGTCACGAGAATTTCTCGGCCGAGGGGGAACTTGATCAAGAACCATGGAAATTGGTATTTAGTATCAACCTTACTCCAACACAACCACGAAATTCATAGAATTGTCTTCAACGACGACCAATTCGATACTACTTTCCTTACCCCACAAATAAACTATCTTGTCAGGATCAAATGCTCAGGATGAAAGACAGTGACTCGCGTCCTCATGCAGGACCCAAAAGCAAAAGCCTTCTAAAGTATACAGCAGGTTGGCGGAGAATCGTCAGCAACTTCAGTCCATCGTGTGTTAAAGTCTACATACCTGCGGCGGCAATTGAATAGTGGCTAACGAGTCGATCCCACAGATGGTTTTCCACGACAATGGGGACAGGCATGGCCGGAATATTGTTCCATCTGATCCCATTCGAGCACACAGCGCTACATTACATAGCTATAGCCCTGTTTGTTCTGAATGCCGTACTGTTCCTCACTGTGCTCGGCATGTCAATTCTCCGCTATACTCTCTACCCTGAAATCTGGAAAGTCATGATACAAGACCCAGTGAACTCGTTATTCCTGGCAACGTGTCCCATGGGATTTGCCACCCTGATCGAATTGTGGGTGTTTATTTGCGTCCCGCAATGGGGAGACTGGGCGAAGACAACGGCCTGGGGATTATGGATTATCGATGCGGTCGCAGCGGCCGCGGTCACGGCGTCCCTTTCATTTATCCTGTAAGTCTTTCCAGTGTTCTGAAGATTGCCTGTTAATATCATGCAGTATATCGCAAAATTACGTCACATCGTTGGAACGAATCACCGCGCTGCAATTGTTGCCGATCGCTGCCACAATCGTCGCGTCCGGGGTTGGGGCCGAGATCGCGGATATCTTGCCTAACGCGCAGCATGCTATGGGAACCGTGATCGTGTCCTATGTGTTGTGGGGCATGTCTACACCAATGGCCATGATGATCCTGGTGATCTATTACCAGCGCTTAGCGGTCCACAAGCTTCCATCAAGGGAAACCATCGTGAGTTGCTTTCTTCCACTAGGGCCTCTTGGCTTTGGGGGATTCAGGTTAGTGCACGCCACAATACGACCTTCAGAAAATAAGTCTGACTCCGAGGTAGTATCCTTTACCTGGGTAAGGTGGCTCGACAGCTCCTCGGTGAATCCAACGCAATCGATCCAATTGTCGGGCACATAGCATACGTTTTTGGTCTCTTGCTGTCTCTGTTGATGTGGTCTTTCGGGGTGATTTGGCTCGTTTTCGCGCTGGCTACCATCTACTACCGATCACCGTTTCCTTTTAACATGGGCTGGTGGGGGTTCACATTTCCGCTTGGAGTATATGCGGCCAATACTATCCTGCTTGGCAAGGAAATGAATTTAATTTTTTTCAAGGTTTGCGGGACGGTAAGTTGCCGTAGATAATCATGGGAGCCCACGGAAAGAAAAGGGGGGCTGACAGTTGATAGATACTCAGCAGCGCGATGATATTATTATGGCTGGTGGTTGCCGCCCGTACCCTGCATGGGGCATGGCATGGGGTTTTATTCCATGCGCCGTGCCTACAAAACTTGAAGGACAAGATCGAATATAGTCAGGATGACGCGACGAATGATGAAGCATAGGCTAAGCGCCCCAGAACCTTGTTCGGGCTAAGACCCTGATTTTGGCCGATTGATTCAAATGGTAAGCAATCATGCCTCTGAGAGCAACTTCTTGTTTTACTCATAGTCTACGGAATTGACACCAATCCTGCAGCTCATCACGTGGTATGCGGGCTATGCCAGGGGTTCACCAATCATATCGGGCATTTGAGGATTAAATTCCGGCTAGTATGCAGTATCCAATCCGCAGCAGATACCGACGCCATTTCCCTTTCAAACCCATCCCGGCAGCCTCGTGTGGACTCCCAACCGGGTACTAATAGGCGAAACGATGCCGCCTCACTTATGTTGTCAGATTGTAACCCACATGACTTTTGCTTGATGATAAGCTCGAGCCGTCTTGCGGCTGAAGTCTTGGTAGTACCTATAGAATCCGGGGTTCCCGCCCCATTGAGCCCATTTCTCCATTACCTCTCGATCCATTGAGCGGCAACCATGGTAGGTACATGCAAAGCACCGTTGTATATAGCTGTTGCTAAATGAAGAAGGCTTCAACAGAGTATGAGTTCCCATTCCTAGAAGAAGTTTACACTCCTGCGGAGCAACCTAAAATTGAGTAAGTATTTGTGGAGTCTTACTCATCACATGATACATAATGACCGCGTAGCTTTGTGTTCGTTCACGGCCTCAATCCTCGCGGACGGGTGGACCATGCCTTCGAAACATGGACGCATCAGAATGGAACCTTCTGGCCGCGGGACTACCTCCCTCAAGATATCCCACAGGCGCGAGTCTTCGTCTATGGCTATAATTCATACGTCACAAACCCTCAAGTGATGTCGAATGCGAGTGTGAAAGATCATGCGAATACGTTGTTGAACTTGCTCGACCTAGAGCGGAGCCCGCAGGTGGTACGTGGTTTGCCTTTACTCAACTTTGAGACAAGGCTGACTCTACACAGAATGCGCGGTCTCCGAAGATCATCTTTATTGGACACAGCTTAGGTGGATTGGTTATAAAACAGGTATGCTTGTCCAGATGGATCACGGCATGGTTTGGAATAGATTTTATCGGATAGTTAGTCGATGACGGACTCTGCGCTAACATTTAGTAAATAGGCTTTATTGAACGCGCAAGAAGACCCTAAGTATACTTCCATCCGCACAGGGACGTACGGTCTTGTCTTCTTCGGTACTCCACATCACGGTACGAAAGGTGTTGAGTTGGGAAAGATTGCGGCCAAGGTTGCCAAGTTCGTGTCCAAGGGCCATGCCAGTAACGATCTCCTCGACTGCCTGGAGCACAACTCCTTATTCACAAGACAGATGAGTAGCCGATTCTGTCACCAGCTGGAAGACTACCGAGTGATCAGTTTCATTGAAGGAAAAGAGGTGCTACTGGGAGGTTCAGGCCCTGCTTCTATTAGTCATGTGAGTACCTAGACCGTCTTTCTTTCACCCCACTATCATTACACTAGGAAGTACAGGCCTAACGGGCGCAGTTGGTGGTAGACGAAGAGTCCGCAATCCTTGGACTCCCTGGGAACCGCGAGACGCGTCTCAAGCTAGATGCGGATCACTCTCAGATGTGCAAGGTCGGCACCCGAGGGGCCATGTACAAACTCATCAAGGGCAATATCAAACAGATTGCCGACCAGCTACTAGTCACAGAACAGGGCTACATTCCCCAGCCGTCTCCATCTCCGCGCGTGGGACCGCCATTGCCACCGCGACATACCAACAGCAGCGCTCCATATCCTCCTCCAAGCATAGCGTCGCAGCCGGCGACAAAGCGAGTCATCGGGACCCTTTACAATCCTTTCGACAATGATCCACGGTCGATTGAAGCGGCCGTGCACAAAAATAACTGGAAGTGGGATGACGCACGGAGGGTGGAGTACACCATCTTCCAGGAGCACCTGCGCACCTTGGGTGCAGACCACCATAGCACTTTGCAGGTCGGCTATAATCTGGCAGAGATCGATCTTGAGTCGGGATATATCGGCAAAGCGGCCGAATGGTGTCAATGGGTGTCCAACAACAGTCAGCGCGTCCTTGACAAGCGTCATCCACTAGCAATGAGAGCGGAAAGCTTGATGGGTGAGATTCTGGTCTCTCAGGGCAAACAACAGGAAGGAGAGTCTGTTTGTGCCAATGTCCTCGCCCGACAGCAGATGGCGATCGGTGAAGATGATATCGACACACTAGAAACGCGCCGTCGACTAGCGAACGCATATAGCTCGGTCGACCGACGAGAGGAGGGCATTGCCACCGCCGAAAAGCGTACGGAGGCCCTCAAGCGATTGCTGGGTGAGAACCATATCAAGACGTATGCCTCGGTGCTTGACACTATCGAACTGATAGTAGCCAAACTTTCAAGCAACAACACCGAGATGGCTATAGCCCGGTTTCACGCGGGCACAGAAGATATAGTCAATGTCGTTCTAGAGGCCTCCCGGGAGCTGAACAACTTACTGGGTCCTCGTCACCCACTTTCTATTCGAAGTCTTCGACTGCTTGGTGCATGCCAAATCTTTGCTTCGGGCGGAATTACAGAGCCATCGGAAACGCTACGACGAGCGCTCGCCACGGCTGAAGAATGCCTCGGTCCTGACAACCCTGAGACTATTCAGATCGTAGTGTACATGGGTCTCATGTATGCGAAACAGAGCAATCCATATAGCTACATGGTCTCCCAGCAAAACCTCGAGCTGGCTTTGCCTTGGTTCCGACGGTATCTGGACTGGGCCCGAAGCAGGGATATTTTGAGCAGTCCCGATCCCCAGGCGGTCTTGGGCATGCTAGCCAATATGTACATGGCCAAGAGGGATTACCAACAGGCACAGAATTATTACGAGCAGCTCGTCAGTGCATGCCAGAAGGGGAACATTCCCGTTTCACCTGACGTTCAGAACATGCTACAACTGTGTCGGATGAACACCCGACTTATGTCGCCTTACAGATCCTCGTCGGGATTCGAATCGCTTCTCTCCTCGTTTAAACGACTATGAATGAATTTCATAATATTCATAATACACAATTTGTTGTATTCATTATCCATGCATAACCAGTAGTATAATACACTTCTTTGCCTCAATCATGACTGTCGTAACGTATTATATCTAGTTCGAGATCTTCGAGGGCACATGTTTACTGTAGGATGTATCGTTAGTTGTACATCTCGTATAAAAGAAGAAAGGGAGGAATTAGCAACACGTACCCAGTAGCACTCTCGAACTTGTTCCTGGCGCTATCGGTGATGCGTTCATTCGTCTGTCGCACCTTCGAGTTATGGGGGTCGACCTTGCCATGGCCGTACTTGGTTTCGAGGGAGTCGAGGCCTGTTTAACCGTTAAATCTATGTATTCCTCATCTTGAAAGACGGGCAAGACTAATACTTACCCTTGTCAACATAGTCCTCATTCTGGGCACCACCAGCACCACCGTGCTTGTGACCACCGCCGAGCTTCGAGGCAAGCTTATCCATTTTGATGTGTGTTGTTGGTCTTTTGTGGTTTGATATGGGGTGCAGGAATATGGATTGTCTTCTCGTAAGAGGATGTCAGAGTGCAAGAGAATGAATGCTATGAGAGATTCGAATTTGAGCATCTCAACTGCCCATATTTATAAGTAAACAAACGTCGGATACAAGCGACGTGATTGATATTAATGATGTCATCTGGGGTAGATCAGTGATGTTTACTAGTTTCTATTCTTGTATCCCTTCTCTCAGGCGAAATCTGAGCGGAAGTTGATTTAGGAAGTGATAGCCGCCAGTTGGGATGGGCATTGGATGAGGTCTACAGGGCTGCGTCGGAGGCTTGATTAAGTTGCGTAATGTGGAACCCTCTCAGACAGGAAATCGGAGTTATATTTAGTGTGGGTTATGATTATGATGGTGGATGATGTTTTCAGGGCTGAATGTTTTGTTGATGATGTCATAATGTGGATAGGGCTGGTTGGCCGAAAAAGGAAATCGATTGTCCCCTCACAAAAACTCCAGTTCGAGAGATATACTAGGCTTAGTAACATTACTGCGAGGCGAGTGAGCCGAATATTCTGTAATTTAAAGGTTGTAATAATCGAGAGCGTATGCAAATAGGAGCCTTGACAATTTGTCCAAATTAGCACCCCTTTTGCGACTGAAGATATATAGAGCGTAGTGACTCTGGAGGAAGTTTCTCTCAATTGGACACAACCATGATCCTTCTCTTTCCATTACAAAGGAGATTAATGTAGTTGACCTCCTTGAACCAGGTATATGTAACTAAATGCATTCATGTTCATATTTGACTAAGATTATTTGCGTACTATGTCTTACCCCTAACATTTCCCGCCTTCCCACGAGTTACAACCACAGGTCCTATAATATCCATCCATAGTGGATGAACAATGCCATGGAAAGCTTCCGGTTGCCCCCGGTCGAACCCGGTACGACCTTCTGTTTTCAGTTTCTTTCTACACCCCTTCCTAGGGTGCTCTTTTCACGCAGTTATTTACAGTTCGCTCGGCACACCAGATCTCAAGCACACCCGTCGAACCATGCCATTCCACAGTAGGTTGTGAGATTACACTGAAGGAGGAAGTCACAAACTTTAGATCAAAAGCTAGATGATAATAACCAAATATACAAGAGAACCTAGAACATCACTTCCAGAACTTGACATCTCTTATCCCAACACAGCGTTAGTGTATTGTATGCCTTGACCATTCCTTATCTCCACACACTCCAATCAGTTTTATGCTTATGTGTGGATACTCCCGAACAATTATCTATGCCCTATGTCCTCGAACACATGGGACAACCCTGACATGTCCTTACTCCAGTGACTATGAGTGGGGTCTATCATCTATACAAGCGTGAATTCACTTTGTACTCCCTTTGACACACTTCAAAAGAGGAAGGGGACGTGCTCACAAAAATAGCATGCCAGGATGTAGTGAATGGATATGACTTGACCTTTTATTCAATGTTTGAAACGACCCAAACAAGCTGGACTGGCAAGAACAAACAAATGTGTTTTTCCTACTTTTTGGTGCACAGCTTGCACATATTGTTTGCCTTGCACGGAAGGCATGCCCGATCGCCTATCGTCGTTCGGTATCCAGGACTACATGAAAGACTGTCCATCTCTCCTGTCGTTAGGTCTTTTGCTGAACCCACAGCATTTTTACGTTGTTTACAATCCTGCCGGCAGATCCGTCTTTTTCAACTTTGGATCTATTCTTGCCCATCACATATGATCAATTTTCTAAAGCTGCTGTCGGATAGCCTGGTTAAATATCTTTGCAGTAGCTACGACCAAATACCGAGCTTCTCACACATGACCATTACACCTCTTTCACAAATAGCAACAACTCAAACAGAAGGTGCGACAGCTATAAATTCGTGACGTCAAACACTAATAGTCTTAGCGATGTGCGACTTGCTCTGTGAACATTATAGAGGCCGAAATGGCTGTGGCCATATGTACGTCTATGGTGTTCAGCGGTGCAGAGCTTCTTTTATGCGTCCTGATCAGGCTCGCTGTGTGGTCCCCAGTGGAAGGCTTCGCGACCTTCCTCGAGTTATCGACGCCCAAGATGATTATAAGGACGGGCTTTGTCGAGTGTGTCTCGGTCAGACCCCTCCCAGCTCTGAGGGGTCCGAATTTGGTTGGGTTATATAAATAGCAAGGCACATTTTGCTAGGATATTATTCACTCGCCTGTTGTCAAACGGGATACCATTTCATGAGTTTGCTTGTGCCCAAGGATGCATCACCATTCCCCTAGTTACTTTATATTTGGGATTGCCAAGGCTGAATTTGTCAATCATGTTTTCTCGGCCTCACCCAGATGTTCCACGTGCTGCAGTCCTTTGGATGTTACCTTTCAGCAATTCAGTAAATGAAAGTACCATAGACAGCGCCGTGATTTGTGCAACCTCTGTACATGGTCTGGATAAATGTGACCCTCAGTGAGCGAATAGGGACCTGCTTATATCCCGCATGACCTTGTCCCTTGCACATATGCAGTCTAACATCCCTTGGTCTATATTTGTTCAAGTGTTGGACGGCCAAACAAAGAAGATAACCCAAGGAGCTGAGTTGATGCAACCCTTTTCATAGCGTCCAGCGAAGTAGCTATAATATGCACGGGTGTTGCGTTCTGGGCCTTGAGATGATTTATCTCCTAGTGTTACCTACGATGATTCTTTTCGGTGTGCCATGGTATCCCTTACATTAGAAGGTGAGTTACAGATGACATGACACAACGCTGGTAGTTCTTCCCCCTCTCACATTGTAGTACGGTAGCATCAATATCTTGTAAGGCTATAAACAGGAAATATATACCAGGTTCGTCCAGGGGGAGAGATATCATCGTGCCCAACTATAGCATGGCAAATCGATATGAATGATCTAAGGAAATCCTCGATCATGAGCCGGAATTAACAACGCGGCTTACCCTAGGAAACACGTCTCTGCGTGACCGATTGGTGACTGCAGCTACAATGTCTTAGCTCAAACCACAACACTGTCCAATCCAACTCAGCCAGCCTCGCGATTCCGGAGTCTCCGAAATAGCTCCCCGTTTTTCATCCACCATCACATATTCATCCTCCTCCTCCTCCGGATCATCGCGGTAATACTTAAATCGGACCGCAGCGAGCGAGACAATCTCCAAGCTAAAGTCTCCTTCCTGTATTCCGAAGAAACTATACGCAGTCAATACCACACACCGCATTTCGGTTATATAGAAGCTACTCACCTGCGCATCATAAAGCTGATCTGCTTCACCCCAGTCAAATCCAACGGCTTCGCATCCTCCTGCTCCTTCCCCCGATACGTAGGCTTAAAATCAGCCCACTTGATAAAAATCCTCTTCTCTCCATGCGCATGGAAATCATACTCCCAGCTCAGGGTACTCTCCTGTCTCCCATCCGGCCGCTTAGGCGCAGTCTCATCTTTAAGCGTGATAGTATACAACTTATCATCCCCGCGAGCAATATGTAATTCCAACCCGTCGTAGCGAGAGAGATCCCAACTCCTATCTTCGCCCGTTGTCTGCTGCGATGCAAATCCTGCTCCGCCGAGTGTGGTGATGTCGAGGTTTCCGTGGAATCGGGCGACGAGAGAAGCGGGGGAACAGCTCATGTGGGAATGCGAGGATCCACCGCGAACGCGGTCGTCAGTGGAAGTCCAGTCGGAGGAGTGCCATGCTCTTTTTTGTCTTGTCAGTGGGCTGTATGGAAGGCGGCTGATGTTCTGGTTGAACTTACCTGGGGCCCCCGAAAAGGGGTAGTCTTGCTACTTTCGAGTCCATTTTGTTAATTTGATGTGATTGTGTTGTGAGTGGGTTTTCGATGAGGAAATGCGGAGTAGCTTCGAGGCTGGTCCTGTGACGTCAGGTGCTCATCCATCGGCGCTAGTCGACATCGGGAATTATCCCGATTGGGGAGGGGTTGAGGTTGAGATGTTTTGCACTGTCATTTATCTTTATAATAACGAAGCTTGTTGAATATCGGAGAGTAAGTAGTCTATTCTGGAAACATTCATAACGCTTTGAAAGGTATATCATTGCAAAAACAGAATCTCGAGTCATATACTGTGCATAGTCGGCTGGGATCCACCAAGTGCGTTACGCTAATGAATCTCTAACGAGTCGATGAACATCCAAGACCCGATTCAGTTGTGGGGTGTTTATACTGAACCTTAGAATTTGGCAAGGTTGGGCGATAGCTACAATAATCCTTAAATGTCTGTCGCTGAATACCGTCCGTGGTATTCCAAAACCTGATTGTCTCATCGCTAGAACCTGATGCCAGTGTCAGTCCACCGCGAGAGAAGGCCACTATCCAACCCTATGTGATTGAATATTGAACGTTCGTTGGCCTGGGGTCCATGTTTCTTCCATACTCCGTCACTGTGGGTAATGCAACAGAGCACTAACTGCATAGTAATTTCTAGCCATTTGCAGAAGTGGCACCACCTGTCATTCTTCTCACCTCGTTGGCCTGGATTCTTGTGCGAACGAACTCTTTATCATGATCGTCAAAGCGCGGCGTGCATACTCAGTTCGTAAAGGAACAAGGATGAAACGTCGTTGTATCCCCTACGCAGAAAAGTTCTCTAGACGATTTTTCTTTTTGCATAATTGTCCTGCATTTGTTCAACTAGGATTGGATTCAAAAGGGAGACAAGCTTTACATTTCTCACTTTCAACGCTCTGGGGACTGTCATGTGAGGTAAGGACTTCAACTCTCATAAGACACCACATGAACAACTGTCGGATTTTGTGAGTCGTGCTTCATTGTATGCGAACCTCATAAAGAATTGCTTTTACAATAGAGCTTGATTGCGTCTACAGGTGCCGGTTAGGTCCGTCCTATATGAGTACGCTTCACGGTGGCCGATCACATCGATTATACGACGGAGCTATGGATGACGACTGTGACAACGGATCGAGGCAGCTTAAGAATTGAATCTTTACACCCGAGCTTTGGAGGAAAAAGGCTCTTGGACTGAACCCGATCTAGGACAATGATCTTCATTCGCCAAGGACAGAGAAGCTCAGTGCGCTAGCATCAAGCGCTTCGTCATCCTCCCCCTCGTCAGAATCCCCCTCCAGGAAGACTTCCACAATCTCTGAATTTTCCTCGGCAGAACTTCTATTGTCGGAGGCCATTCTCCAATGGCTATGTTTTGCTAGACGTGCATTTTTGGCATCTTTTGTTTGCCAAGTGTGATACACCACCTTCTTTAATCGTACTGCATATATCTGCTCCCCCGGCAAGGTACACCGATGTGTGGCACCCCGAGTACGTTCGTGACTGGAAGAAAGCCCGACATTGACGGCAGGTGCAACTGGTAAACCGGCGACATCACCGACGGACGCCGAAATGTCTCCGTTAAGATTTAATTTTCGTTCCAAGTTGTCAGACACTGCAGCGTCAAATATCGTATACAGTCCGATCACGAAATACACCTGATTCCCATACTCAATCTGCTCCTGAAGCCATTTCTGTACCTCTTCCTTCTCGCATAGCTCGTTGAACCACCTGGTCGGTTTGCGCAGGACATAAGTGTTTCCGGTCTGCGCAATTACGTCGAGGTTGGTTTGGCTGGAACGATACGAACTCAAATTGAAGATGCGGGAGAGAAATGCGGCGAATTTGGTCTTATCGGTGGCTTGGATGGTAGCAGCAAGATTATCGCGTTTCTTCACCGTGTAGTCCTTCTCTTGTAAAGGCAAGACACTTTCGAGAGAGTCGAGCTCGATATCCTCGATGTTTGGGATCAGACTGGCAAGCTGTACATCCTCCGGAGAGAAAAAACCATGGCCCAGAATGAGCTGCGACGACGACATGCTGAAGGCGATTCGCTTACAGATCAAGAGACTTGGTGGATGGACGTCTTTGGGCCAATTGTGGCTTGTGGGATGCACAAGCGACGGTGAGAACGGAAATTACTAAAGCCCAATCTATTTGGAAAACGGCGCGTGTGTGGGATGAAAATGTTGAGGGGGTGCTCCACGCGCTATGCTTGTTCTGTTTATCCTGCTCCTGCGCCGCAATTCTAAAGGGATCCATCCACCAACCAAATGACTCCTGATACTCGAATCCCTGCTTAGGCTGCCTACACGTGCGTCTTTGAAGTCACATCACATCGTTTTCTTCACGATGCGTTTTCATTTCTTTCTCTCAGCATGTGCCGTATCGCAATGGAGTACGGTGAACGCGGCAATTCGCCTTTGGCGTTGGTTTTGGCGAGTCAAGGGCGGAACCTATTACAAGAATACTACGAAGGTGGGGATCCAGCCTGCCTCGACGAATCGATCGATTGTGCACGACAGGCGTTGGACAATTCAACTCTCCCAGAACGTGCAATCTATCTTAATGACCTAGGCTGTCGCCTTCGCGAACGATACGACGCAACCGAAGAGATACATGATATTTCAGAAGCGATTGATCTATTAGAGGATGCATCCCAGGCCATCCACGACCGTACAAAGCGCGTATTGATCCTTAATAACCTTGCCACGTTCCTAGGCGACCGCTTTGAGATACGCGAAGATGTACGTGATTTAGAGCGAGCCATTGCGGTCGGGCAGGACGCACTGAGCGCGAGTAGCTCAAGCCAAGGATTACAGGCCATGTGCCTAAACACTTTGAGCCTGGTTCATGGCTATCGTTATAGAAAGCTAGCCTCCCTGGACGATTTACAGACTGCGACGCAGATGGGGCAACGGGCCCTGGATCTCACACCCGCAGGCCACCCTGACAGAATGATGTATTTGGGAAACTTGGGTGTTTGCTACGAGCGCCAATTTGATAGATTGCAACGTCCAGCCGATATTGAAAGGGCTATAGATTGCGCAACGGAAACAGTCGCCTTAAGTGACAATGCAATGGACAGTGTGCCCTATCTCACGAATCTCAGCAATTCGCTCGCAAGTCGATTCCTGCTTACGGCGGATCCTCAGGATTTGGAAAATGCGATAGTTCACGCGAAAGAAGCTATACAATTGACTCCACCGGAATATCCAAAATACTCTGAATTGCTCCACAACCTCAGCCTTCATCTTGGGGACCGCTTCCGGCGATATGGAGACGTGGCCGATCTAGATGAGGCTATCAAGTTCCAAGAGGATGCCATTGCCGCCGGTGACTTAGATAACCCTAGGTTGGTCACGTATCAGGACCAACTTGGTGTCCTTTTGTGTCTCAGATATGATCGCAATGACGACGTAAGCATCCTAGAGAATGCAATTGAGCTGGCACAAGATGTCTTGCACTCCACCGGCAATGAAACTGTTCCCGACCAGGCACAGTATCTGTCACATATGGCCGCATGCATGGGTCGCCGGTTCGAGCGAACGGGGAATGTAGCTGATCTGGAACGAGCCATTCATCTCGAAGAACAGGCCATAGAAATTATTCCACACGACGATCCACACAGAATGGAACTCCTCTTGGATCTGAGTGATGATTACCATAACAGGTCTGTAAAGCTAGGCTCAACGGAAGATCGCAAAAAGGCGATCGAAACGATGCAGATGGCTCTAATTGCTGGCGTATCCTATCACTCGCATCGATCAAGCCAACTATGTAGAATCAGCCAGCGGTTTAAAGATCGATATGAAAGTACAAGAGACGAAGCTGATATCACAGAATCGATGAAACTGGCTCGCAAAGCGGTTGAACTTGTTCCTCCAGATCACCCCAGACGCCCATACTACCTCCATTGCTTGAGCCTTACACTAGAAACACGTTTTCTAGTTCTCGGGTCATTGCCAGATCTAGAAACCTCTATACAAAAGAGTGAAGAAGCACTTGCTGCGAACCCCCATAATCGGCATGACTACCTCTACGCCTTGAGTATTCAGTTGACATGTCGATACGAACAGCTTGGTGCTCTAGTCGACCTACAAGAAGCTATTCGTTTCATGCAGGATTGTATAAAGGGTGTTCCATCAAATTATGCACATCGTATTGTGTGCTTGAAAGCCCTAAGCGACCAGCTTGGCTCTCTTTACGTGAGGAACCACAATCTGGAAACCTTGAATGAGGCGGTAGACGCCGCAAATAAAGCAGCGGCGCTTGTTCCCAAAGACGACATGATGCGTCCAAGCATCCTCAACAGTCTTCATTTGCTTCTCGTATCTCGCTCTAAGGCAACCAATACGCCAGCTGACCTAGTAGCGGCAATTAAAGTTCAACGCGAGGCCCTCGATGCTCCCGATACCCTTAGCGACCGAACCATTCTGCTTCATAACCTCAGCCAGACCTTAGCTTACACCCAGAAAGAAAGTGAACAATCTGTACCAAGAGAGGCCGTCGAACTAAGTTGGGAAACTGTCAATACAGCTGTAAAATCCCACCCGAATCGAGCAATGTACCTGAATACATTTGGTACGTTCTTAAAGGAGGGCTACGGGCACTCCAGGAAATTGATTCATGAGAACCAAAAACCACAAGATTTGTTCCAAGAAGGCCTCCGTAGTGCCAACTCTCCCCCTCTTGATCGTATCAAAGCTGGGCAGAACGCCTTTGACTGCTATATCGCAGACGGGCAGTGGGCCAACGCTGTTCTAGTGGCGACGGAAGTTGTGAGGCTTTTCCCTCTCTTGGTGCCACGGTGGCTGAGCCGAGATGACCAGCAATATCTGCTGAAAAATATATCCCATTTCACATCTCGCGCCGCATCTGTTGTACTTCAGGCAAATGGGTCTCCTGCAGAGGCTATTAATGTACTGGAAGCAGGGAGAGGAGTGATAGCTCGCTTCACAACAGATCTCAAGACTGACATATCGAAACTCGAGAAATTGCATCCCGCATTGCATGCCGAGTATATCGGGCTTCGTCGGCAAATCTTACTTCCCCCTTCGCCAATACTCTCATGGGAAGCGGAGCCCACCAAGGCTACTATAATAACGAGACGCCACAGAGACCAAGAATCACGCACTTCCCAAATTATCACTACCGGACGTCAAAGGGCAGAGATCCTACGGAAGCTCGAAGAGATTGAGAAGAATGTCCGTGAGCTTCCGGAGTTTGAGCAGTTTATGAAGCCTCTTTCGCCGGCAGACCACATGTCACTTGCCAGGCTTGGGCCGATCATAGCATTTAATGTTACAGAGCTACGGAGTGATGCGATCATTGTGACTGAAAGTGGTATCGACTGTATTCGCCTTGAGCGGCTTCAATTCCAGGATTTGAAAGCCAACGTGAACAAAGTAGTTGGGGAGAACCAGCTCTCTAAGGGCCCGCCCAGTGAAAGACCCCGGCGAAATGAAGAGCTCCAGCGCATATTGAACTGGCTGTGGGAGACCGCCTTACACCCAGTACTTACTAAACTGCGCCTGTATAGCAACGCACCACCGGGTCCGCTATCGCGTGTCTGGTGGGTTGCAAGCGGCTACATGGGTCTACTTCCGCTACACGCAGCTGGAGATGGTAATACCTCTACGATGGACTACGTCATCTCAAGTTATACTCCTACACTTCAGGTGCTGAAGTTCTCCCGGGAAAGAGATAGCTTGCTAAATTGTGATCCCGAGCTAAGGATGCTTCTCATTACTGCACCAGACAAACCCGGGCGTGGAGGTCTAGACACAGAGACCGAAATAAAATCGATTCAGAAGAGTTTCAGGCGTAACATATCCTATACGCTGCTCAATAACCCGTCGAACGAAGATGTTTTGCGGGAGCTGTCCGAACACCACCTGATTCATTTTTCATGCCATGGTTATTCGAATGCGACTGACCCGTCAGAGAGCGCTCTTGAGATTGCTTACGCAGCGGGATCCAGATCAGGCTCGCTACTCACCGTGAGGGATATAGCTACTATTGACCATGCCAAAGCTCAAATTGCATATCTTTCTGCATGTTCCACGGCCGAAAATTCATCCGATGAGCTCCTAGACGAGGTTATACATATTGCTGGTGCTTTCCAGCTTATTGGGTTCCCCCATGTTTTGGGGACGCTTTGGGAGGTTAGCGATAGAGCTGCTGTTGAAGTGAGTAGGCTATTTTACGAGGCACTCAGCGACCAGGTAAGCAGTGGCAGCCCTTCTCATGGAAACATCGCAAGCACCCTGCATGAGGCTCTACGGACATACAGGAAAAGCAAAAAGGCGAGGGAGAGAGATGTTTTGTCTTGGGCCCCGTTCATATATATGGGCGCATGATTTATAAATAGTTTCATTGCAGTATCTTTCACCAGATAGCCTATTCTTCCTAGCATCTTCATTCAGTAACGTCGATGTGCAAATACCGAGCGAGGTGGATATAGTCCTAACGCGTAATGTGCGGTTCTCTTGACCAAGTACTACGCCAAGTGGCACATATTTAAATTTTACATATATGTAAATTTCTGGATACAATCTACCAGTCTCTAGAAATTCTCTAGAGTTTAGAAGTATAATTAGAAATTTAACATTTCGCTAGTATTCCAGATCTACCGAGCAAACCTAACCTGACCCAACCTGTGAGGGTTCCCTGGAAAATGGAGATACAGCACCCGCGCAATGGTCTTCTCTTCCAAATAACATATTGCGATAAGGATTATCTTATCACCCTTGGTATTCGAGCTATTCTACCTGGCAGGGCGTACGGGAAACCGTTATTAATCTTTAGCGGTGGAACGGGCCTTTGGCCGAAGTTGACCAGCCGCCGCCTCATAGGCAATTTCCAATAGGCACCCATCCTAAGCTGATTGGTGAGATCGCCATGGGACATGAAGGCGAGTGATCACAATACCGTTGAAACGGGCGTCTTATAGCCAAGAGTGCTTTCATACCCAACGCTTTCCACGCTTTCCAAAGAGAGACAGACATCCGTTTGGTATCGCATATCAGCCTACACGCGTAGTAAAATACTTGTGCGTGAGAGCCACTGTCTCTTGCCCAGCATAGTCCTACAACCAGAAGGGCTACTTCTGCTATGTGAGCGGGCTGGGTAGTCTATTTTAATCTCAAATAGTATCAATATCATATCTATCACAAGCCGCAGGATCTCGCAAAACTCGCTCACCGAAGGCTAACGATGACGTCCATGAGTTTTATGGCCTACCCTCTAATGGAGTGGCAGTACCATTCCACTTTGTTCTCTCCCAACTCCAATTCGTTGATAGATGGGCCGCGTTGGTCCTTTGTCCAGCCTTGCGCCCATCTTCAGCTAGCCATTCCCCCACCTTCTAGGGAGCATACATTCAATCCTGTTTTCATTGGCTGAAACTTAGTGAAGCGTACCAATACCCAATGCAAGGCTGTGAAAATCGAGTACTCTCTGGAAAATGAGAGAAACTTCCATACGGCGCAAGGCTACATCGCCCCATGTCGCGTTCACATCCGACAAGTCTTCATTTCTTTCTTAGGGTCCGCTCTCATATATTTAGGTTCGGGCGAGTCCCGCAGTAGGGTCGACTCCCCGCTTTCTGTGTCCACAAAAAGCACTTAAAAACATGGAGGACCAGTATGACTTCTCTCGATTCCCAGGCTTCCAACCTAACCCATCAGCCTCGGCAACTAGTGAATTCGCTCGTCTAGCACGTCATATGAATTGGAGTCCACGCTCGAAGACCTACAAACGCGAGCGTTCCAATTTCATGGGATCCGAGTTCGGTCTCCACTTTGGTACTGAAAGCAAACTTCAGAACTGGCAAGCTCTGTGTCGAGAGCTACAATTAGATATACCAATGACTTCTATCACCCAATGTCGGAAGGTTAGATACAATGACACTATTCAATGTCATGCTGGGATAGTTGTACTGACCGCATTAGGCGCTTGCGCGAGTTCATGTGAATCTGGTGGACTTGATCGATTCGCGCCGCACCGGCACAATGATCCAAAAATTCTCGAGTTTAACGGCATTGAGGGTATATACCATGGACTCAGGGAAGGTGTTTCCTAAGAATGCTGCCAAGAAAGATGGATTCTTGAAAGATTTGCTCCGAAGGATTTGGTGAATTCGTTTGCTTTTCTCTCTGTCCGTATCAGTGGATACCCTAAGAGTGACTCGCTATATTGTGGCAGATCTTTATACACCGGGTCGAGATATCAGGGTGCATCTCAATCCACATGACGTGCTAGACAAACTAAGGTACTAGTTCTAGTCAACGGATACGGTTGGAGGCCTACTTTGCTTTTCACGGCGTAGGGAGTACAGATAGTAGTAGTAGTAGTAGTAGTAGTATTCATACACGCTGGTCCCTCGCCGAAAGTGATATGAAGGTTACGACAACTGTATGTATCCGCGCATGTATAAATAGAGTGTCCCACTTCCCGCCAACCACCTTGGAGCCTTGCCACAATCAATTAATATCGGAAAACAGGAAGGCTACTTTTCAGTACTGTTCGGCTCAGCCATAGCACCTACATTAGTTTGGTTTATAAACCGAGTTTTGCCTCTATGTCCATTAAACGGTCTCCCATCACCCACTAAGCTGTACCCTTTCCCGCATTACTGTTTGTCGACCCTTGACTTCCAGGTGATATCGTACCTGATGAAATCAAAGATATATGTATGCAATATAAAAACACTCCAGAGAGATAGAAACTGAAGGATGATATTGCATAGAAAAGCATACAGCTAACTTTTGTGTCGAAGATCGATGAACAATCAATGAAATGAAACGAGCTCATCCAAATCACTGCCGATTTTCATGAATAATGGAAGTTTCGTAACCACAGTTCTTAGGATTTCTACGTGCGAATCTAGTACATTCTGAAAGGCTAGCCAGGGAGCTATTCCTACCAAATCAAAAGAATTGGATTATACAAGACACCGCTTGGCGTTACAATTTGTATACTAAAGACTAGCATCACTAGAGAAGGCCTAGGCTTAGACAAGCACCGTCAAGACACACCTAGGCTTATACAACATTGTGGTCAACCATACTCTGCACCGCATCCCTAACACTCTTCTCCAAATCAATATATTTCCACTGTCCCTCATCCGTCCCCTTCGACAAGACATCTAAGCTAACCCGCATATCCCATCCCGTCGGATGCACACCGTCCGGTAGAACCTGCTCAGGCTTACCCTCCGGGACCTTTTCCCTCAGTGCTGGAAAATGCTTTCGAATGATATTCACGACCAGCTGAGGCGTAATTAAGCCGGAGATGAGCAGGATCCGCCGGCCGCCAGCAGCAGGGTTAGTCAAGGCGTCAACGTGGCTTCTTGCGACATCGCGAACATCGACCTGATGCTTGTTAGCTCTCATACTAAATCATTCTGGATACATGGAGTAGAACGCACAAAGTGATAAAATGGAAACCGCACATCCTCGACTTTCGGGTTAGTCCCATCAATAAAGCTCGCGATCGCGAAATGATTGGTCTCGTTAATTGACCCTGGGCCGGAAATTGGATGAATCATAGGACCCGTGATAATGTCTGGATTGATCACGGCCAGATCGAATGCGGGTGTGTTGGTCTTCATGAACTTCCACGCCGCATCTTCGGCTTGGGTTTTGGAGACGTTATAGCCTAGAACGGTGTCCTGTCGCTCGATGGCTTGTTTCGCGGTGACCTAAATTACATGAGTCGGTGGCCTTAAGTTAAAAGAAAACAAGCCTGACATACTGGGTTCCAATCCTCCTCAGTGTAAGGGCGTCCTTCGCGACTCATATCCTCGAAGGAGTTCAGGACGGAAACTGCACTCCCTAGCAGGACAAATCGTTTGAGTGATGTTCCTCCGTGGTGGTGGGCACTCTCGAGTATTTGCGTCGTCCTGTAATGATAATTACTCTCCTTGCCTCCAATATGAGGAAGTAGAATGGCAATCTCTTACCCCATCACGGCAGGCTCGATCATCTCCTTCTGGATATCCTTGACATTGAAGTTCAGGGGAGATGCTGTGTGGATAATATAGGTGAAGGGCACTTTTACATCTTCGAACAGGGCATTGAATGGTCCCTGGGAGGTGAAATCCGACACGATCGCAAAGTTGATCTTGCCCTTCCACGAGGGGTGGGTTTTGATGATATCGTCCGCCTTATTCTGGGAGCGCACGGTGGCAGTTACAGCGTATCCACGCTATCTCAGTTAACGTTAACTTGTCTAATCTATACATGAACTAGGGCGAAACCGTACCTCAAGCAAAATAGCGAGGATATGGGAGGCGACGAATCCGTTTGCGCCCGTCAGTAACACATGTTCACCACTTCCTAGGTGTGACATATTGGGCATAGGTATGAGAAACCAGAATTCTGTGGCGACTAGTGTATGGCTTTCTTGGTGAAGAATTTACAAACTTCCAAGTATGTGTGGTTGAATGGAACATTCCTTACCTACCTTTCTTCCTCTATAACTAGCGGTGCCTAGAGAATGAATTTATGCGCGGTTTAAGGTTATAAGGTTAAATCCCGCCAAATCCCGCGCACTGAATGCTGACGTAGTCCGAGTGATCTCATAACGTGGCAGAGTTTTGGTAACCACTCACATCGTATAAGAACAGAGTACGCGGGTTATGCCCTAGGGCGTAGGGCGTGATATTTGAAAGCCAGACACCTCAGTATCTACTACAGTGTCTGACTATAAAACTACCAATTAGGATCTTCATTTTACCGGTTATTGTTGGTCAGATGTAGCATTCTCTGTAGCTCATGGATATACTGGTTCGAGTTGGTTATCGTTACGTGGGACTACGCTAACATTTAGGATGCTCAGGACAACACATTGCATAAGCTGAACAAGAGTGCACCACACAGACAGTTATATCAATCGAGATACCATGCGCATGAGGGCCTAATAATCCATACAAGATTAACAAGGTCCATATATACTCACAGAACCCAAGTTCTCTCCGAACTTCAACTATGAAGGCAAGTGCAAGCACCCGGAAACTTGCGTGTAGCTCCTCTTATCCATTAGTACAACATCGCTGTCCCAATTGCCGTGGTCTAATTACTGTTATAAGAATTTTAAGACAAATGCGAGGAAGAGAAAGGAAAGGACAAATACAGAGAGAGACAGAGGGAGGAGCAGAGTATAAAAATTCGAGTGGCCTTTTCCCACAGCCTTTGATCGATGCGACTTCCACCGCACAATTAAGCCCAGACTCTCGTTAGTACCCCGTGATTGACATTCGACATTGTGGTGTAGGAACCTGTATTGAGATATATACAGCAACAAATCCAGCCACCACAGCAATGTAACCAAATCAACTGCATAAAGTGGAGATTTAAATGGAGATAGCATTGGAAGAATGTCTATAAAATCAGCATTAGCGAGTTTAAACTGCGCACAATATGTGCAGGCAAAAGAAACAATGGAACGGCAAAGAATAGCCTTCAATTAAAGTCTTTTTAAATCATGTACATACCATCATGGCTCATAGATGAGAGCTCTCATCACGCCCCTCTCATGAAAACATCCAATTGATTTATTTGTTTTATAATGAACTATGGTTGCCGGCCAGTAGGCGGGTAGTATGGCCACCAAGGCGAATAGCTACCTCTATAGCCGTTATAGTAGTTAACGTATGGCCCAGGAGGCGCCGTGGGATTTGCAGGAGCCATCGTGGGATGAGCATGAGGCACAGCGGGATTAGGAGGATGCACAGCGAGATGAGGAGGAATCGGCATCATTGCTTGGGCAGACCTTAGACCAACGTTTACCAATTGGCCCAATACTTCATCTAGGTTATGGTCGTGGTCCCGGTTCCCATCCCTCTCAAAGCCTTCATGCGCTTTGCAATCAATGCAAACTCGAAGATACCTTCCAGGGCATAATTTAGCGTGTCTCCCACGCACTTGACCGCTGGTGAATCGGGAGTAATGGAGGAGTTGGAGACAGCGGCTGCAGGCGAAGTACTCTTGGTATCTGTAGAAGTCAGCCTTATTGCGATAGGAAAACGTACACTCGTTGCATCAACGAGTGCTTACCCGAGCCATGTTTCCTTATCACAAAGATACTGTCTTCTCTGTTGTGGTGTGGAGGGAGGTTGTATGGAAATTAAGGATCGAAGGTATTTGTTTGTCTGCGAAAGTGATAATCTGGAGGGATAGTCAAGCTTGTCGATGATTATCAGTTGCAACTCTGTCGGTAGATCAAGGAGTGGAGAGGCTGGTAATTCTGCCATCACGCGAGAAGAGAATGTTCACAAGGACAACGATTCCCAGGAGGTTGTGTCGGGTTAAATACTTAAGAATACCGAGAACTATAACGAAAATCCGGTAATCGTGACCTAAGGTGGCAATGCCAGATGTCAGTGTTGCCTGTTGATATTCGCCTATATAAACGTAGTGATAATATCATACCCTACTTCCAAGAGTTTTGAGAGGCAAAGTATTGATGAGGCGGATTAATCGGTGGAGGGCAGTGACTCGAGAGTAAAGCCTTGTGAGGGAAATGGCCATGCTCGTTCTTTCCTTTGGTACGTGAACGATGCATGACCATTTGATGATTAGACAATGACCCGCTTATTTCTCCTGATATTTCAAACCTCAGTCTTTGACAGCGTCTGAAAGAGCCTGCTGCTGTTTCACTTTAATTCTTCCATTTTAAACGACCATAATCCGCTACAGGCTGCGATGATGTGTCTGTATAACTCCCTCTCCAGTGAACAGGGATCACTGAGTCGAAAATTAGGGAACTGTTAAAAGACACGAAAAGGCCTAACTCTCTATAGGACGAATCAAACTTTCTAAATAATATTGCCAGCCCCAACAAGATATGAATTGAAATCACCCCGAGACTAATAAACGCCTTGGTTACATGACGGTCCTAGTCCGTTTCACGCGTAAGGGCTTCCTGGAGGTCCGTAAAGACGCCAATGTTTCTCCATCCATTGTCTACAATCGGCACCAGCTAGCGACCCGTCCATACTGAAGCAATACCGGATAGGCCTGCGTGTTTCGTGTCCGTTTCTCGTTATGGAATTAGGTAAGTCGGGGCCGCTAATACTAGGAAGATGTGGCTGCCCTAGGCCATCGAAGTAGAGCAATTTATCTTCCCAAAAATCATCAAAAAGGAGATACTGCAGCTTTCTCATGTTTAATGATAGATATTCGAAGATTGATTGAAAAATACCCGAGTCGAGGCGTATCTGTTCATAGTCAGGCTGCGGAGGTCTCGGCGCCGGAGGAAATAGTGCAGCTTCTCCTCAGAAGTGTGGACTCCTCTTCAACACTTTCGCGATCTCAGCACATGCCAAACTGCAGCGGTCAATACTACTAAATATGTCCAATGATTTCACATGTAATTTGCTCCTACCAAGTGCTACCGTACTGACACGAAAGAGCTTCGCTGCAGCCTCCCAGGTGCTCTTCCAGGGTGCCCCGGCATTTTCCTCTCTTTCAAATGTGAGAGTAAGGGATTCCAGAAGGCCATGTCCAGAGTTGACGCGCAGGTTTGTCAAAGCCCATTGTAGAAGGACTACGGCTCGTTCTTCAGCTATAGTCTGATCATCGCCAGCTGGCACATCCACCACCGTCAAGTGCTGGAGGTGACATCCCAGCCATTCCTTTTGTGTCACGGCGACAAAGGCCTGGAGATTTTCCTCTGTCAACTGTATCTTCTTTCGATAAAAGTTATATCTAAACGTAACTAGGGATGTTTTGTTGGCTACCACTCATGAAGTTAGTCGAAGATTGTACCTGGCATGTAAGTCAAGAAAAGATACTAAGTCCTCCATTAACTCCAACTCCACTGGGAGAGTAACAAGCGTTGCATAGTCCATAATTGCGCCACGTCTTGTATATCGCTGACCATGCATTTATAAGTCTTTGTTGGGATAACGCGATGCTCGAACACAGAAGAACCGTTGACATTTAGGAGAGAGAGGATAAAGAAGGGAGGGTAGAAGGACATTCTCACAGAGGCGAACCAATTATCTTCACCGAGTGCCTGAAAACAAGACACCACACATGATGGCGCCACTATGAGTGTCTTTCGTGCGTCTCTGTGCTGGGTTATGCAGAACTTTGTAGATCATGATTCAAGCACTAGGACGGGCAGTTTGACGAGCCAGCTGGACATCCATGGATTGCAATGCTATAAGACCTGTTTGCTTGCCTATATAGGATATTTGCAATCTGTATTGAACAGATGCAAGTCTCATTTTTATTTTTCTCTATCGAAAACTTGGTCTCGTTGCTGTATACCAGAAGGAGCCATTAGTCCTGCAGCTCAGAGGTATTAATACGGGCACAGCGTCCTACTTACAACAGCGATGCGCATCATATCCCCGGTGTCTCCCGAGGTGAGATACTTTGGAATAGCTCTGCAACCTCGTTGCCATCGAGTAAATGAAGTTGTTCGATTTGATACGATTTAGTCGGTAAGCATAGATCTTAAGTGACGGAGTACAGGTTGCAGATAGGCCTCATTTGGGTGTTGTGAGAGGCGGTTTTGGTTATGGTTCACAAAATAGGATACTCTATAACTATCGCGGAGTGGTCATGCCTTTTAGTGCTTAATCTGTTCCTTTCAGTTTTTTCTTTGTTTTCCTTTTCATACTACGGTTTCATTAGTATCTCCACTCTTGAAATTAGACGACCTAGCGTACTGCAGTCCCTCATGTCTTTCCACCCAGAGAACCCTGTGACTCCAAGGTAGATATTATCAGTACGGCAGTCATAGGCGTAGTATGGGCTCCCCGTGTGGCTAACATTTTAGAAAAGGAGATTTATTCTTTAGGAAGAAGTTCAATACGAGTACGATTAGGGCATTTAAGTGGATACTTGTCTTACCAGCCCTACCCAGGCACTAAACACATTTGGACCCAGCAACTTCTCAATAGCGTCATACTATTGGGTTTGTCGTCTCTAAGCAATAGTAAGATTGCAGCTCAGCCTACATTGTCATGATTACAGTACATGAAGCAAAATAATCCCTCCGCGGATGGCCCCCACGCTAAAGAATTTATCGAGAAGGTCGAAATGAACCAACCCTAGACAAGGGCGGCTTAGTGTAATAATACTCTCCTTCTAACAACAAAACTTGTGGGTGATGTCAGTTATGGACAATTTCTCCACGGGTCTCTGATTGTCAAACACGCTATGACATTACAGTACAAAGAAATACTATGTCAGAGAGGAGGTCCTATTTTTGCGGCGGGTTTAGCGGCCCAAATGGGAAGCCTGATGGGTTTGCTAAGACGCTATTGGGACGCTAGCCCTACGAATGTCGGTCTGTCTCTTGTCAGCTACATAGGGGCTTGGCTTGGCCTAAAGGCAGCTCTGATTTGCCGGCGTGATCCTTGAGGCATGTTTCGGGTCGTCCTTTTGTTTGATTAAAGATGCAAGGGGCTTGGGGAAAAGCCATAAGAATGATTTTAATGGTTGGACTGCAGTGAAGCGGCAGGAAGGAAGGGGCCCATCAGGAGGCACAGAAAAATAAAACAATATCAATCAAGAAATATTAAATAAAATTGCCGAGAAACATTGCAGAAATTTCGTGAAGCATCAGTGGAATGTTTATTGACGGCCGCCTAAAGCCAGTCGGATGATGGAACATCAGTTACATAAACATAAATATTATGTATACATAAAGCAAACAAACAAAGCATAAATGATGTGCAGGGTCTTTTTTTGGTGCAGACGTCATGATCGGATACGTCACATGACCGGCAAAGACCTTCGAGTCATTTCTTCGAGCCAGTCCTCTTTCAAAGAACAACTTCTCAGCCACTTCGCAAATCTGGATGTCAACGGTTGCCAAGAACCAGGAAATGAGAGACTAGGGCCTTTATGATGCTGCCTAAATGAACAAGTGGCAGTGCGACAAGGCACAGTCAGCTCGAACAGCGACCATGGTGGATGACCCTGCGCTTAAGGTGACATTCCGAGAGGGAACACAACGAGGAAGAACCATTAAAAAGTGCTGCCTAATCAGCCCTATTCGACTGCCGGGTTCCGAAGAGGAAGGTGATTGGCAGGGGATGCTCCACTAGAATTGCTAGAATGGAGACGTTCAATTCCACTGCCTTCCGGTTGGTCCACGCCCAAATGTGGTACAATCCAAAGAATGGGGCCTCATGGCTGAACCGCCGTCAATATATTACTTCACGGCGGCATCCTTCTTTGCTGCCCCTTTGGACGCCATTCTCCGTCTTTTCCTCCATTTCCCATCCGTCTCTGCCACCATGAAGGTCGCCCTGCTCACCTTAGCGGCGGGCCTGGCCAATGCCGCCTCGCTCGCCGTCACTCCACGGGCTTTCCCCAACGCCCCTAATGAATATGCTCCCGCCAATGTTTCCTGTCCGTCGACTCGCCCCAGTATCCGCAGTGCCGCCGCCCTGTCTACCAATGAGAAGGATTGGCTGCAAGTGCGTCGGAATGAGACCCTTCAACCCATGAAGGATTTGCTCGGTCGGCTCAATCTGACCTCCTTTGATGCTTCTGGGTACATTGACCGTCATAAAAACAATGCATCGAACATTCCAAACGTGGCCATTGCCGTTTCGGGTGGTGGTTACCGCGCTTTAACCAATGGCGCGGGTGCTATCAAGGCGTTTGACAGCCGTACCTCCAACTCCACAGCCCGTGGACAACTCGGAGGCCTTCTGCAGTCGTCTACTTATCTATCGGGCCTGAGTGGTGGTGGATGGCTCGTAGGCTCTGTATACATCAACAACTTCACCACGATCAGTGACCTGCAGGCCAGCGAGAAGGTCTGGGACTTCAAGAACTCTATTCTTGAAGGCCCTGATGTTAAACACTTCCAATTGATTAACACTGCCGCCTACTGGAAGGACCTGTACGATGCTGTGAAGGATAAGAGGGAGGCTGGGTTCAACACTTCGTTGACCGACTACTGGGGCCGCGCTCTCTCCTATCAGTTTATCAACGCTACCACCGACGATGGCGGTTCCAATTATACCTGGTCGTCGATCGCCCTGACCGACGACTTCAAGAAGGGTAAGATGCCCATGCCCATCCTCGTTGCCGATGGACGTAACCCGGGCGAAATACTTATTGGAAGCAACTCGACCGTGTATGAATTCAACCCATGGGAATTTGGCTCCTTTGATCCGTCTGTATACGGCTTTGCGCCATTGGAGTATGTCGGATCAAACTTCGAGAACGGTGAGCTCCCCAAGGGGGAATCGTGCGTGCGCGGCTTTGACAATGCGGGTTTTGTCATGGGTACCAGCTCGTCCCTGTTCAACCAGTTTATCCTGCGTCTGAATGGCACCGATATTCCTAATTTCCTCAAGGAGGCTATTGCCGATGTCCTGGAGCACCTAGGCGAAAAGGACGAGGACATTGCCGTCTATGCACCCAACCCCTTCTACAAATATCGCAACTCAACGGCAGCCTATTCGTCGACCCCGGAGTTGGACGTGGTCGATGGTGGTGAAGATGGACAGAACATACCCCTGCACCCCTTGATTCAGCCCAGCCGCAATGTGGACGTGATCTTTGCCGTGGATTCGTCCGCCGATACAGACTATAGCTGGCCCAACGGGTCCTCTCTGATCTACACCTATGAACGTAGCTTGAACACCACTGGTATCGCCAACGGGACCTCCTTCCCTGCGGTGCCCGATGTGAACACGTTCCTCAACCTCGGCTTGAACAAACGCCCGACCTTCTTTGGATGCAATTCGTCCAACACTAGCACCCCGACCCCGTTGATTGTCTACCTGCCCAATGCCCCTTACACCGCCGAGTCCAACACCTCGACTTTCCAGCTGGCGTATAAGGACCAGCAACGCGATGATATCATCTTGAATGGCTACAACGTCGTTACTCAGGGCAATGCCAGTACAGACGCGAACTGGCCATCGTGCGTTGGGTGCGCCATCCTCCAACGGTCCACTGAACGTACGAACACGAAGCTTCCTGATATCTGCAATACCTGCTTCCAGAATTACTGCTGGGACGGAAAGACCAACACCACCACTCCGTCGGCCTATGAACCGGAGATTCTGATGGAGGCGTCGACTTCCGGAGCCTCGAAGGATCAGCTGAACCGCACAGCTGCGGTCATCGCGTTCGCGGTCATGTTCTTTATGACGATCTAGGTGCAGGTACCTTTTCCTGGGATACGTTAGGTCCTGGCGTAGTATGCCTCATGAATACTTCGACTGATTCATTATCTACTATTGCAAAATTCTGAATATTCCCCGATTGCGTTGGTTGTGTTTTTATAGCGCGTTTCAAAATTGAGTGTACCTTAAATGCATATTTTGGCGATTACTGTGTCGTACATCTCAGGATAGACCTAAAGTTGGTTCATTATCTGATCTAACATTTTACATCTTTTTCTTCCTAGTTCATCTACTATCAGGTAATGTAATTTAGCCGTCACCTCATCCATAATTGGGATGATGCGATACGGCACTAGACCCGACCGGGAAAATGACAATACGGTCGGCTGTGGCCATAAAACCGTAAGACAAGATGGCAATAAACTTCATCTTTCCTCCATATAATTAATTGATCGCAACAGAAGCACTGATTTACATACCATGGCTGCGAATACATCATCATTTACTACAATCCCCATATTGGACTACTCCCTTTCCACCTCGCCAACGACCAAGGCGCAGTTCTTATCCGACCTTCGGAATGCGTTGATCAATGTGGGGTTCTTCTACCTGATCAATGCGCCCATTGCACCTCGAATTCAACAGGATGTGGTGGATAAATGCAAGAATATTTTTGACCTCCCGTTAGAGAAGAAGGTCGAGATAGAAATGGTGAACAGTAAACATTTTCTGGGCTATTCTCGACTAGGAGCAGAGATCACTGCGCGCGAACAGGACTATCGGGAACAGTTCGATGTACGGCTCTCTACAAAGATATATATTTGGAATAGCAAGATGAGGCTAATAGCACCACGAGTACTAGTTCGCTACGGAG